TCAGCACTAGTAGGCAATGCATACATGGCAGTGAGAATAGCATCATAGTCAAGAGCAAATATATCTACCCTCTGCCTAAGCAACTCCACCCAGTCGGGGAGCTCAGCCTCGTCGCCAAACTCGGTACGCCAGGCGTCGCTCAGACGGGCGAAGCAGCGGGACTGTGTGTGACTAGGCGTCCCACAAGGCTGACCAGTCCGAGCACCAGTGCGAATCACGTAAGAGCAGCGAACAGAACTGAGAGACCCTCCACTCTGAGCGTACCACTCACGAAGCTGCTGGGGCGTGAGAGACGCGCGTGGGGGTCGCTGGAGCTGCATCTGGCCGCCGCTAGTAGCAGTAGCAGTAGTAGCGCCGCCACCCCTACAACCCCAACCAGCGTACCACTCACGCAGCTGCTGGGGCGTGAGGGACTCACGCGGACGTCGCTGGGGCTGCATCTGGCTCCGCCAGTAGAAGCAGGAGCAGGAGTAGCAGCAGTAAGGCAGGCAGCCAAGCAAGCGGCAGGCAGCGCGCTAGTAAGGCAGGGGCTCACCAGTGGTGGGAAGAGCAGGCTCGACGACTCGGCGACTCGGCGGTGCGGGCGGCTCGGGCGGCTCGGCGGCACGGCGGCACTGCAGCAACTGCGGCTCGGCGGCTCGGGCGACTCGGGCGACTCAGCGGTACGGCGGCTCAGCACCAACTGCAGCGCGGCGGCCCGGCGACTCGGCGGCTCGGGCAGCTGAGGTGGCGCTGCGGCTCGGGCGGCTCGGGTGGCTCGGGTGGCTCGGTACTAGCTCGGCGGCGCCGGCGGCTCGGTGGTGACGGCGGGGCCGCTTGGGGACGCCGGCGGGGCCGGGTGGAGCGGCGACGGGGCCAGCAGAGGTGGCGCCGGGGCCGCAGGGTAGGCGTCCGGGCCAGCAGAGGTGGTGCCGGGGCCAGAAGAGGTGGCGCCGGGGCCGGGAAGGGCAGCGCCGGGGCCGCAGGGGTAGGCGACGGGGCCAGTAGAGGCGGGGCCGGGTCGGGAAGAGCGGCGTTGGGGTCGCCGGGGTAGGCGACGGGGCCAGCCGAGGTGGCGCCGGGGCCTGGAAGGGCGGAGCCGGGGCCGCAGGGGCAGGCGACGGGGCCAGCAGAGGCGGGGCCGGGTCGGGAAGGGCGGCGTCGGGGTCGCCGGGGTAGGCGACGGGGCCAGCCGAGGTGGCGCCGGGGCCGGGAAGGGCGGCGCTGAGGCCGCAGAGGTAGGTGACGAGGCCACTAGGGCGGCAGATTGGGGCCGCGAGGGCGGCGCGACGCGGCCGCTAGGGCGGCGCGACAGGGTAGCGGGGCCGCGCGCCTCGGGGCGCGCGCCAGAAAGAAAATCGCCGCGCGCTAGGTCGCACGCCACGGGGCGTGCGACAGATCGAGTAGCAGCGGAAGCAGTAGTAGGGCCCTAGGAACAGTTCCCACGAGGGAACCTGCTCGATACCATGAGAAAACTGAAACGATAATGAAATGAACTATGAATGAAGTGGGTACAAGTACTAACCCTAATTGGGTTGTACCCCCTATGGGATACCCCACTACAGCCTACACAAAAGCATAAGCTATAATGTTCTGACAGCTTTGCTGCTCGTTCGGCGACAAATTTCGAAGAAGTACGGTGTAGGCCATCAAAGAGTGATAAGTATAATTTTCCTTGTCTTTGTCTTCGCCGTTGTGTGGATATGGCCAGGTAGCGTTGAAGAATCCAAGAAGATTCGCGCCTTCCATCAGGAGTTCAAACTCGAAACTCCAAGAATAGAAGTCTTTCCCGTTGAATGGTGTGGATGTGTGCAGTCGCAGGATGTTGTTGAACTGTGCTTGTACTTGCAGGACTTCTTCGGCGTCTCGTTTGATGGCGGGAAGAGGAGTCGCTGGATGGCGAGGCGGCATAAACGTGAAGGAACCAGGTGGGACTGAGTTTGGTGTTTGTTGATTACGTCGTCCGAACGATGAGTTGTCAATACTCATTGGTGTCGCTCCGTTGTTTACGCTGTTGCTGTTTGCAGGTTGTGAGGACTGCTGCTGCGACATGAAGTTGAAGAATTTCTCCATTAAGCTTGGGTCGAAGCTTGTTGGCGGCGCTACTGGCGCCTGAGTAGATCGTTCCGTCGCTTCCGGCGTTAATCCGGGCGTTGTTCCTCCTTCGGTCTGCAGCTCGGAGACCGGGGGTAGAGTAGATCCCATACATGACCTTCTTTCTTTGCCACTTGCCATGTCTTGCCTTTCTTGAATAAAGGTTGAACTTCTTGTTTGCTTGCATATTGGTAGCCTGAGAGAGGCTTAGTGACGAGAGCCTTGTTCTCTGACTGCTCTCATACCATGTTGGGCTGAGAATTTCAGCCTTAGGATCTTTGCAGAGAATAGGCTAGTAGGTGCTAGAGTAGCACAGCAGAAGACTTGAGTGAATGTACTTGTGCTGGTGTGTGAGAACAAGTAATTGATTAAAGCAAAGAGCATACAGGAATATATAGGAAAGATAGATTACAGGAAGCGGTTGTGTTTATCGAGACGCGTAACGCTTCGACTATCGAGGCGGTTACTGTTCACTGAAGCGTCGCTTGCTGTTACGTAACCTCCAGGCGGTTACAGCTCGCAACCTCCAGTTGCGGTTTGATGTGGTACGCGCCCTTTCGACTTCGTACCCCTTTTGTTGTGCTTCAGTATCGGGTGAGGTTCGATACTACAGAAACGCACTAAGTCATGCGTTTATATTCCCAACATTGTGCTCCCCGTTGTTGCTCCTACTTTCTGGCTGTGCGGAACCTAGCGATGGTGAGTCTCTTGTAGAGCATAATGTCACGCACGGTTGTAATCCCCTTGCTCTCCAGGTCGCGGATGATCCGGCCTGTGTATTTGTGGTTGGTACTGGAGTAAATTCCCCATCGCACGTGGCTGGTAAACTTTCCAGTGGTGGTGGTTGCAAGCTTGTACTTCACATATTTCCAGTGTATATCACCTGAAGAAATTCATGCACAGCATCAATCAAGCGCCCCAATTGTGTCAACAGCACTTGCATAAAAGTCTGCTCGAGATCGGCTTTACTCAAGTGCCTCATGACCCTAGAATGTACCGCCTGTACTTTTACGGGAGCGCGTCGGGGTGTAGGGTGTGTCAGTGAAACAAATAGTGCTTGATGCCATGAAGGGATTTCTTCAGTTGACACAATGCAGGTAGAAATTGACTAGGATTGACGAAATGTTGTAAGTAAATTCCCCAACTTCTTCGGTCCATTTGACGTGGGGTGACACATTTTTTGTAATCGCCGTGGTAGAGAGGAGGTTGTGAAGTCGCACGACGTGATGCATGGCATACGACTAGTAGACGGAGGGAGGACCTGACTGCTTCAGTAGTGCATGGACCTTCATCAGGAGTGTGTGATTGGTTCACTCGGCAATGCCTTGCTGCGAGAGCTTGTCGGGAAGAGAGATGCGGTGCAGGATCTCATTTTCGCCAAAGAAGTTCTGGAGCTCCTTACTTCGGAATTTGGTTGGCCTTTCGTTTGCCAGGTTTGAAGTTTCTTATTCGATTGTCGTGCGTGTGCGCCAGCCAGGGACGGAAAATATCGTAGGCCCTGCTTCAGTACTGGACGTTCACTATCGAAACGTAGCCCGTACCCGTGTTTAGAAATATCAAAGTGTAGCTCTTGTCCTTGAGCTCACTGAGGCCGATGATGAAGAAGTCGCAGTACACCTTGTGCAGATTCGAGTACCGATTGGTGCTTGGGTCGAGCAGGGGGAAAGGCTGGTCAGAGAGCGCAGCTATGGGGCCATCGGCGCAGGTGTGAGGTTGTGTGGTGTTTCTGAGGTCGGTTCTGTCACGGCGCAAGATTGCTCCTTGTGCGAATGCTTCCACGATGATGCAGTTTTGAGCGTTTTACACGAGGGGTGCTCGAGGGGTTGATGCCAGAATTCGTTGGTTATGCGCACACCAGAAGCGCGGAGACCCCATACGCACATATAAGACCCATGACTTAGGGTCATGTACATGGGGGTCTGCTTGTTATTTGCATTCTTTATATGAGAGGATTATCCATATGGCGTCGACTATGCTACGGGGATGAAACACTGGGTGCACATCCTCCCATCAGATCTCGACCAGCCAGACCCCGCCGAACCAGCCCACTTGCTTGTACTGAGAATCGGGTGAGGGGCGGGGCCACGTCAAGCGGTCAGTCGGTTTCCATAATCAGTGGTCAGGGAGCTTGGCTGGAGCTGCCTTTCATCTGCGGTTCTACGCGCCCACTGCGTGCGGAGAGGACTGAGCTGTCGGGAGTGTGCCACGAGAGGAGCAACAGCTGCGGTGCACGCGAAGAGAACACTGAACTACCCATTCGAGTCTCGTTCCCGCACAGGTCCAGCCAAGTTCACTGCTCACATTTAACGAGAATAAGCAAGCAGAGATGGGACACCAAGCAACCAGAATAACGCGTGGTTGGGTGGGAAATTCCACCTATGTACATTCCCTTCTTGCCGTTGGAAACCGTTGGAAACCATTGAGAAACGGAGCATATCCGTGAGAATGACCACTGAAAAGGGCATGAGGTGTATATAGTGGAACAAAAAACGCAGCAGAAATGGAGTGGAATGCTCCTGTGTGGCTTGCATTGCACTCGTCCAAGGAACTTATCATCACACTGGTCCCTCACACGGAACGTGTTCAGTCTGGTCGTTTCGCACTACTGTTGCACATTCGGTCCAGGAAAACCCCAGACGGTTCCTCCTTGACTTGCTCTCCTGGATAATGGCATGCGTGAGTGATAACTTAGTAGTCAGTGCTTCTGAGTGTTTGCAATTGCATGGCAACCGACTAGCGGTCCGTTAAGTAGAAAAGACGCTTGTATTTATATTTTCACCGTGGTTGGGGGGAGTGCGACGGCGTGCATGGCGGCGTCGGATGGCTTGTACCAAGAGCAGGCGGGCGACAGCAATGGCACGCAACTCCCCGAAGCTGCCTGCGGCTGTCTGCCCAGGGGCGCCGACCGTGGCGCCGGGTATGCGCGCATGGACGCGCGGAGCCTCGCGTCGGCCGATGGAGCGCATTCGCCGTGTGTTGGCACAGCGCAGCACGGCAGCGTGGCCAGCGGGCTGCACCAATGCGACGCGGGGCTGAGGGATGGCGAGCGCAGCGCGTCATGTAACGGGATAAGCAGCGCGCGTCAGGCAGGGTCGGAGGGAAATGATGTGCGAAACGGGTCGTGGCGGAAGCGCATTGCGCGCATGGTGCACGGAAGCAGTGAGCAGAACGGCGTCGCAGCAGATAGTAAGGGTGGCACGGACGTAAGCGCGGGTGACGACCAACGCACGTGGGGGTCGGAGGAGAGGTCGTGGGATGTGGAGGCAGGTCGGGGTGCGGGCAGCGGTGACGGAGCGAGCGCCGAGGCACAGCCGCGCAGCAGCGCCTTTCCTTACGACTGGTTCGTTGCAAAGCGGCCTCACGACCGCCAGCCGCTGCAGCCCGACGAGCGAACCTGGCGAGGGATCAATGCACGCCCCGCCACGCCTGCGTCCTCCGCGTCGTCCGCGTCCGCCAGTTCCCCCGCCTGGCCCTCCGCCCGCCCGTCCGCGACCCCCGCGTCGCCGCCGTGCCAGCAGCCGGACGAGATGATTACGTCAGCGTCGTACGAGGTAGTGGCGGATGATATGGAGGAGGAGGAGGAGGAGGAGGAGGAGGAGGAGGAGGAGGAGGAGGAGGAGGAGGAGGAGGAGGAGGAGGAGGAGGAGGAGGAGGAGGAGGAGGAGGAGGAGGAGGAGGAGGAGGAGGAGGAGGAGGAGGAGGAGGAGGAGGAGGAGGAGGAGGAGGAGGAGGAGGAGGAGGAGGAGGAGGAGGAGGAGGAGGAGGAGGAGCGCATGAGCGACGCGGGGTGCACGGACGACGGACTCGACGCTACCACCGACTGCCACGACCAACTCTGCTGCTGCTGGCCCCTCCTCCCCGCCTCCCCCACTCGCCCCACTCCCCTTCCCCCCGCCGACTCGCGCGCCTCCGACTCATCCGCGGGGAACACGGAGGGCGAGGATGCGAAGCGGAGCACGCGGGGAGCGGGCGAGGCGGGGAAGGGAGAGGCGAGGCGCGGGGCGGTGGCGTGGGCGCGCAGCGTGGACTGGGGGTCGCGGCGCTGCCAGCTGTCCATCTTCGCCGCCGTGATGCTGGCGGGGCTGGCGGCGGCCGCCGTAGTGTTCTGGGCGACGTTCAGGAGCTACCAGCACAGCAGCATGGTGCGCCGCCCGCGCGCCCTCGCAACACCTATTGCCGCCTGCACTAGACGTTAGTTAGGCACTAGGCACGAGGCACTAGACAGGAGGTGCGCGAGCATGCAAGGGAAGTGAGGGTTGCAGTGCTGCAATGCGTCCTCACGCCGCTCGATTGCGTCTCCTCTTCGCCCTAAGCGCGTCCTCTCTCCCCCTCCCCCCTCCCCCCCGCGCTGTGCGCGTGGCAGGACGTGCTGACGACGTTGTGCGACACGTGGGCGGCGCTGCTCAACGAGCGACTGCAAGACTCTGCCAAACAGGTGCGCGCCCCGCCGCCCGCGCACCTGCGCGCACAGCATGCGTGCTGCGTTGCCCCTGGGCAGTACTAACTGTGCGTGGTGCCCCCGTGTCCTACAGGCCCGCGTGCTGTCAGCGCTGCTCTCCATCCTCTACTTCCGCTCCACCCCACCCGTGCTCAACCAGGTGCGCCTCTCCTCGCCGCCCCCTCCCCCTCTCCCTCATATGCCCATGCTGCCCTGCCTTCACTTGGCCGCTCTCCGCTCCTCCCCATTGCCTGCATCTCTCTCTCCCCAAGCCCACTCATGCATTTTCTCTACCCCCCCACACCGCCACCCCCCCCCTGTGCATGGCGGGGCATGGCAGAGCATGTTTGCGGACATCATGAGCGAGTCACAGCTGTCCATGCATCTCTTCCACAACGTCGCCTTCGCCCTGCGTGTCTCGCCCGCCCTGCGCCCCGCCTGGGAGGCCCTCAACAACGCCACGGCACCCTGCATCATGTCAGCTCGCCTCACTGCCCTCATGCGCCCATGCACGCACGCATGCATGCGTAATGTTGCACACTCTACATCCCGTTACTTGTGCTGCCTCTGCCTCTACTTTCACTGCTGCTGCAGTCTTGGTACCCTCTCACCGTGCTGTTTCGCCATGTCAACCCATGCCGTGCCATGCCAAGTCATGCCATGTCATGCCACCAACATCTCTACCCTTCACTCACGCCGTATCCCTCCCTCCCCCACCCGCAACCCCTCCACCGGCCTGTTCGGCTGTGCATGGGTGCAGGGACGAGGGCAGGGGGTGCACGGAGGAGCGCATGGAGTATGCGCCCATAGTGTTTGAGGAGCTCGCCCATGCGCCACACCGCGGCCTCGACCTCTACCAATGTGAATCACCCCCTGCACCGCCCCCCTTCCCCCCTTGCTCTGCTACCCACCATTTCCTGCCGCACACTTCTTTTCTCTGCCCACCGCGTTCATGCGTCGCCTACCTAATCCACCCCCCCCCCCCCCCCCCCCCCCCACCCCCCACCTGCCCCCACAACCCATGACGCGCAGTGGACCAGCTGAACGCCACGGTGTGGCGGGCGCGGCAGCAGCTACGAGCAGTAGTGTCGCCCATCCTGGCCGCCATGCACGCGCCCACCGCCGTGCACTTCTCCCCCGCCGCCTCCTCCGACGCACACGTGTTCAAAGTGCTGCCTGTGTTCCGCTCCGCGCGCGCCTACTCGCCTGCTGTTCCCGCTGGGCATGACGGCGACGAGGGCGTGGCGAGTGAGGGGCTGGGCGCGGGCGTGGGGGAGGGCGAGCTGGGGGGATTCATGGTGGCGGAGATGGACGTGGATGGGCTGTGGAAGGACATCAGCAAGGTAAGGGGGCGCACAGGGCAAAGGGCTAGGGGATAGGGGCAACCGGTAGCTCCATGCCTTGACTACGTGCGCACGTTCTGCCTGCCTTTCCCCGTGTGCTCCGTTGTATGTGCTCTGCGTGTGGTTGCCCCTGGATGTGCACGGGTGTGCGTGGGTGTGCATGGGTGTGCATGCATGGGATGGGAGCAGGCGACATCACCAGCGGCGGACATGGTGTTGCAGATAGTGGACGTGACGGATGGCAGTGCACCGCAGCTGGTGCTAGACGCCTCGCGCCACGTGTACAACCCCGCAGACCGGGTGGCAGAGGGGCCCTTTGCTCGTGTCAACAGCATTGACTTCGGCGACCAGTTCCGGCAGTACGAGCTCCGATGCAGGTCCGCTCATCATCCCACCACTCCCTCGCTCCCTCGCCCCACATTCTTCCCTCGTTTTAGTTTCTCCCTCACCCGCTCCCTCTCTGTCTCCCTCATGCGTCATTCTAGTCGGCCAACCACGGCCATGCTGTTGCTACCATGCTATTCCCCTTCCCCCCCACACCCCCACCATCAGGTACGCGAGTGTGCCAGTGCCGGTGCTGCCGGTGGTGTGGATGGTGCTGGTGCTGGTGGTGGTGGCGGGGGCGGCGTACCTGCTGTGTGTGGCGCAGAGGCATCTGAGTGTGGCGAGGCGCAACCTGAGGCGCATGGGGCTGCTCAAGGACCGCATGAAGCGCGCCAAGGTGCTGGCGGAGATGGGCAACCGCGCCAAGGGCACCTTCCTCGCCACCATGAGTCACGAGCTGCGCACTCCCCTCAATGGCGTCATCGGTGCGTGCCGCTGCATGCAGCCCCCACACTCCACTCGCCTCGCTCCGGCCCCTCTGCTCTCTGCACCTCTCCTTCGCGCGCGATTTTCGGTTCCTTGTGCACCGCTCGTTAGCAGAATCAAGCAGCACGTGCCAACCACGTCACATGCGCCCACGCCTAAACATGTTCCCCTCCCCCCTCTCTTGTGCGCGCTGCACGTGGTGCGTGCATGGGTGGCAGGCATGATGAATCTGTTGCTGGAGACGCCATTGAGTGCGGTGCAGCTGGACTACGTGGACACGGCGCGCACGAGTGGCAGGGCGCTCGTGGACCTCATCAACGACATCCTGGACCTCTCCAAGATCGAGGTCACCCACCTCTACATGCCATGCCATGCCATGCACGGCTTGCCGTCCCCCACCATCCAGTTTTTCTCTGCCTCTCCCACTTGCTCGCTCCCTTCCTCTCACTACTTGTTTCCATTTCTCCCCCCCCCCTCTCCCCCCTCCCACGCCTCTTTCCCTTGTGCTGCGGTCCGCCGCTGCCTGCCTGCGCGCGCTGTGCTGTGGGCGACGGGCATGCAGGCGAAGCGCATGGTGTTGGAGAGTGCGGCGATGGACGTGCGCAGCGACGTGGTGGACGACGTGCTGAGCATGTTCGTGGACCGCATCCGCGCCAACCCCCACGTCGAGGTCGCTGCCTACGTTGATCCCGCCGTGCCCTCCCTCATCTTTGGAGACTCACTGCGCCTGCGCCAGGTGGGTCCAGAGGGGGAGAGAACGGGGGGCATGCAAGGGACGGCGAATAGGGTGTGAGGTGGGAATGCAGTGACAGTGCTTGAAGCTAGGTGCTCCATGCCCTATTATTGCACAGACAAGCTTCCAGCCTTCTCATTCTCCCTGCCCCATGCCTCCTGCCTCATTGCTCCTCGCTCCATGCATCCCTCGTGTGTCCTCTCCTCTCTCTCCCCCATTGCTGCGCGCCACGGTGCATGGCAGGTGCTGATGAATCTGCTGTCCAACAGCTGCAAGTACACGGCGCGAGGCCACATCTTCATCTGTGTGCGTGCCGTGCGCTCAGACGAGGACCTGCGCCGCGTGCTGCTGCTGCACTCGCGCACCACCACCACCGCCCACGCCCTGCCACACCGCGGTGGCACAGGCCCAGGCCCCCATGACTCGTCGGCGTGGCGTGTGGTGTCGCCGTCCGCCCTCATGCGCCCCGCGCTCTCAGGCCCCGGTGCCGGCCCCGGCCGCCTGCAGCGCGCTTACCTGGGGTCAGGGACGCTGGGGGGCGATAGGGTGCTGCGCGAGGGCGGAGAGGGGGAGGAGGGCGTGGAGGGCGGTGGCTGGTCCAGCAGCAGGGATGATGACAGTGCTTCCATGTGCGGGGAGGAGGGCAGGGGTAGTATGGAGAGGGAAAAGGAGAGGGGGAGAGAGAGGAGGTGTTATGAGACACTGAGTGGGTATGAGGCGGTGGAGAGCTGCAACAGCTGGGCGCATGTGCGCATGCAGCAGCAAGCCATGGCGTCTGGTGGTGCATTGGAGCAGGGAGCGAGTAGAGGGGGTGCGGGAGGGCAGGGGGTGGCAGCATCATCAGGGATGGTGCGACTGGTGGTGTCTGTGGAGGTACACTGCACCCTCTCATGCCTCTTCTGCCATGCTCTGCCATATCACGCTAGCCATGCCATGCAATGCCACGCCATGCCATGCACGCCAAACCTCTTGCCTGCAGTGCTATCCCACGTTGTATGTGCACCTATGCCCTCTCGCCCTCTGCCCTTGCTGGCCACGCCCCCCCGCTGTGCTGGTGGCATGGCAGGACACGGGCGAGGGCATCCCGTTGAGTGCGCAGAAGAGCATTTTCAAGCGCTTTGTGCAGGCGGACGCCAGCAGCACGCGCACGCATGGTGGCACGGGCATCGGGCTGACCATCTCACGGCACCTGGTGCACCTCATGGGCGGCAAGCTCAGCTTCGTGAGCCGCCCTGGCATCGGCACCACCTTCTACTTTGACTTCACCGTGCCCTTCCACGCCCCCAAACCACCCGCTGCTGCTGCTGCTCCTCGTAGTGCCGGGGCAGCAGTGGGTGGCAGGGCAGGGCGAGGGGTATCTAGTATCAACTCGAGCGACTGTGTGTTCACAGCTCCTCCTCTCTCCCCGCCCACGCTGCAACACCAGGACGAGCTATACCAGGGTGCAGCCGCTGCCTCACTAGGCATCAGCTGCTCCCCCTTGCCCTCCCTCTGCCCTCCGCCCCTCCACCTCATGCCTCCACCAACACCACCCTCCGTGCATTCCCCGCTGCCCGTGCACGAGGCACCTCCCTCCACACAGGGTGCGGCAGAAGCAGCAGCACTATCTCCAGAAGCAGCAGCAGCAGCAGCGGTGGCGGTGGCAGGGCAGCATGTGTGTTGGTGCCCGGCAGCGCTGTCAGGCCCGTATGCAGGTGTGGCGGCGGTGGTGCTGGACGACTGGGCGGTGCGCCGTGCTGTCATGCACACGTACCTCGCTCGTCTGGGAGTCACTGTCCTGCATGCTGATGCGCATGCACATGGCCATGCCTGCATGTGCCATGCAGGGCACCAGGCAGCAGGGCACCAGGCAGCAGGGCACGGAGTGGAGGGGGGCCCTCATGGCAGTGCGCGTACCGCTGCCGGCCTGCAGGGAGACGCGTCAGCAGAGAATGGAAGGGACATGGCTGTAGGCGCCCTTGGCAGCGCGAGTGCTGGTATGGAAGGTGTGAGTGCGGGTGGTGCAGGTGGCAGTGCAGGGTCGTGGGAGGCGGTGTGGGCAGCGCGGGGCATGGTGGTGGTGGTGGAGCATGAGTGGCTGGCGGACAGGGGCGGGTTGGCCAGGGGGTGGCGGCACCGCGTGGAGGCAGCAGCGGGGTGGGTGGTGCAGCAGTACCGCCGCTCCCACCACCATGCGCTCACTGCTGCCACACCACACACTGGGGGTGCTGCCAACAGCAGCATGGCAGGAGCGGCCGAGCAAGGGCGGTGGTTTGGGTTGCCGGAGAGGTGGCGGGCGATTGTGGTGTTGCGTGATGCGAGGCAGGCAGGCGGGCTGAAGCAGCGCCATGGCGTGGCAGCCGTGCTCATCAAGCCCATCCGCCACGCCGCCCTCGCTGGCTGCCTGGGGGAGGCCCTGGGGATGGACGCCGCCCCTGCTGCCCATACCCCGGCCGCCCAACCTGCCCCCGCCCTGCACATGCCTGCATCCGTGCTTCTCCCACACTCTCCTGCTGCGCGTGCTGGGCTGGACGGAGGGGGGCGGGCAGGGGTGTGCGATGAGAGTGAGGGCGGCGAGGAGGCCCCTCTTCTGCCGCTGAGTGCGTCCGTGGGTTCGTCACCGGCTGTGCCTGGGTGCTGCGTCCCACTGGCAGCACGCTCAGGCATGCAGCACCGCAGCAGCAGCACCAGTGCTCTGGCAGCGCTGTGTGGGGCGGGCAGGGGCGCACACGGAGGAGAAGGGCTAGGGGCGGAGCAGGCACATGTGAGGGAGGGCGGTGGTGGGGGCGAGGAGGCTAGTGCAAGGTCTGCACGTGAGGGGCGTGGGGGGATGGCAGGGAATGTGGTGGGTGAGCATGTCCCAGCAGTGGCAGCAGAGGATGCAGGAACCCAGTTGGCAGCAGGGGCCACAAGAGGAAAAAGAGACGTGGCTGGTGGCGGTGTGATGAGCAGTGCAAGGCACAAGAGCGCTGCTGCTGCAGGGCTGTGCCATGCTCTGGAAGGCTCCAAGTTCCTCGTGGTCAGTGGTCGTGTGTTGCATGCACGCATGCTCAACAGCATCATGCTGCTCCCTGCACACCCCCCCTGCTGCTCCTCACGTATTCTTGTGTGGCGCCCGTTATGCATGTGTGCACCACAATATCCTCTTCCTTGACTGTGCTTCGCTGTGTGTATGGGGGGTGGGGTGAGGCGTGCGCATGGCAGGTGGATGACAATATGGTGAACCGCAAGGTGATCAGCAAGATGCTGCAGCGCTACGGTGTGCATGTGGAAGCCGTGGAGGGGGGCGCACAGGCGCTGCAGCGCCTGCAGCAGCCACATGAATTCGTGGGGGTCTTCATGGACGTGCAGGTGGACTCACATGCCCCATGCCCTATGCCCCATGCCCCATGCGTATCTGAACATGGAAGTGGCATTCCCCATGCCACATGCTGCATGGCCCATGCTGCATGGCAGGTGCCATGCCAAATTTAACCTGATGCAAGCGGCACACCACATCCATGTGCATGCTTGTGGCTCTAGCTGTCAATTCTCGGTTCTCGTTCAAACGCCACCTCTGCCTGCTGCCCATGCGTCTGTGTCTTGCCTCCCCCCTGCCCGCACCTCAGATGCCAGGCATGAACGGCTTCCAGGCCACCAGGGCCATTCGCAACATGGAGGCCGCTCAAGGTGCTGCCTGCACGGCACCGCTGCCCACTGCTGCCACCGCACAGGAGAGCGTGCCTGCCACGCCAGTCGCACTAGCTGATCCTCATACGCAAGCACCACCGCCCCCTGGGGTGCCGTCGCCACTGCCAGCAGCAGCCACAGCACAGCGTGGCACTGTCGCTCCCCCCTCGCCGTCATCCCCATGCCCGCCTCCTGCATCGCCCTGCACGCCCCCTGGTCGCCCTGCACCGCGGCAGCGCCTGCTGGTGTTTGCCCTCACGGCGGACATTGGTGGGGGCACGCGGGAGCGGTGTGCAGTGGTGGGCATGGACGGGTACATGACCAAGCCCATCGAGGAGGACCAACTCGCCTCTGTTGTGCTGCCCTTCTTCCACCCGCCTCCCACCGCCCCTCACACACACCCGCCTCTTCCTGCTGACCCAACTGCTTCCCCTCATTGACCCACTGGAGGGACCATTGTAGCACAGACGTGTTGTTGTGCAAGGAATTGCATGCAGCTGTGAGAATCATGTGCATTTTAGACCAAGCTGCACCTACGATAGGATGCCTCCACCTAACACTTACCGTCATCGCCCGGATAGAAGACAGTGTCGAATTGAAGACAGGGGGTGTCTTTAATACGGGTGTTTCTTATAGTTGGGTGCTTCCGATTATAAGCCACCTACAAGCGTGTACGACTTAAGACAGTGCCTACTAAACAGTGCTAGGGTTTAGGGTTTCCTTATAAAGGGGGTGGGTGTCTTATAATCGGTTCTTGCATTCAGGGGTGGGGGGGTACATGCATGCATTTATCCAATCTTACTATTTCTACCTAGCCCCCCTCTGTTACGCCCTCATCTGCACTAGTAGATGGTGGCTCCTGCATCCCCAAGTCTGGCACTCGCCAGGCGTGCCTGGCTGTCTGCACGGGCTCGATCATGCGGTCAGCCTCGGCCGCCGCTCCCCGGTAGTGAGGGGTCTCCTGGTACAGCACCTCCAGGCCGGTGGCCACGGCCACCTCTTTCACGCCCTCCGCCTGCATCTCCTCTTCCTCCTCCTCCTCGGGAGCCTTCCCAAGCAGGCGCGTGTTGTCGCCCGTGGTGCCCCCGAGGCACATGTCTTCGGTGACATCGGTGGTGCTCCTGGCGCGCAGGTGGGACATCACCAGATGGTTCTCGGTCCCATCCAGCTTGCTTGAGATGCCGCAGTGACGGAACGCGTCAATGATCACCTGCCTAGGGACTTGATCCCACGCCTCCGCTATCCACTGCAGCACCACGGGATGCGGGGGTCTCCTCAGGTTCCCTGCGGGTGGGTCACATTCAGAGCAAACGTGCCGTCAGATACCGTACATCAAGAGCTACACTGGCAGGCATTTACTGATCACCGACAGTGGACTCACCGTTCTTCGTCTTCAGGTAAAGGCCTTCACGCATGAACCACCTAGCGTAGCGAGCTCGCACCCCGGCCTTGAAACACCGGTTGATGGAAACGTCAAGTGGTTGAATTTGACTGGTGCAACCTGCAGGGATTACAGCCGGAGTGATGCTGTGCGTGCGATAGGCGCGAAGCATGCCCTGGGTGATGTGGCCGCGGTACGAATCCAGAACCAGCATCGCACGCCGTGCGCACTGGCCCCGCTGGGGGTTGAGATGAGGCAGCACCTCCTTCGTCAGCCAAGTCTGCACAGCGGTCTCGTCCATCCAACCGCTGTCCTGTGCTTGGACCACCACTCCTGCCAGGCACATAGGGAGATAGGGGAGTGAGCCAAACAGGGCCACGGTGGTCTCCCTAAACCCAAATTCGTTTAGCTCACCAGCGGGGACGTCACACCTCGGCACGTTCTTCATTTTGAACCAAACCCACGGCCGCAGCTTCTCCCCGGATGCCGTGCACGCGAGCATCACTGTCAGCCGCGTCTTCTCGTAGCCGGCCGTGCGGATCGGGACCGAGCGCGCACCACGGTGGTCAAGGGTCCTCTCGGCCGGCATTTCAACGAAGAGGGGCGTTTGATCCGCATTGATGATGCGGCTTGGGTCGATGTTGTGCCGCGCCCTGTTGATCCTGACGAACTTCCAAAAAGACTCGCAGTCTTTTGCGCATTCTGCCAAGGCAAAAGAACACACACAAGGATGGGATGAGTCGGGATATGCAAGTTTATATCGTGGTAAGGACAAGGAGTTGACAATGCGCAGTGAATTCACAGCCTAGAACCACTCACCAGCCGACAACCGCTGGCCAACCTTTGTCTTCACCCGCATGACGAGATTCCAGCGGTCGCGGAAACGTTGGCTCCAGTGGGAGCTCGCGTTCCAGTTCTTCCCGGGGTGGTGCTTCTTCATCCACTCCCGGCTCCACTTCTGCGTGTCCTTGACCGAGATCGCCACCCCATTCGCGCGATGCAGGCAGATGTATCGGTACAGCGCCGCCTCCATGTCGGGGTGGTGTGAGTGGCGGCCTGCCCCATGCATGCGCTTGCGAGAATTCGCAGCGCCCTTGTACATGCCCGCTGCAGCCTGCGCGCTCCAGCGTCTGATGCACGCGATGCTCGCCGAAGACTCGGCCGAGGTCTTCTTGAGGGAGCCGAGCTCCGCGTAGCGACGCGCCCACTTCACCTTTTCGCGCACGGACCAGCTCCGCCTGGTCCGTTTAATCCCGCGACTGCGTGGGGAAGGGGGGCGGGAGTTAGCATTACAGATGGTGGGGTCTTTTGGCTTCGCCTTCTCAGGGAATGAAGGCATGGGGCCTGCAGCCTCCGCGTAGTCGTCGTCACTGCCCTGCGCCTCGTTTACCAAGATGTCGTCCTTGTTCTTGACAGCCTTCTTCTTCTGCCTCTTCGCGCCTTTGCTTGAACCCGGGTCGCCATCGTCCTTCCACTTCTTCTTGCTCTGTCCGACGCGAGGGGCGACCTTAGCAGGAACCTCAACCACCTTAGCCTTCCCCTTGTCAGCAGCAGGGACGCGGGGTCGCCGCTCCTCATCCGGGCTGTCGTCGTCCGAGAGCAGCACCCGGGTTTTTTTCCGGGACACGCCTAGGCTGTGACGCAGCCGCCTCTTCAACAGAGGCACGTCATCATCTGACGAGACGCGCCATGGGTCGTCCGCGTCGTCCTCGCCTTCGAAGAAGACAGCATCACGGCCATCACCCGCCTCCGCCACCACAACAGCAGCCGTATTTGCGCCTGTTTCGGCCTCCGCATCTGCATCCGCCTCCGCATCCGCATCTTCATCCGCCTCCGCATCCGCATCTGCATCCGCCTCCGCATCCGCATCTGCTTCCGCCTCCGCATCTGCACCCGCCGCCTGAGCTTCTACCGTCGCATCCGCTGCCGCATCAGCAACCGCATCCGCGCCTCCGTCATCGTCATCGTCGCCGGCGTGCCACTCCTCCACATCGTCGTCGGAGCCTATCGGCTGCATCCACCAGTCGTCATCGTCGATGCCTCCGGCAGGCACCTCGTCACCAGATGCGCTGTCGTCGTGGCCGTTTTCCGGCCAGTCCTCTTCGTCCTCGTCGCCATGATCTTCGTCGCCGGCGTCTTCGTTGCCCTCTTCCTCGTCACAACTTGCGCCAGAGCCGGCGTTGGAGCTCCCCGCCGGTTGGCGCTTCTCTTTCGCCATGTCTACCCGGATGTCGTCACCGGGCGAGTTGATGCGCCCATAGTTGGTAACATGGACGTTAGGGAGAGGAGACGGCGCGCTTGCAGGATGCTTACTACGCATGATAGAGCCTGCTTAGAGCTAAGATTGAGCCACTTTCGAGTTTCACGAGCAAAAAATGAAGCTCAACCTCGACTACCCCCCATTCCAGAGTGCCCCCCCCCCCTTGGAAGACGAGCCGCTCCTCTACGGCAAATTTGCTCGTAGAGGACAACTCAGGATGGCAGGATGCTGCCATCGTGCTGCTGGCAGCGTTCTAGAAGGCTCTGTTCCCTGCTGGCAGCAAAACGACACTAGAAGCATCATGAGATGCTGCCAGCAGGGCGGAATTCTGCCAGCACAAGCAGCATTGATGCTTCTCATCACGTGGCACGAGGTGGCGGCGCATGAATCGCATCAAAATGTGGCTGTTTTCAATTAATCCGCCCCGTGGGTGGTTTCTACAGTCTTTCCGAATGTTACATGGTTCTTATATATTTTGCCTATTTATAAGAATTATAAGACACCCCAAACCGTCCCAAATATAAGACACAGCAAGCATTTTTTCCAATGTATAAGATAAGACATATATGTCTTCTATCCGGGCGATGACGGTAGCTCATACACACAGTGGTTTGCCTGCCTAGCAGTGCTTAAGCTGCGGCTGCCTTTTTCCTTGCTCACAGCCTCTGCATGCCTCTCTCCACCCACTGGCCCCACAGCAGTCCCATGAGAAGGGTTGCATTGGTTGTAGCTGAGGCTGAATATTGATAAGTGATGCGTGCAGTGTTGGCTTGAGTAACATGGCATACAATAATAAATAGCCTGTTTTGCACACTTCAACTCCCATCTCAGTTGGACTGGGTGGCCATGTGGTTGAGCTGCAGGCCTGGCAGGCATGGCGGCGCCGTGGCCCACTGCAGCTCACTGTGTGGCGACATGAAGGGCGGCCTGCCATGCACGCATGTCCCAGGCACACAGAGGCGTGGAGAGGGGCAGCACAGCAGGGGGACAAGGTCAATGCACAGCACACTAGAAGGTGACACTTGAGGGGGAAAATGAGAGAGAAGAGAACACAAACGTTTCATGGATGCATGGCAGAGCCACCTACTTACCCACCATAAGGCCTCTCCTCACCCGTCTGATTCCCCCTGCCAGCACGCTTCCATGGGGAGTGCGTTCATGCGCCCATGGCGCCCCCCATGCATGCCCGCACTGCCCGCACCGCATGTTGCTTGTTCTGGTCATTTTGAGAGCTGCTCTCATCTCATCTGCCATTGCAAGTTGTTGCGCTGAGCTGCACAGGGGAAAGCTCGCATGGCAGGCACAGCTGACTGCACATTACCCTGCCACAACATGCCATCCCACCCCGCTCACGCGTGTGTGCCAGCAATTTCCCCCTCCATGCCAAGCCACGCCAACCCATGCCAAGCCATGCCAACCCATGCCAACCCATGCCAAGCCACGCCAACCCATGCCAACCCATGCCAAGCCAAGCCATGCCAACCCATGCCAAGCCAATCCACGCCATGCCATGGCATGCCAATACAAGTGAAGCCATGCATGGCATGGCAGCCCATGTGAGCGCACCTCCTCTTGTGTCCATCGCATGCCACCGCGCCCTCCCTGCTCGCCATCCTCGCCGCCACCACCTGCCTGCTCATGCCTCCTCCCCTCCGGCCCCCCTGCAGCAGGGCACGGAGCGCAGTGCAGTGCTCGTGGGGCATCCACGCCAGGGCCTCCTGCACCATCCGCTCCACCGCCTCATCCTCTTCCGCCCCTCCTGCCGCCCATCCCGCCCTCCCTCTCACCCTCTCTCCGCTCCCGCCACATTGTTGGTGGCACTGTCCGTGCCCCCCTGCTGCGCGCGCGTGACTCCCATCCCTTCACACTTGCCCTCGCGCGCCTCCACACATCCTCCCTCCGCCTCGTCTCCACCCCTACTCCTGCTCTCTCCTCCCCTTCGCCCCATCGTGCGCCACGCTGTGCAACGCCTGTCGGCGTGCGTGCGTGTGCCCCCTGTGGGGCAGTGGGTGGCGGAGCACATGGCCGAGGGGCGCTATGCCGGGGTACACACGTCGCAGCACCCGCAAACCCACCGCCACGCCTGCTGCCCCGCATGCGGCCGCTGCTGCTGCTGATGGTACTGGTGATGCCGCTGCTGCTGCTGATGGTACTGGTGATGCCGCTGCTGCTGCTGCTGTTGCTTCTGGAAACGGCGATGCGGGTGCTGGTGGTGCTGCAGCTGCCGTCGTGGGTTCTTCTGCTTCCTCGCTACTCGCGCGCCCTGCTGGGATCCTCTCGCCTGCCGCGGGACATCCGTGCAGCACCGCCACAACCGTTCCCCCCGTGTCACTGCCTCGCCCATCTCCCTGTGCATCGCGTTCCATCCGCCCTGCCACCCACCGCTGCTACTCGCGCGCCGTCACTGCTAGGTGCCCCCACTACTGCGCCACTGCTCTCTCCTCCACACACGTCCACGAGTTTCGGCGCCAGCAGCAGCTGCAGCAGCAGCAGAGCAGTCGCGCCCTCCCCAGCATCAACACGACGACCGCCATGACTGCATGTCGCTAAGCACACCGCGTGCGCGCCCCTATCGCTGGCTCGCACGGCACGCCGCGTGCCGCACTCACTGCGCTCAACACCTTGCTGGCTCCGCCCACCAGCTCGCGTAGCGTATCACACAAGCCCTACCTCTCCGCCTCTCCGCCTCTCCGCGGCCAGCCCGTGCAGCTCGTTCGCGCGCGTGCGACGTACTCTCGCTTCTCTGCTTCCCGCCTCAGATTCCCGTGTCACGCGCTGTGGACATAGAATTGCTGAAGATGGCGCATTGCTCACGGCTCATGCTGTCATGCCACGATGCTGTCAGTCCTTGCTGCGGTGAAGCTAAAGAGTGTATTCTGGATAGCCGCTTCACGCGTAATCCCCAGTCGACTCGATTGTTCTCTTGCGTGAATCGCCTTGATTTCCTAACACGGCGGCGGCGAGGCAATTGGTTCGGCTGCATTGGGGATTCGCCGAACAGAGGGAATGTGGAGTGGGGTTGGTGTCCGCGACAAAGAATCAGACATTTCGCAGTCAATGTGATCCCGAGGACCAAACATGATAAAAACACCAACAAAACAAGTACACGCCCCTTCAGCAATAGCACCATCCACATCGGTCATTGTCTCTGCCCCTTCACCGTCACACGCGCGATTCACGGGTTAGGTATGCGCCTTCCGCCCGCACCCACAGCAACCTGATTTATGAGTGGTTCTTTGCCAGATCTGTGTCCCCACGTTCATCCCTCCGTGCGGCCGTCTGTGCATGGAAGCAGTCATTGCTGTCTCGCCACTGCGCGTTACCCCGACCCTGCGCTCGTCCGCCGAGTTTCGGTGGTCCGTCGCGTCGTGCCCTCTTGTTCGCAGTAGCGATTCTCATCGTCGTTGGGGCCGTGCGGCCCCGTTGTTCCCGTTCCGCTCGTCCTCGCCGCACCCACCACCGGCACGCAGGTCCAATCTGGTTTCCTCGCCGCGCGCCGAAATGAAGTCCGCACGAGCAGCGCAGTTGACGGCGGGGAAGGCGCTGGTGGTGGTGGGGTCGGCGAACGCGGACGTGTACGTGGAGGTGGCGCGCATGCCGCTGGCGGGCGAGACGGTCAGCGCCACCTCGGGCTGCACGTTGCCCGGCGGCAAGGGCGCCAACCAGGCCGCGGCGGGCGCCCGCCTGGGACATCCCACGTACCTCATCGGACAGGTGCGAGCACACTAGGTGCCACACGCATTCGCGTGCTGCTGCCACCGGTTTCCCTCTCGCTTACTCTGTTCTAGGGCTCATTCCGTCCCCACCTCTCCCTCTCTTACTCGCTCTTTGCTTGCGCGCCGCCCTCGTGTCTCGGCGCGTGCGGCTGACAGGTGGGCAGCGACGCCAACGGCGCGATGCTGTCGGCAGCGCTGGCAGGCACGGGCGTGCGCGTGGACCACCTGGTCACGCTAGGCGCGCCCGCGCCCGCCTCTTCCTCCGCCGCCATGACGTCCGCGCACCCCAGCGTGGTGGCCGCCAACGCCGCCAAGGCGGAGGCCGAGGCAGCCCTGAGCCAGGCGCATGCGGCAGCGCAACGAGCACAGCTGGCTGCGGCGACTGCGAGCCGGGAGGCACAGGCTGCTGGTGGCGGTAACTTCCGAACAGGGGCTGCGAGTGCCGCTGCAGCCACCGCACAGGCGGAGGCAGAGGCAGCAGCTGCAGCCCAGAGAGCGGCGTCGGCGGCAGCACGGGCCGCCGCAGAGGCAGCGGCAGCAGCAGATGGACAGAGCGAGGCTGCTGCAAGGGGGGCGGCCGCTGCCGCTGCTTCTGCTGCGACTGCGGCTGCTAACATGGCAGGGGGCGGTGGAGAAGGGAGTGTGGCAACAGGGCAGGCGATAGTGATGCTGCAGGCGGACGGCAGCAACGCCATCATCATTGTGGGCGGGGCGAACATGGCGTGGAGCAAGAGGCGCGTGGAGGGCAGGGGTGGGGGGCGCAGGGAGTCGTTCTTCAGCGAGCAGGCGAGGGAGGCGATCCGCGGGGCGGGCATGGTGCTGCTGCAGAGGGAGCTGCCGGACGACGTCAATGCTGAAGCCGCGGAGGTGGGTGGGATTGGTTGCGCGTGTCAAGGGCGGGAGTGAGAGTGCAGTGGTACGCACGGAAAGGTGGAAACGGAGTTTGTTCCAGTGGCACAGCATTCTGTCTTGCCTCAGAGTCGCTGCCTGTGTGTGATGCGTGTGTCCTCGCCCCCATCACTCGCTCTCCCTGTTCCAAATGCAGCTGGCAGGGGCAGCGGGAGTGCCAGTGGTGCTGGACATGGGGGGCATGGACGGGCCTCTACCAGACGCCATGGTGCGGCGCGTGGCAGTGATGAGCCCCAACGAGACGGAGCTGTCTCGCCTCACAGGCCTGCCCGTCTCCTCCATCCCCGACGCCGAGAGGGCTGCGCTCACCTTGCTGGCCAAGGTGTGGCGCACGAATGCTGGGATGGCATGCTGTCTCGGGTTAGCAGAGAGTACCTTTGTGCTAACTCATTTAGTGGCTATGCTATGCCATGCCAAGTCCCTATGGAGTTAATATCGTCCGTGCTGTACTCACTTGTGCGCCCCACTGCTGCTTCCTGCTCTGTCCAACGCTCGTGAAACCTGTACCAGGGAGTGCCCAAGGTGCTGGTGAAGCTGGGCAGCAGTGGCTCCTTGCTCGTGTCCTCCTCCCCTCTCGCACCCGCCTCCTCCTCCTCGCCCCTCTCTGCCACTCTCACCACGGGTACGGATGGCTCGGGGCGTCATGTGTGGCAGCTGCGGCAGCCAGTGGTGCCGGCGCGCACAGTGGTGGACACAACAGGGGCCGGCGATACCTTCACCGCTGCATATGCCGTGGCACTGCTGTCCGGCTCCTCCGATGCTGATGCGCTGCTATTCGCCTGTGAGTCCATCCAAGGGTGGTCGGATTGTGGGGGGTGCGGGGGGAGGAAAGGTGTAGGGGGTAAGGCATTGGCTTTCAGCACATCTATTTGAGTCGTCTGGGTTGTCCCCTGTGCACTTAATTGCGATTCTGACCTTGGTCTGATTCATGGCTCCTGTGCTTGTCCCATGCAGCCTGTGCTGCTTCGCTGTGTGTACAAAAGAAGGGAGCCATGCCAAGCCTCCCAGACCGGGCCGCGGTGCAAGCTTTGGTGCAGCAATCGCAGAACTCTTGGTGACTCCGCTTGTGGGACCAGCTCAAAGCTAAACTCGGGACCTTGTGACCTTGCTACACATTAATGTGTACATCGTATTGCCCTCTGCTAGTGAGTGGCATCACGGAAGGAATACTTGCTCAACAAGTGAATTCATTAGTTGTTAAACTCTTGAATCGTTTGTTATTGTTGGATTGCGCTGGGGCTTGTGAGCTCCTAATGAAGTACAATTGAAACTGCTACCGAGTCAGTCTGCTGGGAAGTGTGTTGGGCGAGAATCATTGCAGTGTGGAACTTGGGTGCGGGTTACCCGATGTGGACGTGCTGTCACACCTGCGAGCTTCGACAACATTCGCAACGCAACGTGCAGATCTGTTGGTTCGTCTGTGCATGTCGTTCCCAGCCTTCCCGTCCATCCATCTCCGCCTTTCCGCGCTGCCCTTTCCCCTCCACCCAACCTATCCACTGCGCCTCCCCCTACCCTCTGCCGCGCAAAGGCAGTGATGCTGGTGTGCGTGCAACACGGTTGCAGAGGCGGCCTTGGCTGCGCAAGCCAGACGAAGTGGAGCACACACAAACGACACCACCAACTCCCCGAGCAACCATCTGCTGTAGTGTTGCAATACCCAACTCACTTCTGTTGACCCCTTCAGCCGCATTCACTTGTGCCCTTCGCCGTGCGACATCCATTGCCATATTTTGCCGCCAGTCGGCAATCTGCGCAAAGCGTCTTCCCCACTGCATATTTCCGCAATGACCGCCGCCATGCCAGCGTCATCCCTCGACCCGCCCGCTCGTCGCTGGTCCTTCGCGCCCACTGCCGTCTTGGCCTGCTGCTTCTCCGCCTCGCCTGCGGACCGGGAATGCGCGGGAAATCACGGTAAACCGCAACGAGCGGTGACTTCATCGGATGCAGGTGTTGCTGTGTGCGATCCCTCGGCGCATGCCCATGACCGCGAGGATCGCAACATCGCATGTGCCCAATCATACAACACTCACAGCGTCGGAGCAAACGGTATCCGCAAATTCGATGGCAGCAGCTCGGAGACCCCGGATGCCAAAGGCGCTGTCGGCTCGCGTTGCCCTGCGCCACATGCGGACGCCAGGCGTAGCGCCACTGCCGGAGCCGGATCCGGAAAATGCGCCGACGGGCTCGCCGGTGAGGGCGGTCGGAGTCGGCTCTCCCGCTTGCTGTCTTCGATCCGCCGCAAGCGCCGCCGGCAGCCAGGCTCGCGGGGGGGACAGCCGCACGGCGGTGGGCAACGCGACGCGGAAAGGAGGGTGGGAGGGGAGGGCGGAGAGCCGGCGCCTGGTCCAGACGAGGCGCGGGACGTGTGGGAGGCGGCGGAGACCGGCGGGCTGAGCGCGTGGGTGGTGCCCGCGGTAGCGGCGGCTAACGCGGCGACGGCTGCGCTGGGCGACCTTGTTATGGGCGGCGGGCGCTTCTGCTTCCCGTCCCACCGGACCTTCCCGCCGCTCGCATCACTGAGCCGCTCCCGCAGCGTCAGTAGCGCCCACGATGCCGCGGCGGATAGTTCGCGCAGCCGCGGAAGCGTGTTGGGGCGGAACGCCAGCCTTGAGCGGAATGCGGGTGGCGAATCCGCGCGTGCTGGCGCAAGCCAAGGGGGAGGCGCAGAGACAGGCGACTGGGAGAAGAGCGAGAGGCGCGGCACAGACGCGCCTCAAGAAAGCGGAGCGCGCGAGGATTCGACGTGGGAGATTGAAGGGCAGTCGACGGCGGCCGCGGATAGCGAAGGCCGTGAGGAGGAGGGGGTGACGCGTGGAGGGCAGGAGGGGGGATCTGTACCTGTGGCGGAGGCGGGAGAGCGAATTGTGGGGGCGATCTGCGATGGTGACGCGGGCGCGGATGCGGACGAGGGTGGGGATGCGCTGAGAGCTGCTGAGATGGGCTCGGACGGGCCTGCGGGAGGGGGTAGCACGTGCCAAGCTAGGGACTCGGAGGAGTGCGGGGACGGGGAGAAGGCGTCGGCAGCGGGTCTAGAGAAACGCTTGCTTCCCCAGGAGGCGAAAGGGGAGGAGGAAGGTAGCGAGGAGAGTAAAGCGGGCAGGAATGGGATCACGGGTGGTGCGTTGGAGGGCAGTGCTGGCGCGGCTACTGGCAACGGCGCGAGGCGGGCGGGCAAGCCGGTGAATCGCGCGTGGCACCACAGGGGCGCGTCGGAGGGCGAGGGGGCGAGCGCGCGCCCCTCCTCCAGCAGTGGTGCCGTCAGCGCCTCCCCCATGCCTCCCCTGCCGCCCCGACCGCAAACGTCCGCAGCGGTGAGGGATGGGAAGGGCGGAGGGGAAGGGGCGCGGGCAATACAGGGCGGGGGAGATGTGCAGGTGCTGCGGATGGAGTGGGGGAGTGGCGGGGAGGCGGGGTGGGTAGTGAGGCACGGGCGACAGCAGCGCAGGCAGCTGCAGGCACAGCAGGAGGAGGAGGAGGAAGAGGCGCATGTGGAGGAGAGCGAGGAGGTGCATGCGGTGGGTGAGGGCTCGCCGCACTCGCATGCCAGTGCGAGTGGCAGTGGGGGCCGGCATGGTGCAGGTGAAGTTGACACGGCAGCGGGGAGCGGTGGTGGCAGCAGCAGGATGAAGTCGGGGTGGGGAGGGGATGGCAGGGAAGCATGTGTGCGGCATGCTCGGTCGCGGTCCATGGCAGTGAGCCTGCCGTCCTCCTCCACGCTCGTCCACGTGCACCCCTTCCAGCAACGCGTTCGCATGTTCACCACCGCCTCCACATCCCCCTCCGCGCACGCTCCCCCGACGCTCACTGCCTCCGCTGCCCCGGTGCCTGCTGACCGCGCATGTGTACGGTCAGTCGGTGCGCGCCCGAGCACTGAAGGGTGGCCGGAGCACACAGCGGAGGCTGGAGCACCCATGCTGCAGGCGTCGCCGCGAGTGCAGATGCTGCAGCGCCCCCATTCCGCTGGTGGACGGCGCCCCAACTGCAGCTGCCTGAGCTGCAGCGGTGGCAGCGGTGGTGCCATGCGTCATAGCGCTGGCCCCCTCGCTCCTTGCACTCGCGACCGCAGTGATGACAAGAGCGCACTGCACAGCCAGCCGTGGGGCGACAGCGGGCAAGCACTCGAGCCACCCTCTGCGCATGAGGGCTCTGGGCTCCCTGCTCTCGATGCAGGCACTGACAGTCTGGTGCCACTGGCCCCATGCTCCCCTGCTCACAGCAGAGGCGCAGTGCCACGGAGTGCCAGTGGCAGTGCTGGTCGCAGCAACATACTGAGGAGCAGCAGTGGGAGCAGTGCCGCCAGGCCCGTGCGCCGGGTTGCAGAGAGTGACGCGCATAGCACCAGCTCCCCAACCACCTTCCACGGATCCCCTGCCCCTACCAATCGCAGCCCCATGCGCCCCCCCCTGGCTGCCGTCCCTTGGGAGCAGGGAGTGGCGGGTGGTGGAAGATCAGGGGTGGCACAGTCAGGCGTGGGCAGGCCGGGCAGGACGAGGAAGGTGAGGCGGTGGGCGAGTGAGGACTTCAGGGATGCCATGGGCGTGGGGCAGTCGCCAGGCAGTATGCCGCAGGCGGGGGGGAGGGAGGCAGGGAGTGGGAGCGAGAGGGAGGCGGGCACGGTAAGAAGTAGTGCCCCGTGGGCCAGCAGAGGGCAGGCCATGGACAGTGCGGGGGAGTTGATGCAGCAGTCTGAGTGGATGGGGGAGGAGAGGGGGTCAAGGTGGGCAGTGGAGGGGTTTGGATCTCCAGTGGGCAGTGGTGATGAGGCTAGGGAGCACATGGGCAGAGAGCAGGAGCGGAGGATGAGAAGGAGGGGGGTAGGGCAGAGGGTATCACGAGAGAGGGCGACAGGGGTGGTAGATGACTGGGAGGACCCCGAGTGCAGAAATGTAGGGAGTGGGGATATAGAGAATGGGGGTGGCAGTGGGCATGCGAGGGTAGGGGCAGGTCCTCGGGTTGTAGGCAGCAGGCGGCTTCAGAAGCACAGGTCAGCGCCCATCAAGAGCCTTGAGCACGTGGTGGTGGGTAAGATGGCCGGAGGAGGCGATGGTGATGGTGGTGGTGATGGTGTGAGCATGGGTGTGTGTGTGGATGTAGGTGTTGGGGACATGGATGAGGCAGATCTGGAGTTCATGAGCAACCACTGGCCTCTGCCTGCTTTGCAAGGAAGGGCAAGTCCTCGTGTCTCAGTTCCGAATCAAGCCTTCTAATTATCACTGCTCTAGTTCTTTTCTGGGCAAAGTCTTGCTTCCTTGTCTTGACTTGCACGATTGATTGTATTAAATATATAGTTACCGTGTGATGAATGCAGTGTTCAGAATCTTCCAACCGACTTGTTTCCCCGATGAATGAACGCCTTTTGCGTCGGGCAACGCGAGGGCACACGATGAAGTTTCTTTTGAGTAGATCAGGGGAGCATCAAATTGCCATCACACATCTCACGTCACTCGCCCGAAATCAGCTACCTAGATGTGGTGATGGAGCGCGTAGTGCTATCCGGTGCAACGCTCGCGTCGCTAGTCCATGGATTGGCTGCTGGCGAGACCGATGGACTTCTTCTCGGCCGCCTGGAGCAGCGCACCACAGCTGTATACTCCGACGCGCAGGGCGATGATGGGCAGATTTCGCGCAACGATTTCTGTTTGGTGGTGACTGGATTTCGGTCGGCTGGTCGCGTCTTAAGCTTCTACGATGGAACGGGTACTGTGGACGTCGATCGAGTGCAGCTGCTCCTGGGCCCTTCGGAGAACGAGGGGTTTGGAGTCGCTGGCGACGGCCGGAGGAACACAGTCGCTTCCACCTCCGGATCTTGGGCTGGGCCTCACGAATGTGTCATTGGCTGGTTTGTCCGACGTTCCAATTCCCCCCTTCAGCCGTCCATGCGAGAGGCAGCGGTGACCGCACAGCTTAACGACCTGCGACAAGCCTTGCAGTCTGGTGATAGTCAGAAGCACCAGGCATCAGAGCTGCGAAATGAAGCGGAACCCGACGGTCACGGAGCATCTGGTTTCAAGCACGCTGGCACGCGCCCACAACGAGACTGGGGGCAATTGGCCCAACTTCCGGACATGTGCATGAAGAGGTGGTTCAGCAAATCAATCCGGCCTATCCTTTGCATCTTCAACTCGCAGTGGGATTCCACCAGATCCACGCATACTACGCACTACCTTGCCTATGCCCTCTCCCCAGAGTTTCCTCCGACTTCCTCTATCTCTGCCACTGTTTCAAACCGTCTTGCGCTTCTGCCTCTTCCGATCTCTGTTGCGAACCTTGGACTCGCGCATCGACCCTCCTTCCCCACCTTCCTTTCCATGGCCCTGCCTTCCGTACAACCGTACCCGCTAAGTAGTGTCGTGAGTTCCACGGCCAGTGACTGCAACTCGCAGCAGTTGCAGTGGGAGGAGTTGCAACACAAGGGTCGACAGCAGGTGGCTGCATTTGAAGCTGTATACGAAGGTACGCTGTCAAGGCTTGAAGCCAGTGCAGCAGCTGCTGCAGACAGCACCGTTGAGCTTGTGTAGATGCAGGGTAGCCTTGTAGGACCCGAACCGTGCATAACAATGATTCAGTGTGAAGATTATTCGCCTTGCCACTGCCAGGACAGGAAGCAGCATGGTATGGTAGTGATACCGTATTCTTCCGGCTATAGGACCCGCCAGTAAAAGGGTCCCCTGGGACTCTCTATAGGGGAGTGGGACTCCTATTTTGATACTGTTTTGTGAGGGACCCCCTTTTGCCCCTAACAGTGCAACATCCCCCTATTTAGAAAGCTTGCTTTCTTGTGGTTGCAATGGCAACGAGCTTCGTTTCAAATGGGTCTTCTGAGACATGAGACGGGGAGATGCTGCGGAGACGGTAAAGGTTGTTGATGGTTTATGCGACGACATGTCGGTGGAGTTCCAATCATGCGCGAAGAAGAAGGCTGGCAGCCTGGCACCGATGTTGATCGAGGTGTAGTATTCTCTACTATTGCATTGGAGTGTCGCCCTAAGTGAGTGTAGCACAGTACCGTCATCGCCCGGATATAAGACATGTACGGTATGTCTTATCTCATACATTAAAAAAATCAGTCTTATAAATGGACAAAAATCCGTTTAGAAGATACTTCCTCGTTATACATTTGCCATTTGCCCCTACACACAAATAGGTGTCTTATAATGAGGCTACCCCGTTTATAAGAGACACCCGTATAATAGACAACACCTGTCTACTATTCAACACTGTCTTATATCCGGGTGATGACGGTAGTGGTTACTTATAAGCCTTGGCTCACACGTGAGCTTCGGACACGAACTCGCAAGCAGTATGGGAGGACACGGGCAGCGGTCGTTAGTATTCTGTGTAATGATGGATGTGATGCTTGTAGGAGCCCAGCCCTTGTTGCGGTCACAACCGTGCTCACATTACGAAGCGTGCATGCAACTTGTATCCGGGTACGGTAAATCTGTCAATGTTTAAGCCCTTGGTATTCTTACTCATCTGCTATAGTTGTGCACCATTTCAAACTCACCAAAATTTTGTTCAACCAGCCAACTCAAATGTGATCGCGTCCAAACCTTGCACTTTGGGCTTTAGCCCTGGTATTTGACCAGTATATAACTAAACTCACGAGCCAGAAAGGGACCCACCGGTCCTCCTCCCCCCTGGGGAGCTCGCTGGCCAGCACCGCACAGGACCCACCGGTCGCCCTCCCCCCTGGGGAGCTCGCTGGCCAGCACTGCACAGGACCCACCGGTCCTCCTCCCCCCTGGGGAGCTCGCTGGCCAGCACCGCACAAGACCCACCGGGCCTCCTCCCCCCTGGTGAGCTCGCTGGCCAGCACCGCACAGGACCCACCGGTCCTCCTCCCCCCTGGGGAGCTCGCTGGCCAGCACCGCAAAGGACCCACCGGGCCTCCTCCCCCCTGGTGAGATCGCTGGCCAGCACCGCACAGGACCCACCGGTCCTCCTCCCCCCTGGGGAGCTCGCTGGCCAGCACCGCACAGGACCCACCGGTCCCCCTGGGGAGCTCGCTGGCCAGCACCGCACAGGACCCACCGGTCCTCCTCCCCCCTGGGGAGCTCGCTGGCCAGCACCGCACAGGACCCACAGGTCCGTTTCCGGCTGGCGCGAGGCCCCCGGTCCCAATCTCCCACGGGAGCGCATGGGTTGTGCCAAATGTTTTGCCGCAGTCTTTCTTCGCCGGTAGTCTCTCATGGCGACCCAAAGCAGGCCCTCAGATTCACTTTGAGGCACGTAAGGGTATCAGGGTCCCTCTGGCCCTAGACCCTGATCGACAGGGTCGCCTAGGAAAAAAGCCTGAAAGTTCAGTGTTACTTATAAAAAAAGTCTGATGCATCAGTGTCACCTATAGAAAAAGGCTGATAGTAGTGAAGCTGATTTTTTTAACTTAAAACTCTATGAAGGTCGCAAACAGCCTTCAATCTATCTATCTGTGTTGTAAACCAAAGCCTATCTTGCTTGCTAGCTAGCTATGCATTGCATCCAGCATGACTCTGGGTCTGGGTGAGTTCAGTAATCATCATCTGATGAGGCCTGCTTGTCATCATCATCTTCTCTTCCCTTAGCCTGTCGTTCTGCCCACTCTTCCTCCTCTAGGGCCTCCTTTCCCGTGCTATCCCTGCCCTCTCCCTCTCTTTCGGGTGGTGCTGCCACATTGCCGAATGGGCGACGTCGTCGAGAAGCTTCTGCTAGTGTTTCAACGCCTCCTTGTGCTTGGTAGTTGCCGCATGCCGTTTGAACGCCTGCGTCTAAACGTCTGTGGCGCCCTTTCCGCCTCTCCCACACGGTCCAGCGTAGCCTGCGTGCTCCGTACAAATGCTGCACTTGAAAGCGGGGAAACCGTCAGCTTTTTTTAGCAGAATAAGCCACGAAAACCGCTCGAGCCACTCGCTTTTGTACTTATACAGAGCCTCCGCGTAGGTTGCGTCTGGCCCTGCCGGTTTAGAAGGCCCAGGTGTTGAGGACGTGGACGTGGACGTGGACGTGGACGTGGACATGGACGTGGACATGGACGTGGACGTGGACATGGACGTGGACATGGACATGGACGTGGACATGGACGTGGACATGGACGTGGACGTGGACATGGACGTGGACTGGACGTGGACGTGGACGTGGATATGGACGTGGACGTGGACGTGGACGCGGACATGGACGCGGACGTGGACGTGGACGTGGACATGGACGTGGATATGGACGTGGACGTGGACCTGGACGTGGACGTGGACGTGGACGCGGACATGGACGCGGACGTGGACGTGGACGTAGACATGGACGTGGACATGGACGTGGACGTGGACGTGGAGATGGTTGGGACGTGGACGTGGACGTGGACATGGACGTGGACGTGGACGTGGACATGGACGTGGACGTGGACGTGGACGTGGACGTGGAGGTGGACGGGGACGTGGACGTGGACGTGGACGTGGAGGTGGACGTGGAGGTGGACGTGGACGTGGACGTGGAGGTGGACGTGGAGGTGGACGTGGACGTGGACGTGGACGTGGACGTGGGCGTGGACGTGGACGTGGACGTGGAAGTGGACGTGGGCGTGGACGTGGACGTGGGCGTGGACGTGGGCGTGGGCGTGGGCGTGGGCGTGGGCGTGGACGTGGGCGTGGACGTGGACGTGGACGTGGGCGTGGACGTGGACGTGGACGTGGACGTGGACGTGGACGTGGACGTGGACGTGGACATGGACGTGGACATGGACGTGGACGTGGACGTGGACGTGGACGTGGAGAACTTTGACGTGGACATGGACGTGGACGTGGACGTGGACGTGGACGTGGTCGTGGACATGGACGTGGACGTGGACGTGGACGTGGACATGGACGTGGACGTGGACGTGGACGTGGACATGGACGTGGACATGGACGTGGACGTGGACGTGGACGTAGACGTGGACGTGGACGTGGACGTGGACACGGACGTGGACGTGGACGTGGACGTGGACGTGGACACGGACGCGGACGTGGACGTGGACCGGACGTGGACGTGGACGCGGACGTGGACGTGGACGTGGACGTGGACGCGGACGTGGACGTGGACGTGGACGTGGACGCGGACGTGGACGTGGACGTGGACATGGTCGTGGACGTGGACATGGAGGTGGACGTGGACGTGGACATGGACGTGGACATGGAGGTGGACATGGACGTGGACGTGGACGTGGACGTGGACGTGGACATGGACGTGGACGTGGATTGGACATGGACGTGGACGTGGACGTGGTCGTGGACGTGGACGTGGACGTGGACATGGACGTGGACGTGGACGTGGACGTCGTCGTGGACGTGGACATGGTCGTGGACGTGGACGTGGACGTGGACGTGGACGAGGACGTGGTCGTGAACGTGGATGTTGACGTGGACGTGGACGTGGATGTGGAGGACTTGGACGTGGACATGGAGGTGGACGTGGATGTGGTCGTGGACGTGGACGTGGACGTGGACGTGGTCCTGGTCGTGGACGTGGTCGTAGACGTGGACGTGGTCGTCCACGAAGTGGACTTGGACGTGGACGTGGACGTGGACGTGGACATGGTCGTGGACGTGGACGTGGACATGGACGTGGTCGTGGTCGTGGACGTAGACGTGGTCGTGGACGTGGACGTGGACGTGGACGAGGAGGACGTGGACGTGTACGTGGAGGACATGGACGTGGACGTGGACGTGGACATGGTCGTGGACGTGGACGTGGACGTGGACGTGGACGTGGAGTGGTCATGGACGTGGATGTTGACGTGGACGTGGGCGTGGACGTGGTCGTGGACGTGGAGGACTTGGACGTGGTCATGGACGTGGACGTGGACGTGGTCGTGGACGTGGACGTGGACGTGGACGTGGTCCTGGTCGTGGACGTGGTCGTAGACGTGGACGTGGCCGTCCACGACGTGGACTTGCACGTGGACGTGGACGTGGACGTGGTCGTGGACGTGGACGTGGACATGGACGTGGTCGTGGACGTAGACGTGGTCGTGGATGTGGACGTGGACGTGGACGCGGAGGACGTGGACGTGGACGTGGAGGACGTGGACGTGGACTTGGACGTGGACGTGGACGTGGACGTGGACGTGGACGTGGACGTGGACATGGTCGTGGACGTGGACGTGGACGTGGACGTGGACGTGGACGTGGACGTGGACGTGGACGTGGACGTGGACATGGACGTGGACGTGGACGTGGACGTGGACATGGTCGTGGACGTGGACGTGGACGTGGACGTGGACGTGGACGTGGTCGTAGACGTGGACATGGACGTAGACATGGACGTGGACGTGGACGTGGACGTGGTCGTGGACATGGACCTGGACGTGGACGTGGACGTGGACGTGGAGTGGTCATGGACGTGGATGTTGACGTGGACGTGGGCGTGGACGTGGTCGTGGACGTGGAGGACTTGGACGTGGACATGGACGTGGACGTGGACGTGGTCATGGACGTGGACGTGGACGTGGACGTGGTCCTGGTCGTGGACGTGGTCGTAGACGTGGACGTGGCCGTCCACGACGTGGACTTGCACGTGGACGTGGACGTGGACGTGGACGTGGTCGTGGTCGTGGTCGTGGACGTAGACGTGGTCGTGGATGTGGACGTGGACGTGGACGCGGAGGACGTGGACGTGGACGCGGAGGACGTGGACGTGGACGTGGACGTGGACGTGGACGTGGACGTGGACGTGGACGTGGACGTGGACGTGGACATGGTCGTGGACGTGGACGTGGACGTGGACGTGGACGTGGACGTGGACGTGGTCGTGGACGTGGACGTGGACGTGGACGTGGACGTGGACGTGGACGTAGACCTGGACGTGGACGTGGACGTGGACGTGGACGTGGACGTGGACGTGGACGTGGACCTGGACGTGGTCGTGGACGTGGACGTGGACGTGGACGTGGACGCGGACGTGGACGTGGACCGGACGTGGACGTGGACGCGGACGTGGACGTGGACGTGGACGTGGACGCGGACGTGGACGTGGACGTGGACGTGGACGTGGACGCGGACGTGGACGTGGACGTGGACATGGTCGTGGACGTGGACATGGAGGTGGACGTGGACGTGGACATGGACGTGGACATGGAGGTGGACGTGGACGTGGACGTGGACGTGGACGTGGACGTGGACGTGGACATGGACGTGGACGTGGATTGGACATGGACGTGGACGTGGACGTGGTCGTGGACGTGGACGTGGACGTGGACATGGACGTGGACGTGGACGTGGACGTCGTCGTGGACGTGGACATGGTCGTGGACGTGGACGTGGACGTGGACGTGGACGAGGACGTGGTCGTGAACGTGGATGTTGACGTGGACGTGGACGTGGATGTGGAGGACTTGGACGTGGACATGGAGGTGGACGTGGATGTGGTCGTGGACGTGGACGTGGACGTGGACGTGGTCCTGGTCGTGGACGTGGTCGTAGACGTGGACGTGGTCGTCCACGAAGTGGACTTGGACGTGGACGTGGACGTGGACGTGGACATGGTCGTGGACGTGGACGTGGACATGGACGTGGTCGTGGTCGTGGACGTAGACGTGGTCGTGGACGTGGACGTGGACGTGGACGAGGAGGACGTGGACGTGTACGTGGAGGACATGGACGTGGACGTGGACGTGGACATGGTCGTGGACGTGGACGTGGACGTGGACGTGGACGTGGACGTGGAGTGGTCATGGACGTGGATGTTGACGTGGACGTGGGCGTGGACGTGGTCGTGGACGTGGAGGACTTGGACGTGGTCATGGACGTGGACGTGGACGTGGTCGTGGACGTGGACGTGGACGTGGACGTGGTCCTGGTCGTGGACGTGGTCGTAGACGTGGACGTGGCCGTCCACGACGTGGACTTGCACGTGGACGTGGACGTGGACGTGGTCGTGGACGTGGACGTGGACATGGACGTGGTCGTGGTCGTGGACGTAGACGTGGTCGTGGATGTGGACGTGGACGTGGACGCGGAGGACGTGGACGTGGACGTGGAGGACGTGGACGTGGACGTGGACGTGGACGTGGACGTGGACGTGGACATGGTCGTGGACGTGGACGTGGACGTGGACGTGGACGTGGACGTGGACGTGGACCGTGGACGTGGGGACGTGGACATGGACGTGGACGTGGACGTGGACGTGGACATGGTCGTGGACGTGGACGTGGACGTGGACGTGGACGTGGACGTGGACGTGGACGTGGTCGTAGACGTGGACATGGACGTGGACATGGACGTGGACGTGGACGTGGACGTGGTCGTGGACATGGACCTGGACGTGGACGTGGACGTGGACGTGGAGTGGTCATGGACGTGGATGTTGACGTGGACGTGGGCGTGGACGTGGTCGTGGACGTGGAGGACTTGGACGTGGACATGGACGTGGACGTGGACGTGGTCCATGGACGTGGACGTGGACGTGGACGTGGTCCTGGTCGTGGACGTGGTCGTAGACGTGGACGTGGCCGTCCACGACGTGGACTTGCACGTGGACGTGGACGTGGACGTGGACGTGGTCGTGGACGTGGACGTGGACATGGACGTGGTCGTGGTCGTGGTCGTGGACGTAGACGTGGTCGTGGATGTGGACGTGGACGTGGACGCGGAGGACGTGGACGTGGACGCGGAGGACGTGGACGTGGACGTGGACGTGGACGTGGACATGGACGTGGACGTGGACGTGGACGTGGACGTGGACGTGGACGTGGACGTGGACATGGTCGTGGACGTGGACGTGGACGTGGACGTGGACGTGGACGTGGTCGTGGACGTGGACGTGGACGTGGACGTGGACGTGGACGTGGACCTGGACGTGGACGTGGACGTGGACGTGGACGTGGACGTGGACGTGGACGTGGACGTGGACGTGGACCTGGACGTGGTCGTGGACGTGGACGTGGACGTGGACGTGGACGTGGACCTGGACGTGGTCCTGGACGTGGACCTGAACGTGGACGTGGACGTGGACGTGGACGTGGACGTGGACGTGGACGTGGACGTGGACGTGGACGTGGATGACGTGGACGTGGACGTGGACATGGACGTGGACGTGGACGTGAATATGGACGTGGACGTGGACGTGACGTGGACATGGACGTGGACGTGGACGTGAATATGGACGTGGACGTGGACGTGGACGTGGACGTGGACGTGGACGTGGACATGGACGTGGACCTGGACGTGGACGTGGACGTGGTCATGGACGTGGACACGGACGTGGACGTGGACGTGGACAGGGACGTGGACACGGACGTGGACGTGGACGTGGACAGGGACGTGGACACGGACGTGGACACGGACGTGGACATAGACACGGACGTGGACGTGGACGTGGACATGGACGTGGACGTGGACGTGGACATGGACGTGGACATGGGCGTGGACGTGGACGTGGACGTGGACGTGGACGTGGACGTTGACGTGGACGTGGACGTGGACGTTGACGTGGACGTGGACGTGGACGTGGGTGGACTTGGACATGGACATGGACGTGGACGTGGACGTGGACGTGGACGTGGACGTGGACTTGGACGTGGACATGGACGTGGACGTGGACGTGGACGTGGACGTGGTCCTGGTCGTGGACGTGGTCGTAGACGTGGACGTGGCCGTCCACGACGTGGACTTGCACGTGGACGTGGACGTGGACGTGGACGTGGTCGTGGACGTGGACGTGGACATGGACGTGGTCGTGGTCGTGGTCGTGGACGTAGATGTGGTCGTGGATGTGGACGTGGACGTGGACGCGGAGGACGTGGGCGTGGACGCGGAGGACGTGGACGTGGACGCGGTGGACGTGGACGTGGACGTGGACATGGTCGTGGGACGTGGACGTGGAAATGGACGTGGACGTGGACGTGGACATGGACGTGGACGTGGACGTGGACATGGTCGTGGACGTGGACGTGGACGTGGACATGGACATGGACGTGGACGTGGACGTGGACATGGTCGTGGACATGGACGTGGACGTGGTCGTGGTGTGGACGTGGACGTGGACCTGGACGTGGACGTGGACGTGGACGTGGTCGTGGACGTGGACCTGGACGTGGACCTCGACGTGGACGTGACGTGGACGTGGACGTGGACGTGGACGTGGACGTGGACGTGGACGTGGACGTGGACGTGGACGTGGACGTGGACGTGAATATGGACATGGACTTGGACGTGGACATGGACGTGGACGTGGACGTGGACGTGGACGTGGTCATGGACGTGGACATGGACGTGGACGTGGACGTGGACAGGGACGTGGACACGGACGTGGACACGGACGTGGACACGGACGTGGACACGGACGTGGACATCGTTGGGACGTGGACGTGGACGTGGACGTGGACGTGGACGTGGACATGGACGTGGACGTGGGCGTGGACGTGGACGTGGACGTGGACGTGGACGTGGACATGGACGTGGACGTGGACGTGGACGTTGACGTGGACGTGGACGTGGACGTGGGTGGACTTGGACATGGACATGGACGTGGACGTGGACGCGGACGTGGACGTGGACGTGGACGTGGACTTGGACGTGGACATGGACGTGGACGTGGACGTGGACGTGGACGTGGTCGTGGACGTGGACGTGGACATAGACGTGGACGTGGACGTGGACATGGACTTGGACGTGGACGTGGACGTGGACGTGGTCGTGGACGTGGACGTGGACATAGACGTGGACGTGGACGTGGAGGACTTGGACATGGACATGGACGTGGACGTGGACGTGGACGTGGACATGGACGTGGACCTGGACGTGGACGTGGACGTGGACGTGGACATAGACGTGGACGTGGACGTGGACGTGGACGCGGACGTGGACGTGGTCGTGGACGTGGACGTTGACATGGACATGGACGTGGACGTGGACGTGGACGTGGATGTGGACGTGGACATGGTCGTGGACGTGGACGTGGACGTGCATGTCGACGTGGACGTGGACGTGGACGTGGACGTGGACATGGTCGTGGACGTGGACATGGACGTGGACGTGGACGTGGACATGGACGTGGACGTGGACGTGGTCGTTGACGTGGAGGACTTGGACGTGGACATGGACGTGGACTTGGACGTGGTCGTGGACGTGGACGTGGACGTGGTCGTGGTCGTGGACGTGGTCGTAGACGTGGACGTGGTCGTCCACGACGTGGACTTGGACGTGGACGTGGACGTGGACCTGGACGTGGTCGTGGACGTGGACGTGGACATGGTCGTGGACGTGGACGTGGACGTGGACGTGGACGTGGACGTGGACGTTGACGTGGACGTGGACGTGGACCTGGACGCGGACGTGGACGTGGACCTGGACGCGGACGTGGACGTGGACGTGGACGGACGTGGACGGGGACGCGGACGTGGACGTGGACGTGGACGGACGTGGACGTGGACGTGGACGTGGACGTGGACGTGGACGTGGAGGTGGACGTGGACGTGGACGTGGACATGGACGTGGACGTGGACGTGGACGTTGACATGGACGTGGACGTGAACATGGACGTGGACGTGGACGTGGACATGGACGTGGACGTGGACGTGGACGTGGACGTGGACGTGGAGGTGGACATGGACGTGGACGTGGACTGGACGTGGACGTGGACGTGGACGTGGACGTGGAGGTGGACATGGACGTGGACATGGGTGGACGTGGACGTGGACGTGGACGTGGACATGGACGTGGACATGGACGTGGACATGGACGTGGACGTGGACGTGGACGTGGACGTGGACGTGGACGTGGACGTGGACCTGGTCGTGGACGTGGACCTGGTCGTGGACGTGGACGTGGACGTGGACGTGGACGTGGACGTGGACGTGGACGTGGACGTGGTCGTAGACGTGGACATGGACGTGGACATGGACGTGGACGTGGACGTGGACGTGGACGTGGTCGTGGACATGGACCTGGACGTGGACGTGGACGTGGACGTGGAGTGGTCATGGACGTGGATGTTGACGTGGACGTGGGCGTGGACGTGGTCGTGGACGTGGAGGACTTGGACGTGGACATGGACGTGGACGTGGACGTGGTCATGGACGTGGACGTGGACGTGGACGTGGTCCTGGTCGTGGACGTGGTCGTAGACGTGGACGTGGCCGTCCACGACGTGGACTTGCACGTGGACGTGGACGTGGACGTGGACGTGGTCGTGGACGTGGACGTGGACATGGACGTGGTCGTGGTCGTGGTCGTGGACGTAGACGTGGTCGTGGATGTGGACGTGGACGTGGACGCGGAGGACGTGGACTTGGACGCGGAGGACGTGGACGTGGACGTGGACGTGGACGTGGACGTGGACGTGGACATGGACGTGGACGTGGACGTGGACGTGGACGTGGACGTGGACATGGACGTGGACGTGGACGTGGACTTGGACATGGTCGTGGACGTGGACGTGGACGTGGACATGGACGTGGATGTGGACGTGATCGTGGACGTGGACGTGGACGTGGACGTGGACGTGGACGTGGACGTGGTCGTGGACGTGGACGTGGACCTGGACGTGGATGTGGACGTGGACGTGGACGTGGACGTGGACGTGGACGTGGACGTGGACCTGGACGTGGTCGTGGGACGTGGACGTGGACGTGGACGTGGACCTGGACGTGGTCGTGGACGTGGACCTGGACGTGGACGTGGACGTGGACGTGGACGTGGACGTGGACATGGACGTGGACGTGGACGTGGACGTGGACGTGGACGTGGATATGGACGTGGACGTGGACGTGGACATGGACATGGACGTGGACGTGAATATGGACGTGGTCGTGGATGTGGACGTGGACGTGGACGCGGAGGACGTGGACGTGGACGCGGAGGACGTGGACGTGGACGCGGTGGACGTGGACGTGGACGTGGACATGGTCGTGGACGTGGACGTGGAAATGGACGTGGATGTGGACGTGGACGTGGACGTGGACATGGACGTGGACGTGGACGTGGACTTGGTCGTGGACGTGGACGTGGACGTGGACATGGACATGGACGTGGACGTGGAGGTGGACATGGTCGTGGACATGGACGTGGACGTGGTCGTGGACGTGGACGTGGACGTGGACGTGGACGTGGACGTGGACGTGGACGTGGACGTGGACGTGACGTGGTCGTAGACGTGGACGTGGACATGGACGTGGACGTGGACGTGGACGTGGACGTGGACGTGGTCGTGGACGTGGACCTGGACGTGGACATGGACGTGGACGAAGGCGTGGACGTGGTCGTGGACGTGGACCTGGACGTGGACGTGGACGTGGACGTGGACCTGGACGTGGACGTGGTCGTGGACGTGGACCTGGACGTGGACGTGGACGTGGACGTGGACCTGGACGTGGTCGTGGACGTGGACGTGGACGTGGACGTGGACGTGGACGTGGACGTGGACGTGGACGTGGACGTGGACGTGGATATGGACGTGGACGTGGACGTGGACATGGACGTGGACATGGACGTGGACGTGGACGTGGACGTAGACGTGGACGTGAATATGGACGTGGACGTGGATGTGGACGTGGACAGGGACGTGGACCTGGACGTGGACGTGGACGTGGTCATGGACGTGGACATGGACGTGGACGTGGACGTGGACAGGGACGTGGACACGGACGTGGACATGGACGTGGACACGGACGTGGACACGGACGTGGACATGGTTGGGACGTGGACGTGGATGTGGACGTGGACGTGGACGTGGACATGGACGTGGACGTGGGCGTGGACGTGGACGTGGACGTGGCCTGGACGTGGACATGGACGTGGACGTGGACGTGGACGTTGACGTGGACGTGGACGTGGACGTGGGTGGACTTGGACATGGACATGGACGTGGACGTGGACGTGGACGTGGACGTGGACGTGGAGGTGGACGTGGACATGGACGTGGACGTGGACGTGGACGTAGACATGGACGTGGACGTGGACATGGACGTGGACGTGGACGTGGACATGGACGTGGACGTGGACGTGGACGTGGACGTGGACGTGGAGGTGGACATGGACGTGGACGTGGACATGGACGTGGACGTGGACGTGGACGTGGACGTGGACGTGGAGGTGGACATGGACGTGGACATGGTCGTGGACGTGGACGTGGACATGGACGTGGACATGGACGTGGACGTGGACGTGGACGTGGACGTGGACGTGGACGTGGACGTAGACGTGGACGTGGACGTGGACGTGGACGTGGACGTGGACCTGGTCGTGGACGTGGACCTGGTCGTGGACGTGGACGTGGACGTGGACGTGGACGTGGACGTTGACGTGGACGTGGACGTGGACGTGGACGTAGTCGTAGACGTGGACATGGACGTGGACATGGACGTGGACGTGGACGTGGACGTGGACGTGGTCGTGGACATGGACCTGGACGTGGACGTGGACGTGGACGTGGAGTGGTCATGGACGTGGATGTTGACGTGGACGTGGGCGTGGACGTGGTCGTGGACGTGGAGGACTTGGACGTGGACATGGACGTGGACGTGGACGTGGTCATGGACGTGGACGTGGACGTGGACGTGGTCCTGGTCGTGGACGTGGTCGTAGACGTGGACGTGGCCGTCCTCGACGTGGACTTGCACGTGGACGTGGACGTGGACGTGGACGTGGTCGTGGACGTGGACGTGGACATGGACGTGGTCGTGGTCGTGGTCGTGGACGTAGACGTGGTCGTGGATGTGGACGTGGACGTGGACGCGGAGGACGTGGACGTGGACGCGGAGGACGTGGACGTGGACGTGGACATGGACGTGGACGTGGACGTGGACGTGGACATGGACGTGGACGTGGACGTGGACGTGGACGTGGACGAGGACATGGACGTGGACGTGGACGTGGACGTGGACATGGTCGTGGGACGTGGACGTGGACGTGGACATGGACGTGGAGGTGGACGTGGTCGTGGACGTGGACGTGGACGTGGACGTGGACGTGGACGTGGACGTGGTCGTGGACGTGGACGTGGACCTGGACGTGGAGGTGGACGTGGACGTGGACGTGGACGTGGACGTGGACGTGGACGTGGACCTGGACGTGGTCGTGGACGTGGACGTGGACGTGGACGTGGACGTGGACCTGGACGTGGTGGACCTGGCGTGGACGTGGACCTGGACGTGGACGTGGACGTGGACGTGGACGTGGACATGGACGTGGAGGTGGACGTGGACGTGGACGTGGACGTGGACGTGGATATGGACGTGGACGTGGACGTGGACATGGACATGGACGTGGACGTGAATATGGACGTGGTCGTGGATGTGGACGTGGACGTGGACGCGGAGGACGTGGACGTGGACACGGAGGACGTGGACGTGGACGCGGTGGACGTGGATGTGGACGTGGACATGGTCGTGGACGTGGACGTGGAAATGGACGTGGACGTGGACGTTGACGTGGACGTGGACATGGACGTGGACGTGGACGTGGACATGGTCGTGGACGTGGACGTGGACGTGGACATGGACATGGACGTGGACGTGGATGTGGACATGGTCGTGGACATGGACGTGGACATGGTCGTGGACATGGACGTGGACGTGGTCGTGGACGTGGACGTGGACGTGGACGTGGACGTGGACCTGGACGTGGACGTGGACGTGGACGTGGATGTGGACGTGGACGTGGACCTGGACGTGGTCGTAGACGTGGACGTGGACATGGACGTGGACGTGGACGTGGACGTGGACGTGGTCGTGGACGTGGACCTGGACGTGGACATGGACGTGGACGTGGACGTGGTCGTGGACGTGGACCTGGACGTGGACGTGGACGTGGACGTGGACCTGGACGTGGACGTGGTCGTGGACGTGGACCTGGACGTGGACGTGGACGTGGACGTGGACGTGGACCTGGACGTGGTCGTGGACGTGGACGTGGACGTGGACGTGGACGTGGACGTGGACGTGGACGTGGACGTGGACGTGGACGTGGATATGGACGTGGACGTGGACGTGGACATGGACGTGGACATGGACGTGGACGTGGACGTGGACGTGGACGTAGACGTGGACGTGAATATGGACGTGGACGTGGATGTGGACGTGGACAGGGACGTGGACCTGGACGTGGACGTGGACGTGGTCATGGACGTGGACATGGACGTGGACGTGGACGTGGACAGGGACGTGGACACGGACGTGGACATGGACGTGGACAACGGACGTGGACACGGACGTGGACATGGTTGGGACGTGGACGTGGACGTGGACGTGGACGTGGACATGGACGTGGACGTGGGCGTGGACGTGGACGTGGACGTGGCCTGCACGTGGATATGGACGTGGACGTGGACGTGGACGTTGACGTGGACGTCGACGTGGACGTGGGTGGACTTGGACATGGACATGGACGTGGACGTGGACGTGGACGTGGACGTGGACGTGGACTTGGACGTGGACATGGACGTGGACGTGGACGTGGACGTGGTCGTGGACGTGGACGTGGACGTGGACGTGGACGTGAACATGGACGTGGACGTGGACGTGGACGTGGACGTGGTCGTGGACGTGGTCGTGGACGTGGACGTGGACGTGGACGTGGACGTGGACGTGGACGTGGACGTGGAGGACTTGGACATGGACATGGACGTGGACATGGACGTGGACGTAGACATGGACGTGGACGTGGACGTGGACATGGACGTGGACCTGGACGTGGACGTGGACGTGGACGTGGACGTGGACATGGACGTGGACGTGGACGTGGACGTGGACATGGACGTGGACGTGGTCGTGGACGTGGACGTTGACATGGACATGGACGTGGACGTGGACGTGGACGTGGACGTGGACGTGGACATGGACGTGGACGTGGACGTGGACGTGGTCGTGGACGTGGAGGACTTGGACGTGGACGTGGACGTGGACTTGGTCGTGGTCGTGGACGTGGACGTGGACGTGGTCGTGGTCGTGGACGTGGTCGTAGACGTGGACGTGGTCGTCCACGACCGTGGACTTGGACGTGGACATGGACGTGGACGTGGACCTGGACGTGGTCGTGGACGTGGACGTGGACATGGTCGTGGACGTGGACGTGGACGTGGACGTGGACGTGGACGTTGACGTGGACGTGGACGTGGACGCGGACGTGGACGTGGACGTGGACGTGGACGTGGACGTGGACGCGGACGTGAACGTGGACGCGGACGGACGTGGACGTGGACGTGGACGTGGACGTGGACGTGGACGTTGACGTGGACGTGGACGTGGACGTGGACGTGGACGTGGACGTGGACGTGGACGTGGACGTAGACGTGGACGTGGACGTGGACGTGGACGTAGACGATGGACGTGGACGTGGACATGGACGTGGACGTGGACGTGGACATGGACGTGGACGTGGACATGGACGTGGACGTGGACGTGGACATGGACGTGGACGTGGACGTGGACGTGGACGTGGAGGTGGACATGGACGTGGACATGGACGTGGACGTGACGTGGACGTGGACGTGGACGTGGACGTGGAGGTGGACGTGGACGTGGACCATGGTCGTGGACGTGGACGTGGACATGGACGTGGACATGGACGTGGACATGGACGTGGACATGGACGTGGACGTGGACGTGGGAACGTGGACGTGGACGTGGACGTGGACGTGGACGTGGACGTGGACGTGGACGTGGACGTGGACGTGGAGGTGGACGTGGACGTGGACGTGGACGTGGACGGGACGTGGACCTGGTCGTGGACGTGGACCTGGTCGTGGACGTGGACGTGGACGTGGACGTGGAAGTGGACGTGGACGTGGACGTGGTCGTGGACGTGGACGTGGACGTGGACGTGGACGTGGACGTGGACGTGGGCATGGACGTGGACGTGGACGTGGACGTGGTCATGGACGTGGAGGACTTGTACGTGGACGTGGACGTGGTCGTGACGTGGACGTGGACGTGGTCGTGGTTGTGGACGTGGACGTAGACGTGGACGTGGTCGTCCACGACGTGGACGTAGACGTGGACGTGGACGGAGACGTGGACGTGGTCGTCCACGACGTGGACGGGGACGTGGACGTGGACGTGGACGTGGACCGTGGTCGTGGTCGTGGACGTGGACGTAGACGTGGACGTGGTCGTCCACGACGTGGACGTAGACGTGGACGTGGACGGGAGACGTGGACGTGGTCGTCCACGACGTGGACGTGGACGTGGACGCGGACGTGGACGCGGACGTGGACGCGGACGTGGACGCGGACCGTGGACGCGGAACGTGGACGCGGACGTGGACGCGGACGTGGACGGCGGACGTGGACGCGGACGTGGACGCGGACGTGGACGGCGGACGTGGACGCGGACGTGGACGCGGACGGTGGACGCGGACGTGGACGCGGACGTGGACGCGGACGTGGACGCGGACGTGGACGCGGACGTGGACGCGGACGTGGACGCGGACGTGGACGCGGACGTGGACGCGGACGTGGACGTGGGACGTGGACGTGGACGTCGACGTGGTCGTGGACGTGGTCGTGGACGTGGACCTGGACGTGGACCTGGACGTGGACGTGGACCTGGACGTGGACGTGGTCCTGGATGTGGACGTGGTCGTGGACGTGGACGTGGTCGTGGGCCGTGGACGTGGTCGTGGACGTGGACGTGGTCGTGGACGTGGACGTGGTCGTGGACGTGGATGTGGACGTGGACCTGGACGTGGACGTGGACGTGGACGTGGACGTGGACGTGGACGTGGACGTGGACGTGGACTTGGACGACGTGGACGTGGACGTGGACGACGTGGACGTGGACGTGGACGTGGACGTGGACGTGGACGACGTGGACGTGGACGTGGACGTGGACGTGGACATGGACGTGGACGTGGATGTGGAGGTGGACGTGGAGGTGGACGTGGACGTGGACTGGGACGTGGAGGTGGACGTGGACGTGGACGTGACAGGTGGACGTTGACCTGGACGTGGACCGTTGGACGTGGACGTGGACGTGGACATGGACGTGGACGTGGGACGTGGAGGACTTGGACGTGGACATGGACGTGGACTGGGACGTGGACGTGGACATGGACTTGGACGTGGACGTGGACATGGACGTGGACGTGGACATGGACATAGACGTGGACGTGGACATGGAGGCCTTGGACGTGGACATGGACGTGGACGTGGACGTGGACATGAACGTGGACGTGGACATGGACGTGGACATGGACGTGGATGTGGACGTGGACGTGGACCTGGACGTGGATGTGGACGTGGACGTGGGAACGTGGACGTGGACATGGACGTGGATGTGGACGTGGACATGGACGTGGACATGGACGTGGACGTGGGACGTGGACGTAGACATGGACGTGGACGTGGACATGGACGTGGACGTGGACGTGGACATGGACGTGGACGTGGACGTGGACGTGGACGTGGACGTGGAGGTGGACATGGACGTGGACGTGGACATGGACGTGGACGTGGACGTGTACGTGGACGTGGACGTGGAGGTGGGACATGGACGTGGACATGGTCGTGGACGTGGACGTGGACATGGACGTGGACATGGACGTGGACGTGGACGTGACCGTGGACGTGGACGTGGACGTGGACGTGGACGTGGACGTGGACGTGACGTGGACGTGGACGTGGACGTGGACGTGACGTGGACCTGGTCGTGGACGTGGACCTGGTCGTGGACGTGGACGTGGACTGGACGTGGACGTGGACGTGGACGTTGACGTGGACGTGGACGTGACGTGACGTAGTCGTAGACGTGGACATGGACGTGACATGGACGTGGACGTGGACGTGGACGTGGACGTGGTCGTGGACATGGACCTGGACGTGGACGTGGACGTGGACGTGGAGTGGTCATGGACGTGGATGTTGACGTGGACGTGGGCGTGGACGTGGTCGTGGGACGTGGAGGACTTGGGACGTGGACATGGACGTGGACGTGGACGTGGTCATGGACGTGGACGTGGACGTGGACGTGGTCCTGGTCGTGGACGTGGTCGTAGACGTGGACGTGGCCGTCCACGACGTGGACTTGCACGTGGACGTGACGTGGACGTGGACGTGGTCGTGGACGTGGACGTCGACATGGACGTGGTCGTGGTCGTGGACGTAGACGTGGTCGTGGATGTGGACGTTGACGTGGACGCGGAGGACGTGGACGTGGACGCGGAGGACGTGGACGTGGACGTGGACATGGACGTGGACGTGGACGTGGACGTGGACATGGACGTGGACGTGGACGTGGACGTGGACGTGGACGAGGACATGGACGTGGACGTGGACGTGGACGTGGACGTGGACGTGGACGTGGACATGGTCGTGGACGTGGACGTGGACGTGGACATGGACGTGGAGGTGGACGTGGTCGTGGACGTGGACGTGGACGTGGACGTGGACGTGGACGTGGACGTGGTCGTGGACGTGGACGTGGACCTGGACGTGGATGTGGACGTGGACGTGGACGTGGACGTGGACGTGGACGTGGACCTGGACGTGGTCGTGGACGTGGACGTGGACGTGGACGTGGACGTGGACCTGGACGTGGTCGTGGACGTGGACGTGGACGTGGACGTGGACGTGGACCTGGACGTGGACGTGGACGTGGACGTGGACGTGGACGTGGACGTGGACGTGGACGTGGATATGGACGTGGACGTGGACGTGGACATGGACATGGACTTGGACGTGAATATGGACGTGGTCGTGGATGTGGACGTGGACGTGGACGCGGAGGACGTGGACGTGGACACGGAGGACGTGGACGTGGACGCGGTGGACGTGGATGTGGACGTGGACCTGGTCGTGGACGTGGACGTGGAAATGGACGTGGACGTGGACGTGGACGTGGACGTGGACATGGACGTGGACGTGGACGTGGACATGGTCGTGGACGTGGAACGTGGACGTGGACATGGACATGGACGTGGTCGTGGGACATGGACGTGGACGTGGTCGTGGACGTGGACGTGGATGGGACGTGGGACGTGGACCTGGACGTGGACGTGGACGTGGACGTGGATGTGGACGTGGACGTGGACCTGGACGTGGTCGTAGACGTGGACGTGGACCATGGACGGGACGTGGACGTGGACGTGGACGTGGTCGTGGACGTGGACCTGGACGTGGACATGGACGTGGAACGTGGACGTGGTCGTGGACGTGGACCTGGACGTGGACGTGGACGTGGACGTGGACCTGGACGTGGACGTGGTCGTGGACGTGGACCTGGACGTGGACGTGGACGTGGACGTGGAACTGGACGTGGTCGTGGACGTGGACGTGGACGTGGACGTGGACGTGGACGTGGACGTGGACGTGGACGTGACGTGGACGTGGATATGGACGTGGACGTGGACGTGGACATGGACGTGGACATGGACGTGGACGTGGACGTGGACGTGGACGTAGACGTGACGTGAATATGGACGTGGACGTGGATGTGGACGTGGACAGGGACGTGGACCTGGACGTGGACGTGGACGTGGTCATGGACGTGGACATGGACGTGGACGTGGACGGGACAGGGACGTGGACACGGACGTGGACATGGACGTGGACACGGACGTGGACACGGACGTGGACATGGTTGGGACGTGGACGTGACGTGACGTGGACGTGGACATGGACGTGGACGTGGGCGTGGACGTGGACGTGGACGGTGGCCTGCACGTGGACATGGACGTGGACGTGGACGTGGACGTTGACGTGGACGTCGACGTGGACGTGGGTGGACTTGGACATGGACATGGACGTGGACGTGGACGTGGACGTGGACGTGGACTTGGACGTGGACATGGACGTGGACGTGGACGTGGACGTGGTCGTGGACGTGGACGTGGACATAGACGTGGACGTGGACGTGGACGTGAACATGGACGTGGACGTGGACGTGGACGTGGACGTGGTCGTGGACGTGGTCGTGGACGTGGACGTGGACGTGGACGTGGAGGACTTGGACATGGACATGGACGTGGACATGGACGTGGACGTAGACATGGACGTGGACGTGGACGTGGACATGGACGTGGACGTGGACGTGGACGTGGACGTGGACGTGGACGTGGACATGGACGTGGACGTGGACGTGGACGTGGACATGGACGTGGACGTGGTCGTGGACGTGGACGTTGACATGGACATGGACGTGGACGTGGACGTGGACGTGGACGTGGACGTGGACATGGACGTGGACGTGGGACGTGGACGTGGTCGTGGACGTGGAGGACTTGGACGTGGACGTGGACGTGGACTTGGTCGTGCGGTCGTGGACGTGACGTGGACGTGGTCGTGGTCGTGGACGTGGGTCCGTAGACGTGGACGTGGTCGTCCACGGACGTGGACTTGACGTGGACATGGACCGTGGACTGGACCTGGACGTGGTCGTGGACGTGACGTGGACATGGTCGTGGACGGTGGACGTGGACGTGGACGTGGACGTGGAACGTGGACGTGGACGTGGACGTGGGCGCGGACGTGGACGTGGACGTGGACGTGGACGTGGACGTGGACGTGGACGCGGACGTGAAACGTGGACCGGACGGACGTGGACGTGGACGGGGACGTGGACGTGACGGTGAACGTGGACGTGGACGTGGACGTGGACGTGGACGTGGACGTGGACGTGGACGTGACGTGGACGTCGGGACGTAGACGTGGACGTGGACGTGGACGTGGACGTGACGTAGTACGTGGACGTGGACGTGGACGTGGACGTGGACGTGGACGTGGACGTGGACGTGGAACGTGGACGTGGACGTGGACGTGGACGTGGACGTGGACGTGGACGTGGGACGTGGACGGGACGTGGACGTGGACGTGGACGTGGACGTGGACCATGGACGTGGACATGGACGTGGACGGTGGACGTGGACGGGGACGTGGACGTGGACGTGACGTGGACAGTGGACGTGGACGATGGACGTGGACGTGGTCGTGGACGTGGACGTGGACATGGACGTGGACATGGGACGTGGACATGGACGTGGACGTGGACGTGGACGTGGACGTGGAACGTGGACGTGGACGTGGACATGGACGTGGACGTGGACGTTGACGTGGACGTGGACGTGGACGTGGACGTGGACGTGGACGTGGACGTGACGTGGACGTGGACGTGGACGTGGACCTGGTCGTGGACCGTGGACCTGGTGGACGTGGGACGTGGACGTGGACGTGGACGTGACGAAGTGGACGTGGACGATGGACGTGGTCGTGGACGTGGAACGTGACGTGGAGGACGTGGACGTGGACCGTGGGCATGGACGTGGACGTGGACGTGGACGTGGTCATGGACGTGGAGGACTTGGGACGTGGACGTGGACGTGACGTGGTCGTGGACGTGGAACGTGGACGTGGTCGTGGTTGTGGACGTGGACGTAGACGTGGACGTGGTCGTCCACGACTGGGACGTAGACGTGGACGTGGACGGAGACGTGGACGTGGTCGTCCACGACGTGGGAACGTGGGACGTGGACGTGGACGTGGACGTGGACGTGGTCGTGGTCGTGGACGTGGACGTAGACGTGACGTGGTCGTCCACGACGTGGACGTAGACTGTGGACGTGGACGGAGACGTGGACGTGGTCGTCCACGACGTGGACGTTGACGTGGACGTGGACGTGGACGCGGACGTGGATGCGGACGTGGACGCGGACGTGGACACCGCGGACGTGGACGCGGACGTGGACGCGGACGTGGACGCGGACGTGGACGCGGACGTGGACGCGGACGTGGACGCGGACGTGGACGCGGACGTGGACGCGGACGTGGACGCGGACGTGGACGCGGACGTGGACGCGGACGTGGACGCGGACGTGGACGCGGACGTGGACGCGGACGTGGACGCGGACGTGGACGTGGACGTGGACGTGGTGGACGTCGACGTGGACGTCGACGTGGTCGTGGACGTGGTCGTGGACGTGGACTGGACGTGGACCTGGACGTGGACGTGGACCTGGACGTGGACGTGGTCCTGGATGTGGACGTGGTCGTGGACGTGGACGTGGTCGTGGCCGTGGACGTGGTCGTGGACGTGGACGTGGTCGTGGACGTGGACGTGGACGTGGACGTGGATGTGGACGTGGACCTGGACGTGGACGTGGACGTGGACGTGGACGTGGACGTGGACGTGGACGTGGACGTGGACGACGTGGACGTGGACGTGGACGACTGGACGTGGACGTGGACGTGGACGTGGTGACGACGTGGACGTGGACGTGGACCGTGGACGTGGACATGGACGTGGACGTGGAATGTGGGAGGTGGACGTGGAGGTGGACGTGGACTTGGACGTGGACGTGGACGTGGAGGTGGACGTGACGTGGACGTGGACGTAGGACGTTGACCTGGACGTGGACGTGGACGTGGACGTGGACGTGGACGTGGACGTGGACGTGGACGTGGAGGACTTGGACGTGGACATGGCACGTGGACGTGGACGTGGACGTGGACATGGACTTGGACGTGGACGTGGACATGGACGTGACGTGGGACATGGCAAAACAGAGACGTGGACGTGGACATGGAGCCTTGGACGTGGACATAGACGTGGACGTGGACGTGGACATGAACGTGGACGTGGACATGGACGTGGACATGGACGTGGATGTGGACGTGGACGTGGACATGGACGTGGATGTGGAACGTGGACAGTGGACGTGGAGTGAACATGGACCGTGGGTTGGACATGGACGTGGATGTGGACGTGGACATGGACGTGGACGTGGACGTGGACGTAGACATGGACGTGGACGTGGACATGGACGTGGACGTGGACGTGGACATGGACGTGGACGTGGACGTGGACGTGGACGTCGACGTGGAGGTGGACATGGACGTGGACGTGGACATGGACGTGGACGTGGACGTGGACGTGGACGTGGACGTGGAGGTGGACATGGACGTGGACATGGTCGTGGACGTGGACGTGGACATGGACGTGGACATGGACGTGGACGTGGACGTGGACGTGGACGTGGACGTGGACGTGGACGTGGACGTGGACGTGGACCTGGTCGTGGACGTGGACCTGGTCATGGACGTGGACGTGGACGTGGACGTGGACGTGGACGTGGACGTGGACGTGGACGTGGTCGTAGACGTGGACATGGACGTGGACATGGACGTGGACGTGGACGTGGACGTGGACGTGGTCGTGGACATGGACCTGGACGTGGACGTGGACGTGGACGTGGAGTGGTCATGGACGTGGATGTTGACGTGGACGTGGACGTGGACGTGGTCGTGGACGTGGAGGACTTGGACGTGGACATGGACGTGGACGTGGACGTGGACATGGACGTGGACGTGGACGTGGACGTGGACGTGGTCCTGGACGTGGACGTGGTCGTAGACGTGGACGTGGCCGTCCACGACGTGGACTTGCACGTGGACGTGGACGTGGACGTGGACGTGGTCGTGGACGTGGACGTGGACATGGACGTGGTCGTGGTCGTGGACGTGGACGTGACGTGGTCGTGGATGTGGACGTGGACGTGGACGCGGAGGACGTGGACGTGGACGCGGAGGACGTGGACGTGGACGTGGACGTGGACGTGGACGTGGACGTGGACGTGGACGTGGACGTGGACGTGGACGTGGACGTGGACGTGGACATGGACGTGGACGTGGACGTGGACGTGGACATGGTCGTGGACGTGGACGTGGACGTGGACATGGACGTGGAGTGGACGTGGTCGTGGACGTGGACGTGGACGTGGACGTGGACGTGGACGTGGACGTGGACGTGGTCGTGGACGTGGACGTGGACCTGGACGTGGACGTGGACGTGGACGTGGACGTGGACGTGGACGTGGACCTGGACGGGTCGTGGACGTGGACGTGGACGTGGACGTGGACGTGGACGTGGACCTGGACGTGGTCGTGGACGTGGACCTGGACGTGGACATGGACGTGGACATGGACGTGGACATGGACGTGGACATGGACGTGGACGTGGACGTGGACGTGGACGTGGACGTGGACGTGGACGTGGACGTGGACGTGGACGTGGACGTGGACGTGGACGTGGACGTGGACGTGGACGTGGACGTGGACGTGGACCTGGTCGTGGACGTGGACCTGGTCGTGGACGTGGACGTGGACGTGGACGTGGACGTGGAAGTGGACGTGGACGTGGACGTGGTCGTGGACGTGGACGTGGACGTGGACGTGGACGTGGACGTGGACGTGGGCATGGACGTGGACGTGGACGTGGACGTGGTCATGGACGTGGAGGACTTGGACGTGGACGTGGACGTGGACGTGGTCGTGGACGTGGACGTGGACGTGGTCGTGGTTGTTGACGTGGACGTAGACGTGGACGTGGTCGTCCACGACGTGGACGTAGACGTGGACGTGGACGGAGACGTGGACGTGGTCGTCCACGACGTGGACGGGGACGTGGACGTGGACGTGGACGTGGACGTGGTCGTGTCGTGGACGTAGACGTGGACGTGGACGTCCACTGACGTGGACGTAGACGTGGACGTGGACGGAGACGTGGACGTGGTCGTCCACGACGTGGACGTGGACGTGGACGTGGACGTGGACGCGGACGTGGACGTGGACGTGGACGCGGACGTGGACGCGGACGTGGACGCGGACGTGGACGCGGACGTGGACGCGGACGTGGACGCGGACGTGGACGCGGACGTGGACGTGGACGTGGACGCGGACGTGGACGCGGACGTGGACGCGGACGTGGACGCGGACGTGGACGCGGACGTGGACGCGGACGTGGACGCGGACGTGGACGCGGACGTGGACGTCGACGTGGTCGTGGACGTGGTCGTGGACGTGGACCTGGACGTGGACTGTGGACGTGGACGTGGACGTGGACGTGGACGTGGTCCTGGATGTGGACGTGGTCGTGGACGTGGACGTGGTCGTGGCCGTGGACGTGGTCGTGGACGTGGACGTGTCGTGGACGTGGACGTGGTCGTGGACGTGGACGTGGACGTGGACCTGGACGTGGACGTGGACGTGGACGTGGACGTGGACGTGACGTGGACGTGGACGTGGACGTGGACGTGGACGTGGACGTGGACGACGTGGACGTGGACGTGGACGTGGACGTGGACGTGGAGACGTGGACGTGGACGTGGACGTGGACGTGGACATGACGTGGACGTGGATGTGGACGGTGGACGTGGACGTGGACGTGGACGTGGACGTGGACGTGGACGTGGACGTGGACGTGGACGTGGACGTGGACGTGGACGTGGACGTTGACTGGACGTGGACGTGGACGTGGACGTGGACGTGGACGTGACATGGACGTGGACGTGGACGTGGAGGACTTGACGTGGACATGGACGTGGACGTGGACGTGGACGTGGACGTGGACGTGGACGTGGACGTGGACATGGACGTGGACGTGGACATGGACATGGACGTGGACGTGGACGTGGAGGCCTTGGACGTGGACATGGACGTGGACGTGGACGTGGACGTGGACGTGGACGTGGACGTGGACGTGGACATGGACGTGGATGTGACGTGGACGTGGACATGGACGTGGACGTGGCGTGGACGTGGACGTGGACGTGGACATGGACGTGGACGTGGACGTGGACATGGACGTGGACGTGGACGTGGACGTGGACATGGACGTGACGTGGACGTGGACGTGGACGGGACGTGGACTGGACGTGGACGTGGACGTGGACGTGGACGTGGACGTGGACGTGGACATGGACGTGGACGTGGACATGGACGTGGACGTGGACGTGGACGTGGACGTGGACGTGGAGTGGACATGGACGTGGACATGGACGGGACGTGGACGTGGACATGGACGTGGACGTGGACGTGGACGTGGACGTGGACGTGGACGTGGACGTGGACGTGGACGTGGACGTGGACGTGGACGTGTCCGTGGACGTGGACGTGGACGTGGACGTGGACGTGGACGTGGACGTGGACGTGGACGTGGACGTGGACGTGGACGTGGACGTGGACGTGGACATGGACGTGGACGTGGACGTGGACGTGGACGTGGACGTGGACGTGGTCGTGGACATGGACCTGGACGTGCGTGGACGTGGCTGGACGTGGACATGGACGTGGACGTGGACGTGGACGTGGACGTGGACGTGGACGTGGACGTGGGTGGACTTGGACGTGGACGTGGACGTGGACGTGGACGTGGACGTGGACGTGGACGTGGACGTGGACGTGGACGTGGACGTGGACGTGGACGTGGACGTGGACGTGGACGTGGACGTGGACGTGGACGTGGACGTGGACGTGGACGTGGACGTGGACGTGGACGTGGACGTGGACGTGGACGTGGACGTGGACGTGGACGTGGACGTGACGTGGACATGGACGTGGACGTGGACGTGGACGTGGACGTGGACGTGGACGTGGACGTGGACGTGGACGTGGACGTGGACGTGGACGTGGACGTGGACGTGGACTGGACGTGGACGTGGACTGGACGTGGACGTGGAGTGGACGTGGACGTGGACATGGTCGTGGACGTGGACGTGGACGTGGACGTGGACAGTGGACGTGGACGTGGACGTGGACATGGACTGTGGACGTGGACGTGGACGTGGACGTGGACTGGACGTGGACGTGACGTGGACGTGGACGTGGACGTGGACGTGGACGTGGTCGTGGACGTGGACGTGGACGTGGACGTGGACGTGGACGTGGACGTGGACGTGGACGTGGACGTGGACGTGGACGTGGACGTGGACGTGGACGTGGACGTGGACGTGGACGTGGACGTGGACATGGACGTGGACGTGGACGTGGACGTGGTCATGGACGTGGAGGACTTGGACGTGGACGTGGACGTGGACGTGGACGTGGACGTGGACGTGGACGTGGTCGTGGACGTGGACGTGGACGTGGTCGTGGACGTGGACGTGGACGTGGACGTGGACGTGGACGTGGACGTGGACATGGACGTGGACGTGGACGTGGACGTGGACGTGGACGTGGACGTGGACGTGGATATGGACGTGGACGTGGACGTGGACATGGACATGGACGTGGACGTGGATATGGACGTGGTCGTGGATGTGGACGTGGACGTGGACGCGGGGACGTGGACGTGGACACGGAGGACGTGGACGTGGACGCGGTGGACGTGGATGTGGACGTGGACATGGTCGTGGACGTGGACGTGAAATGGACGTGGACGTGGACGTGGACGTGGACGTGGACATGGACGTGGACGTGGACGTGGACATGGTCGTGGACGTGGACGTGGACGTGGACATGGACGTGGACGTGGTCGTGGACATGGACGTGGACGTGGTCGTGGACGTGGACGGGATGTGGACGTGGACGTGGACCTGGACGTGGACGTGGACGTGGACGTGGATGTGGACGTGGACGTGGACCTGGACGTGGTCGTAGACGTGGACGTGGACATGGACGTTGGACGTGGACGTGGACGTGGACGTGGTCGTGGACGTGGACCTGGACGTGGACATGGACGTGGACGTGGACGTGGTCGTGGACGTGGACCTGGACGTGGACGTGGACGTGACGTGGACCTGGACGTGGACGTGGGTCGTGGACGTGGACCTGGACGTGGACGTGGACGTGGACGTGGACCTGGACGTGGTCCGTGGGACGTGGACGTGGACGTGGACGTGGACGTGGACGTGGACGTGGACGTGGACGTGGACGTGGACGTGGACGTGGATATGGACGTGGACGTGGACGTGGACATGGACGTGGACATGGACGTGGACGTGGACGTGGACGTGGACGTAGACGTGGACGTGAATATGGACGTGGACTGGATGTGGACGTGGACAGGGACGTGGCCTGGACGTGGACGTGGACGTGGTCATGGACGTGGACATGGACGTGGACGTGGACGTGGACAGGGACGTGGACACGGACGTGGACATGGACGTGGACACGGACGTGGACACGACGTGGACATGGTTGGGACGTGGACGTGGACGTGGACGTGGACGTGGACATGGACGTGGACGTGGGCGTGGACGTGGACGTGGACGTGGCCTGCACGTGGACATGGACGTGGACGTGGACGTGGACGTTGACGTGGACGTCGACGTGGACGTGGGTGGACTTGGGACATGGACGTGGACGTGGACGTGGACGTGGACGTGGACGTGGACTTGGACGTGGACATGGACGTGGACGTGGACGTGGACGTGGTCGTGGACGTGGACGTGGACATAGACGTGGACGTGGACGTGGACGTGAACATGGACGTGGACGTGGACGTGGACGTGGACGTGTCGTGGACGTGGTCGTGGACGTGGACGTGGACGTGGACGTGGAGACTTGGACGTGGACATGGACGTGGACATGGACGTGGACGTAGACATGGACGTGGACGTGGACGTGGACATGGACGTGGACGTGGACGTGGACGTGGACGTGGACGTGGACGTGGACATGGACGTGGACGTGGACGTGGACGTGGACATGGACGTGGACGTGGTCGTGGACGTGGACGTTGACATGGACATGGACGTGGACGTGGACGTGGACGTGGACGTGGACGTGGACATGGACGTGGACGTGGACGTGGACGTGGTCGGTGGACGTGGAGGACTTGGACGTGGGACGTGGACGTGGACTTGGTCGTGGTCGTGGACGTGGACGTGGACGTGGTCGTGGTCGTGGACGTGGTCGTAGACGTGGACGTGGTCGTCCACGACGTGGACTTGGACGTGGACATGGACGTGGACGTGGACCTGGACGTGGTCGTGGACGTGGACGTGGACATGGTCGTGGACGTGGACGTGGACGTGGACGTGGACGTGGACGTGGACGTGGACGTGGACGTGGACGTGGACGCGGACGTGGACGTGGACGTGGACGTGGACGTGGACGTGGACGTGGACGTGGACGCGGACGTGAACGTGGACGCGGACGGACGTGGACGTGGACGTGGACGTGGACGTGGACGTTGACGTGGACGTGGACGTGGACGTGGACGTGGACGTGGACGTGGACGTGGACGTGGACGTGGACGTAGACGTGGACGTGGACGTGGACGTGGACGTGGACGTGGACGTGGACGTAGACGTGGACGTGGACGTGGACGTGGACGTGGACGTGGACGTGGACGTGGACGTGGACGTGGACGTGGACGTGGACGTGGACATGGACGTGGACGTGGACGTGGACGTGGAGGTGGACGTGGACGTGGACGTGGAGGTGGACATGGAGGTGGACATGGACGTGGACGTGGACGTGGACGTGGACGTGGACGTGGACGTGGACGTGGACGTGGACGTGGACATGGACGTGGACGTGGTCGTGGACGTGGACGTGGACATGGACGTGGACATGGACGTGGACATGACTGGACGTGGACGTGGACGTGGACGTGGACGTGGACGTGGACGTGGGACGTGGACGTGGACGTGGACGTTGACGTGGACGTGGACATTGGACAGTGGACGGGGACGTGGACGTGGACGTGGACGTGGACGTGGAACGTGGACGTGGACCTGGTCGTGGACGTGGACCTGGTCGTGGACGTGGACGTGACTGGACGTGGACGTGGAGTGGACGTGGACGTGGACGTGGTCGTGGACGTGGACTGGACGTGTCGTGGACGTGGACGTGGACGTGGGCATGGACGTGGACGTGGACGTGGACGTGGTCATGGACGTGGAGGACTTGGACGTGGACTGGACGTGGACGTGGTTCGTGGGACGTGGACGTTGGACGTGGTCGTGGTTGTGGACGTGGACGTAGACGTGGACGTGGTCGTCCACGACGTGGACGTAGACGTGGACGTGGACGGAGACCGTGGACCGTGGTCCGTCCACGACGTGGACGGGGACGTGGACGTGGACGTGGACGTGGACGTGGTCGTGGTCGTGGACGTGGACGTAGACGTGGACGTGGTCGTCCACGACGTGGACGTAGACGTGGACGTGGACGGAGACGTGGACGTGGTCGTCCACGACGTGGACGTGGACGTGGACGTGGACGTGGACGCGGACGTGGACGCGGACGTGGACGCGGACGTGGACGCGGCGTGGACCGGACGTGGACGCGGACGTGGACGCGGACGTGGACGCGGACGTGGACGCGGACGTGGAAGCGGACGTGGACGCGGACGTGGACGCGGACGTGGACGCGGACGTGGACGCGGACGTGGACGCGGACGTGGACGCGGACGTGGACGCGGACGTGGAACGCGAGTGGACGCGGACGTGGACGCGGACGTGGACGCGGACGTGAACCGCGGATGTGGACGCGGACGTGGACGTGGACGTGGACGTGGACGTCGACGTGGTCGTGGACGTGTCGGTGGACGTGGACCTGGACGTGGACCTGGACGTGGACGTGGACCTGGACGTGGACGTGGTCCTGGATGTGGACGTGGTCGTGGACGTGGACGTGGTCGTGGCCGTGGACGTGTTCGTGGACGTGGACGTGGGTCGTGGACGTGGACGTGGTCGTGGACGTGGATGTGGACGTGGACCTGGACGTGGACGTGGACGTGGACGTGGACGTGGACGTGGACGTGGACGTGGACGTGGACGACGTGGACGTGGACGTGGACGACGTGGACGGGGACGTGGACGTGGACGTGGACGTGGACGTGGACGAACGTGGACGTGGACGTGGACGTGGACGTGGACATGGACGTGGACGTGGATGTGGAGGTGGACGTGGAGGTGGGACGTGGACGTGGACGTGGACGTGGACGTGGAGGTGGACGTGGACGTGGACGTGGACGTAGACCGTTGACCTGGACGTGGGACGTGGACGTGGACGTGGACGTGGACATGGACGTGGACGTGGACGTGGAGGACTTGGACGTGGACATGGACGTGGACGTGGACGTGGACGTGGACATGGACTTGGACGTGGACGTGGACATGGACGTGGACGTGGACATGGACATAGACGTGGACGTGGACATGGAGGCCTTGGACGTGGACATGGACGTGGACGTGGACGTGGACATGAAACGTGGACGTGGACATGGACGTGGACATGGACGTGGATGTGGACGTGGACGTGGACATGGACGTGGATGTGGACGTGGACGTGGACGTGGACGTGGACATGGACGTGGATGTGGACGTGGACATGGACGTGGACGTGGACGTGGACGTAGACATGGACGTGGACGTGGACATGGACGTGGACGTGGAACGTGGACATGGACGTGACGTGACCGTGGAACGTCCGTGGAGTGGACATGCGTGGACGTGGACATGGACGGGAAGGTGGACGTGGACGTGGACGTGGAAGTGGAGGTGGACCATGGGACGTGGACATGGTCGTGACGTGGACGTGGACATGGACTGGACATGGACGTGGACGTGGACGTGGACGTGGACGTGGACGTGGATGTGGACGTGGACGTGGACGTGGACGTGGACGTGGACCTGGACGTGGTCGTGGACGTGGACCGTGGACGTGGACGTGGACGTGGACGTGGACCTGACGTGGTCGTGGACGTGGACCTGGACGTGGACTGGACGTGACATGGACGTGACATGGACGTGGACATGGACGTGGACGTGGACGTGGACGTGGACGTGGACGTGGACGTGGACGTGGACGTGGACGTTGACGTGGACGTGGACGTGGACGTGGACGTGGACGTGACGTGGACGTGGACGTGGACGGGGACGCTGGACCTGGTCGTGGGACGTGGACCTGGTCGTGGACGTGGACGTGGACGTGGAGGGACGTGGAAGGCGTGGAACGTGGAACGTGGTCGTGGACGTGGACGTGGACGTGGACGTGGACGTGGACGTGGACGTGGGCATGGACGTGGACGTGGACGTGGACGTGGTCATGGACGTGGAGACTTGGACGTGGACGTGGACGTGGACGTGGTCGTGGACGTGGGACGTGGACGTGGTCGTGGACGTGGACGTGGACGTGGTCGTGGTTGTTGACGTGGACGTAGACGTGGACGTGGTCGTCCACGACGTGGACGTAGACGTGGACGTGGACGGAGACGTGGACGTGGTCGTCCACGACGTGGACGGGGACGTGGACGTGGACGTGGACGTGGACGTGGTCGTGGTCGTGGACGTAGACGTGGACGTGGTCGTCCACAGACGTGGACGTAGACGTGGACGTGGACGGAGACGTGGACGTGGTCGTCCACGACGTGGACGTGGACGTGGACGTGGACGTGGACCGGACGTGGACGCGTACGTGGACGCGGACGTGGACGTGGACGTGACCGACGTGGACGTGGACGTGGACGTGGACGTGGACGTGGACGTGGACGTGGACGTGGACGCGGACGTGGACGCGGACGTGCGCGGACGTGGACGTGGACGTGGACGCGGACGTGGACGTGGACGTGGACGTGGACGTGGACGTGGACGTGGACGTGGACGTGGACGTGGACGTGGACGTGGACGTGGACGTGGACGTGGACGTGGACGTGGACGTGGACGTGGACGTGGACGTGGACGTGGACGTGGACGCGGACGTGGACGTGGACGTGGACGCGGACGTGGACGTGGACGTGGACGCGGACGTGGACGTGGGACGTGGACGCGGACGTGGACGTGGACGTGGACGGACGTGGACGCGGACGTGGACGTGGACGTGGACGTGGACGTGGACGTGGACGTGGACGCGGACGTGGACGTGGACGTGGACGTGGACGTGACCGGACGTGGACCGGACGTGGACGCGGACGTGGACGCGGACGTGGACGTGGACGCGGACGTGGACGCGGACGTGGACGCGGACGTGGGCGCGGACGTGGACGCGGACGTGGACCGCAGGACGTGGACGCGGACGTGGACGCGGACGTGGACGCGGACGTGGACGCGGACGTGACGCGGAACGTGGACGCGGACGTGGACGCGGACGTGGACGCGGACGTGACGCGGACGTGGACGCGGACGTGGACGCGGACGTGGACGCGGACGTGGAAGCGGACGTGGACCGGAAGTGGACGCGGACGTGGACGCGGACTGTGGACGCGGACGTGGACGCGGACTGTGGACGCGGACGTGACGCGGACGTGGACGCGGACGTGGACGCGGACGTGGACCGGACGTGGACGCGGACGTGACTCGGACGTGGACGCGGACGTGGACGCGGACGTGGACGCGGACGTGGACGCGGACGTGACGCGGACGTGGACGCAGGACGTGGACGCGGACGTGACGCGGACGTGGAGGAGCGCGTCGTGGACGTGGTCGTGGACGTGGACCTCGACGTGGACCTGGACGTGGACCTCGACGTGGACCTGGACGTGGACGTGGTCCTGGATGTGGACGTGGTCGTGGACGTGGACGTGGTCGTGGCCGTGGACGTGGTCGTGGACGTGGACGTGGTCGTGGACGTGGACGTGGTCGTGGACGTGGATGTGGACGTGGACCTGGACGTGGACGTGGACGTGGACGTGGACGTGGACGTGGACGTGGACGTGGACGTGGACGTGGACGTGGACGACGTGGACGTGGACGTGGACGACGTGGACGTGGACGTGGACGTGGACGTGGACGTGGACGACGTGGACGTGGACATGGACGTGGACGTGGACATGGACGTGGACGTGGATGTGGAGGTGGACGTGGAGGTGGACGTGGACGTGGACGTGGACGTGGACGTGGAGGTGGACGTGGACGTGGACGTGCACGTGGACGTGGACGTTGACCTGGACGTGGACGTGGACTTGGACGTGGACGTGGACGTGGACAGGGACGTGACGTGGACGTGGAGGACTTGGACGTGGACATGGACGTGGACGTGGACAGTGGACGTGGACATGGACTTGGACGTGGACGTGGACATGGACGTGGACGTGGACATGGACATAGACGTGGACGTGGACATGGAGGCCTTGGACGTGGACATGGACGTGGACGTGGACGTGGACATGAACGTGGACGTGGACATGGACGTGGACATGGACGTGGATGTGGACGTGGACGTGGACATGGACGTGGATGTGGACGTGGACGTGGACGTGGACGTGGACATGGACGTGGATGTGGACGTGGACATGGACGTGGACGTGGACGTGGACGTAGACATGGACGTGGACGTGGATATGGACGTGGACGTGGACGTGGACATGGACGTGGACGTGGACGTGGACGTGGACGTGGACGTGGACATGGACGTGGACGTGACATGGACGTGGACGTGGACGTGGACGTGGACGTGGACGTGGACGTGGACGTGGACGTGGACATGGTCGTGGACGTTTGACGTGGACATGGACGTGGACATGGACGTGGACGTGGACGTGGACGTGGACGTGGACGTGGACGTGGACGTGGACGTGGACGTGGACGTGGACCTGGTCGTGGACGTGGACCTGGTCGTGACGTGGACGTGGACGTGGACGTGGACGTGGACGTGGACGTGGACGTGGACGTAGTCGTAGACGTGGACATGGACGTGGACATGGACGTGGACGTGGACGTGGACGTGGACGTGGTCGTGGACATGGACCTGGACGTGGACGTGGACGTGGCCTGCACGTGGACATGGACGTGGACGTGGACGTGGACGTTGACGTGGACGCTGACGTGACGTGGGTGGACTTGGACATGGACATGGAAGTGGACGTGGACGGGACGTGGACGTGGACGTGGACGTTGACGTGGACGTGGACGTGGACGTGGACGTGGACGTGGACGTGGACGGGACGTGGACGTGGACGTGGACGTGGACGTGGACGTAGACATGCGGAGGTGGACGTGGACCGTGCGTGGACGTGGACATGGACGTGGACGTGGACGTGGACATGGACGCGTGGACGTGACGTGGACGTGGACAGTGGACGTGGACGGGACGTGACGTGGACGTGGAGGTGGACATGGACATGGACGTGGACGTGGACGTGGACGTGGACGTGGACGTGGAGGTGGACATGGACGTGGAGGTGGACATGGACGTGGACATGGTCGTGGACGTGGACATGGACGTGGACATGGACGTGGACGTGGACGTGGACATGGACGTGGACGTGGACGTGGACGTGGGACGTGGACGTGGACGTGGACGTGGACGTAGACATGGACGTGGACGTGGACCGTGGACGTGGACATGGACGTGGACGTGGACGTGGACATGGACGTGGACGTGGACGTGGACGTGGACGTGGACGTGGACGTGGACGTGGACGTGGACGTGGACGTGGACGTGGAGGTGGACATGGACATGGACGTGGACGTGGACGTGGACGTGGACGTGGACGTGGAGGTGGACATGGACGTGGAGGTGGACATGGACGTGGACATGGTCGTGGACGTGGACATGGACGTGGACATGGACGTGGACGTGGACGTGGACATGGACGTGGACGTGGACGTGGACGTGGACGTGGACGTGGGACGTGGACGTGGACGTGGACGTGGACGTGTGACGTGGACGTGGACGTGGACGTGGACGTGGACCTGGTCGTGGACGTGGACCTGGTCGTGGACGTGGACGTGGACGCGGACGTGGACGCGGACAGTGGACGCGGACGTGGACGCGGACGTGGACGCGGACGTGGACGCGGACGTGGACGCGGACGTGGACGCGGACGTGGACGCGGACGTGGACGCGGACGTGGACGCGGACGTGGACGCGGACGTGGACGCGGACGTGGACGCGGACGTGGACGCGGACGTGGACGCGGACGTGGACGCGGACGTGGACGCGGACGTGGACGCGGACGTGGACGCGGACGTGGACGTGGACGTCGACGTGGACGTGGACGCGGACGTGGACGCGGACCTGGACGCGGACGTGGACGCGGACGCGGGACGCGGACGTGGACGTGGACGTCGACGTGGTCGTGGACGTGGTCGTGGCCGTGGACCTGGACGTGGACCTGGACGTGGACGTGGACCTGGACGTGGACGTGGTCCTGGACGTGGATGTGGACGTGGACCTGGACGTGGACGTGGACGTGGACGTGGACGTGGACGTGGACGTGGACGTGGACGTGGATGTGGACGACGTGGACGTGGACGTGGACGACGTGGACGTGGACGTGGACGTGGACGTGGACGTGGACGACGTGGACGTGGACGTGGACGTGGACGTGGACGTGGACGACGTGGACGTGGACGTGGACGTGGACGTGACGTGGACGTGGACGTGGACGTGGAGGTGGACGTGGAGGTGGACGTGGACGTGGACGTGGACAGTGGAGGTGGACGTGGACGTGGACGTGGACGTGGACGTGGACGTTGACCTGGACGTGGACGTGGACGTGGACGATGGACGTGGATGGACGTGGACGTGGACGTGGACTTGGACGTGGACTTGGACGTGGACTTGGACGTGGACTTGGACGTGGACGTGGACGTGGACGTGGACGTGGACAGTGGACGTGGACCTGGTCGTGGACCTGGTCGTGGACCTGGTCGTGGACGTGGACGTGGACGTGGACGTGGACAGTGGACGTGGACGTGACGTGGTCGTGGACGTGGACGTGGACGTGGACGTGGACGTGGGACGTGGACGTGGACGTGGACGTGGACGTGGACGTGGACGTGGTCGTGGACGTGGACGTGGACGTGGACATGGTCGTGGACGTGGACCTGGACGTGGACGTGGACGTGGACGTGGACGTGGACGTGGGACAATGGACGTGGACGTGGACGTGGACGTGGGTGTGGACGTGGACATGGACATGGACGTGGACCGTGGACGTGGACGTGGGTGTGGACGTGGACATGGACGTCGTGGACGTGGACGTGGATGTGGACGTGGACATGGACGTGGAACGTGGCCATGGACGTGGACGTGGACGTGGACGTGGACGTGGACATGGACGTGGACGTGGACGTGGACGTGGACTTGGACGTGGACGTGGTCGTGGACGAGGACGTGGACGTGGACGTGGACGTGGACGTGGACATGGACGTGGACGTGGACGTGGACGTGGAGGACGTATGGACGTGGACGTGGACGTGGACGTGGACGTGGTCGTGGACGTGGACGTGGACGTGGACGTGGACGTGGACGTGGACGTGGTCGTGGACGTGGTCGTGGACGTGGACGTGGACGTGGACGTGGACGTGGACGTGGTCGTGGACGTGGACGTGGACGTGGACGTGGACGTGGACGTGGACGTGGACGTGGACGTTGACCTGGACGTGGACGTGGACGTGGACGTGGATGGACGTGGACGTGGACGTGGACTTGGACGTGGACTTGGACGTGGACTTGGACGTGGACTTGGACGTGGACGTGGACGTGGACGTGGACGTGGACGTGGACGTGGACGTGGACCTGGTCGTGGACTGGTCGTGGACCTGGTCGTGGACGTGGACGTGGACGTGGACGTGGACGTGGACGTGGACGTGGACGTGGTCGTGGACGTGGACGTGGACGTGGACGTGGACGTGGACGTGGACGTGGACGTGGACGTGGACGTGGACGTGGACGTGGACGTGGACGTGGTCGTGGACGTGGACGTGGACGTGGACATGGTCGTGGACGTGGACCTGGACGTGGACGTGGACGTGGACGTGGACGTGGACGTGGACATGGACGTGGACGTGGACGTGGACGTGGGTGTGGACGTGGACATGGACATGGACGTGGACGTGGACGTGGACGTGGGTGTGGACGTGGACATGGACGTCGTGGACGTGGACGTGGATGTGGACGTGGACGTGGACATGGACGTGGACGTGGCCATGGACGTGGACGTGGACGTGGACGTGGACGTGGACGTGGACATGGACGTGGACGTGGACGTGGACGTGGACTTGGACGTGGACGTGGTCGTGGACGAGGACGTGGACGTGGACGTGGACGTGGACGTGGACGTGGACGTGGACATGGACGTGGACGTGGACGTGACGTGGAGGACGTGGACGTGGACGTGGACGTGGTCGTGGACGTGGACGTGGACGTGGACGTGGACGTGGACGTGGACGTGGTCGTGGACGTGGTCGTGGACGTGGACGTGGACGTGGACGTGGACGTGGACGTGGTCGTGGACGTGGACGTGGACGTGGACGTGGACGTGGACGTGGACGTGGACGTGGACGTGGACGTGGACAGTGGACGTGGACGTGGACGTGGACGTGGACGTGGACGTGGACGTGGACGTGGACGTGGACGTGGACATGGACGTGGACGTGGACGTGGACGTGGTCGTGGACGTGGTCGTGGACGTGGACCTGGTCGTGGACGTGGACGTGGACGTGGACGTGGACGTGGACGTGGACGTGGTCGTGGACGTGGACGTGGACCGTGGACGTGACGTGGACGTGGACGTGGACGTGGACGTGGACCTGGACGTGGACGTGGATGGACGGGACGTGGACGTGGACATGGACGTGGACGTGGACGTGACGTGGACGTGGACGTGGACATGGACGTCGTGGACGTGGACGTGGATGTGGACGTGGACATGGACGTGGACGTGGCCATGGACGTGGACGTGGACGTGGACGTGGACGTGGACGTGGACATGGACGTGGACATGGACGTGGACGTGGACGTGGACATGGACGTGGACGTGGACGTGGACGTGGACGTGGACGTGGACGTGGACGTGGACGTGGACGTGGACGTGGACGTGGACGTGGACGTGGACGTGGACGTGGACCTGGTCGTGGACGTGGACCTGGTCGTGGACGTGGACGTGGACGTGGACGTGGACGTGGAAGTGGACGTGGATGTGGACGTGGTCGTGGACGTGGACGTGGACGTGGACGTGGACGTGGACGTGGGCATGGACGTGGACGTGGACGTGGACGTGGTCATGGACGTGGAGGACTTGGACGTGGACGTGGACGTAGACGTGGTCGTGGACGTGGACGTGGACGTGGTCGTGGTCGTGGACGTGGACGTAGACGTGGACGTGGTCGTCCACGACGTGGACGTAGACGTGGACGTGGACGGAGACGTGGACGTGGTCGTCCACGACGTGGACGGGGACGTGGACGTGGACGTGGACGTGGACGTGGTCGTGGTCGTGGACGTGGACGTAGACGTGGACGTGGTCGTCCACGACGTGGACGTAGACGTGGACGTGGACGGAGACGTGGACGTGGTCGTCCACGACATGGACGTGGACGTGGACGTGGACGTGGACGCGGATGTGGACGCGGACGTGGACGCGGACGTGGACGCGGACGTGGACGCGGACGTGGACCGACGTGGACGCGGACGTGGACGCGGACGTGGACGCGGACGTGGACGCGGACGTGGACGCGGACGTGGACGCGGACGTGGACGCGGACGTGGACGCGGACGTGGACGCGGACGTGGACGCGGACGTGGACGCGGACGTGGACGCGGACGTGGACGCGGACGTGGACGGACGCGACGTGGACGTGGACGTCGACGTGGACGTGGACGCGGACGTGGACGCGGACCTGGACGCGGACGTGGACGCGGACGTGGACCTGGACGTGGACGCGGACGTGGACGTGGACGTCGACGTGGTCGTGGACGTGGTCGTGGCCGTGGACCTGGACGTGGACCTGGACGTGGACGTGGACCTGGACGTGGACGTGGTCCTGGACGTGGATGTGGACGTGGACCTGGACGTGGACGTGGACGTGGACGTGGACGTGGACGTGGACGTGGACGTGGACGTGGATGTGGACGACGTGGACGTGGACGTGGACGACGTGGACGTGGACGTGGACGTGGACGTGGACGTGGACGACGTGGACGTGGACGTGGACGTGGACGTGGACGTGGACGACGTGGACGTGGACGTGGACGTGGACGTGGACGTGGACGTGGACGTGGACGTGGAGGTGGACGTGGAGGTGGACGTGGACGTGGACGTGGACGTGGAGGTGGACGTGGACGTGGACGTGGACGTGGACGTGGACGTTGACCTGGACGTGGACGTGGACGTGGACGTGGATGGACGTGGACGTGGACGTGGACTTGGACGTGGACTTGGACGTGGACTTGGACGTGGACTTGGACGTGGACGTGGACGTGGACGTGGACGTGGACGTGGACGTGGACCTGGTCGTGGACCTGGTCGTGGACCTGGTCGTGGACGTGGACGTGGACGTGGACGTGGACGTGGACGTGGACGTGGACGTGGTCGTGGACGTGGACGTGGACGTGGACGTGGACGTGGACGTGGACGTGGACGTGGACGTGGACGTGGACGTGGACGTGGTCGTGGACGTGGACGTGGACGTGGACATGGTCGTGGACGTGGACCTGGACGTGGACGTGGACGTGGACGTGGACGTGGACGTGGACATGGACGTGGACGTGGACGTGGACGTGGGTGTGGACGTGGACATGGACATGGACGTGGACGTGGACGTGGACGTGGGTGTGGACGTGGACATGGACGTCGTGGACGTGGACGTGGATGTGGACGTGGACATGGACGTGGACGTGGCCATGGACGTGGACGTGGACGTGGACGTGGACGTGGACGTGGACATGGACGTGGACGTGGACGTGGACGTGGACTTGGACGTGGACGTGGTCGTGGACGAGGACGTGGACGTGGACGTGGACGTGGACGTGGACATGGACGTGGACGTGGACGTGGACGTGGAGGACGTATGGACGTGGACGTGGACGTGGACGTGGACGTGGTCGTGGACGTGGACGTGGACGTGGACGTGGACGTGGACGTGGACGTGGTCGTGGACGTGGTCGTGGACGTGGACGTGGACGTGGACGTGGACGTGGACGTGGTCGTGGACGTGGACGTGGACGTGGACGTGGACGTGGACGTGGACGTGGACGTGGACGTTGACCTGGACGTGGACGTGGACGTGGACGTGGGGGATGGACGTGGACGTGGACGTGGACTTGGACGTGGACTTGGACGTGGACTTGGACGTGGACTTGGACGTGGACGTGGACGTGGACGTGGACGTGGACGTGGACGTGGACGTGGACCTGGTCGTGGACCTGGTCGTGGACCTGGTCGTGGACGTGGACGTGGACGTGGACGTGGACGTGGACGTGGACGTGGACGTGGTCGTGGACGTGGACGTGGACGTGGACGTGGACGTGGACGTGGACGTGGACGTGGACGTGGACGTGGACGTGGACGTGGACGTGGACGTGGTCGTGGACGTGGACGTGGACGTGGACATGGTCGTGGACGTGGACCTGGACGTGGACGTGGACGTGGACGTGGACGTGGACGTGGACATGGACGTGGACGTGGACGTGGACGTGGGTGTGGACGTGGACATGGACATGGACGTGGACGTGGACGTGGACGTGGGTGTGGACGTGGACATGGACGTCGTGGACGTGGACGTGGATGTGGACGTGGACGTGGACATGGACGTGGACGTGGCCATGGACGTGGACGTGGACGTGGACGTGGACGTGGACGTGGACATGGACGTGGACGTGGACGTGGACGTGGACTTGGACGTGGACGTGGTCGTGGACGAGGACGTGGACGTGGACGTGGACGTGGACGTGGACGTGGACGTGGACATGGACGTGGACGTGGACGTGGACGTGGAGGACGTATGGACGTGGACGTGGACGTGGACGTGGACGTGGTCGTGGACGTGGACGTGGACGTGGACGTGGACGTGGACGTGGACGTGGTCGTGGACGTGGTCGTGGACGTGGACGTGGACGTGGACGTGGACGTGGACGTGGTCGTGGACGTGGACGTGGACGTGGACGTGGACGTGGACGTGGACGTGGACGTGGACGTGGACGTGGACAGTGGACGTGGACGTGGACGTGGACGTGGACGTGGACGTGGACGTGGACGTGGACGTGGACATGGACGTGGACGTGGACGTGGACGTGGTCGTGGACGTGGTCGTGGACGTGGACCTGGTCGTGGACGTGGACGTGGACGTGGACGTGGACGTGGACGTGGACGTGGTCGTGGACGTGGACGTGGACGTGGACGTGGACGTGGACGTGGACGTGGACGTGGACGTGGACATGGACGTGGACGTGGACGTGGACGTGGTCATGGACGTGGAGGACTTGGACGTGGACATGGACGTGGACATGATCGTGGACGTGGACGTGGACGTGGTCGTGGTCGTGGACATGAACGTAGACGTGGACGTGGTCGTAGACGACGTGGACGTAGACGTGGACGTGGACGGAGACGTGGACGTGGTCGTCCACGACGTGGACGTAGACGTGGACGTGGTCGTCCACGACGTGGACGTAGACGTGGACGTGGACGGAGACGTGGACGTGGTCGTTCACGACGTGGACGTAGACTTGGACGTGGACGTGGACGCGGACGTGGACGCGGACGTGGACGCGGACGTGGACGTGGACGCGGACGTGGACGTGGACGTGGACGTGGACGGTGGACGTGGACGTGGACGTGGACGTGGACGTGGACGTGGTCGTGGACGTGGACGTGGACCTGGTCGTGGACGTGGACGTGGACGTGGACCTGGACGTGGACGTGGACGTGGACGTGGACGTGGACCTGGTCGTGGACGTGGACGTGGTCGTGGCCGTGGACGTGGTCGTGGCCGTGGACGTGGTCGTGGACGTGGACGTGGACGTGGATGTTGACGTGGACGTGGACGTGGACGTGGACGTGGACGTGGTCGTGGACGTGGACGTGGACGTGGACGTGGACGTGGACGAGGACGTGGACGTGGACGTGGACGTGGACGTGGACGTGGACGTGGACGTGGACATGGACGTGGACGTGGACGTGGACGTGGAGGACGTATGGACGTGGACGTGGACGTGGACGTGGACGTGGTCGTGGACGTGGACGTGGACGTGGACGTGGACGTGGTCGTGGACGTGGTCGTGGACGTGGACGTGGACGTGGACGTGGACGTGGACGTGGACGTGGTCGTGGACGTGGACGTGGACGTGGACGTGGACGTGGACGTGGACGGTGGACGTGGACGTGGACGTGGACGTGGACAAGGATGTGGACGTGGACAAGGACGTGGACATGGACGTGGACGTGGACGTGGACGTGGACGTGGACGTGGACGTGGACGTGGACCTGGTCGTGGACGTGGACGTGGACCTGGTCGTGGACGTGGACGTGGACGTGGACGTGGACGTGGACGTGGTCGTGGACGTGGACGTGGTCGTGGACGTTGACGTGGACGTGGACGTTGACGTGGACGTGGACGTGGACGTGGACGTGGTCATGGACGTGGAGGACTTGGACGTGGACATGGACGTGGACATGGTCGTGGACGTGGACGTGGACGTGGTCGTGGTCGTGGACGTGGACGTAGACGTGGATGTGGTCGTCCACGACGTGGACGTAGACGTGGACGTGGACGGAGACGTGGACGTGGTCGTCCACGACGTGGACGTAGACGTGGACGTGGACGTGGACGCGGACGTGGACGCGGACGTGGACGCGGACGTGGACGCGGACGTGGACGTGGACGTGGACGTGGACGTGGACGTGGACGTGGACGTGGACGTGGACGTGGACGTGGACGTGGACGTGGACCTGGTCGTGGACGTGGACGTGGACGTGGACCTGGACGTGGACGTGGACGTGGACGTGGACCTGGACGTGGACGTGGACGTGGACGTGGACGTGGACCTGGTCGTGGACGTGGACCTGGTCGTGGCCGTGGACGTGGTCGTGGCCGTGGACGTGGTCGTGGACGTGGACGTGGACGTGGAGGTGGACGTGGACGTGGACGTGGACGTGGACGTGGGACGTGGACGTGGACGTGGACGTGGACGTGGACGTGGACGTGGACGTGGACGTGGACGTGGACGTGGACGGGACTTGGACCGTGGACGTGGACGTGGACGTGGACGTGGACGTGGACGTGGACGTGACGTGGACGTGGACGTGGACGTGGACGTGGACGTGGACGTGGACTTGGAACGTGGACTTGGACGTGGACGTGGACGTGGACGTGGACGTGGACGTGGACGTGGACGTGGACGTGGACGTGGACGTGGACGTGGACGTGGACGTGGACGTGGACGTGGACGTGGACGTGGACGTGGACGTGGACGTGGACGTGGACGGGACGTGGACGTGGTCGTGGACGTGGACGTGGACGTGGACGTGGACGTGGACGTGGACGTGGACATGGACGTGGACGTGGACGTGGACGTGGACGTGGACGTGGACGTGGTCGTGGACGTGGAGGACTTGGACGTGGACGTGGTCGTGGACGTGGACGACTTGGACGTGGACGTGGACGTGGACATGGACGTGGACGTGGACGTGGACGTGGGTGTGGACGTGGACATGGACGTGGACATGGACGTCGTGGATGTGGACGTGGACATGGACGTCGTGGACGTGGCCATGGACGTGGACGTGGACGTGGCCATGGACGTGGACGTGGACGTGGACGTGGACGTGGTCGTGGACGAGGACGTGGACGTGGACGTGGACGAGGACGTGGACGTGGACGTGGACGTGGACGTGGACGTGGACGTGGAGGACGTATGGACGTGGACGTGGACGTGGACGTGGACGTGGTCGTGGACGTGGTCGTGGTCGTGGACGTGGTCGTGGACGTGGACGTGGACGTGGACGTGGACGTGGACGTGGACGTGGACGTGGACGTGGACGTGGACGTGGAGGACGTGGACATGGACGTGGACGTGGACGTGGACGTGGACGTGGACATACGTGGACGTGGACGTGAACATGGACGTGGACGTGGACGTGGACGTGGACATGGACGTGGACATGGACGTGGACGTGGACATGGACGTGGACATGAACGTGGGCGTGGACGTGGACGTGGACATGGACGTGGACGTGGACGTGGATATGGACATGGACGTGGACATGGACGTGGACGTGGACATGGACGTGGACGTGGACGTGGACATGGACGTGGACGTGGACGTGGACATGGACGTGGACGTGGACGTGGAGGACTTGGACGTGGACATGGACGTGGATGTGGACGTGGACGTGGACGTGGACGTGGACGTGGACATGGTCGTGGACGTGGACGTGGACGTGGACTTGGACGTGGACATGGACGTGGACGTGGACGTGGACGTGGACGTGGAGGTTGTTAACGGGAATGAAGTGTTGGCCCCGCCCTCGCTTGGGCAACGCCAACAACTTGGTCGGATGTACGGAAGTAGCAGCCGACTGCTCACAGTGGGATAGCTGCTCGACAGGTTACGTCGAGCTGCAGCGGACCACTGTGGTGTTGCTGTCGACCAGGATGCTCGACAGCTGCACCTGACTGGCCTGGGCGACGGGTGAGCCGTCCGGGAGGTCGACGAAGCAGTCCGTCGACCTACAGTTCGACGGGGAGGTCTATGGAGCATCCCGTCGAACTGCAGCTCGACCGGGAGGTCAACGGAGCGTCCCGTCGAATTGCAGCTCGACCGGGAGGTCAACGGAGCGTCCCGTCGAATTGCAGCTCGACCGGGAGGACAACGGAGCATCCCGTCGAACTGCAGTTCGACCGGGAGGTGGACAGAGCAGTTCTGGTCGACGGAAGGGGTCCGTCGACCAAGGGGTAGCTTGACGGGAGGTGTGGTCGACCAGGAGCGCCCGGTGGTCGACCAGAGGGACCCAGTGGTCGACGGGAGGCACCTGGGAGTCGACCAGAGCACCAGGGGTCGACCAGGTCGACCGGGTAACCTGCTCGACGAGTTCTGCGGAGGCACGCGAACGTCGTCGAGATCGCGATGGCGCAGGCGACTTCGGGCTGGTATCCCGAAGTCGATGTGGCTCGTCAGGCGCAGACAAACAGTCGACGGATGCCCAACGAGGCAAGTCGGGCCAATCGTCTGCGCACACCTGTGAGCGCGCGCACTGCTGTGTTCTACGGGGCACGCCGTCGACCTGCTTTGTTGGCAGGTCGCCCTTCTGCAGTGCTGGCGCGGCTCCTCTACGCAATGCTGGCAGGCGGTCGACCGAGCTGCGCTGGCGGTCGACCAGGCTGGCTGCAGGGTTGCTAGGTGCGTGATGTAGTCATTGTTGTCATTGCTTCTTGATTATTCTGGAATTCCAACTTTGCTAGTGAAAACTCTTGCCAAATTCTTCCGTGAATGTGCAAACACTAAGGAACTAAGCAAAGCTAAGATCACCTCTAGTAGTTCGTGCCAACCCCTGTAGTCTAGCTCACTACCGTTGTAGAGTTAATCTCCACATGGTGCAGTGAGCGTGGATCGAACACGCGACCTTCAGATAGGAGCCGACTTTTGCACCTACTAAGTCGTTCGTAGGCCGGCAGCAGCGATAGTCGCCATGGCCGACCCCGTAGTTGATACGGGTGTAGCGGAGACTTTGGAGGCACGTTTGGCTGACGCGAGGAGACGCCACGCGAATGGCGAGTACGGGAAGATCCCCTTAGTGATCGCCGAGTTGGGCATCCGGTCGCAGTGGGCGACGGAACACCCTTCCCGTCCTGCTTCTCCTCGACCGGTGCGCAACGAAGGTGGCGTCGACGACGAGGTCGACGGTGGTGCACGAGTCAGCGGCAGTGAAGGCACGAGGCATAGAGGAGTGATCAAGGTCGACGGTGGTGTCGACGGAATCCAGGCGCGAGTGCAGCAGTCGACGGCGGCTGCAGGCAGCTCGCACGCCGACGTCGATGTTCGACGTCGCTCTCCTCTACGAAGTGGTGGCGGGCTCTCGGCGACGACGCATGTGACTGCGGGCGGGATTGCACCGGCGTATGGCTACTTCAAGTTTTCGCCGGATCGGATCACCGTCGCTCCGCTGCAAGGTCGACGGGACCTCATCACCTGGAGGGAGTCGATCGAACCTCAGCTGGAGGTCGCCGGGCTGAAGGGCTTCGCCGACGGCACTGTGCCAATTCCGCCCGAGGAGGATGTCGGGCTGCGCGGGGAGTTTCGTTCTGCTCACCTGCTCACCTTCATGGTCATCTCGAGGTGCTGCTCGCCGGTGGTACAGCTGGCGCTCAGGAGCTGTCGAGAGCGACTGGATGCTGGTCACCAGGCATGGCGCTTCATCATATCGACGTACCAGGTCAGGGACGACCTGTACATCGGGCAACTGGAGGAGAAGATGACTCACATTCGGATGGGCGAGCAGGAGTCGGCGACGGATTACTGCAACCGTGCTCGACGGATCCTGGCTGAGATGCAAATGGCGGGCGCCGAATACTCGACGGCGTCCTACATCACCCACATCGTCAAGGGCTTGCCGCGCAGCTACAATCTCATGAAGAGGATGATGATGGTGCCTGGCACGCGTGAGTCCCTCGACGAAGACTCCATCACCAGCTACATTCTCCAGGATGAGGCGATGCAGGAGGCAGAGCAGCCCACGGAGTTCCTTCCGCAGGCGAGTTACGCTGCACCGACAAAGCCGAATTATCAGCAGGAGCAGCGCGGGAAGCCAGGCGGAAGTGGTAGCGGAGGTGGGCAGTCGACGAAGGACGTCGACGAGAAGAGGTCGACGCGGGACAAGGGTCGACGAGGTGGTGGTCGACGGCGGGAGTGCTGGGTCTGCGGCGACCCCGACCATCTCTCCTTCGAGTGCCCCGACCGCGATGAGAGCGACGAGGACGACAACAAGGAAGGCCACGGTCGATCGGCCAGTCGTCGCCCCCGTCGAGTTGAGAAGCCGCGCAAGGAGAAGCAAGCGTCGAAGAAAACGTCCTCGACGAAGGACGTCGACAGCTCCAGCGGCAAGAGCCGAGGCGACGGGGAGGCGTCGTGCTCGATGGTCGGCGTGGTGGAGCCGACGGTCTCGCTAGCACCGGAGGCTGGCGAGGACTTCCAGGCGGTGGCAGCAGCTGTGCAGGCCAACCCGATGGCGGTGCTGCTCGACAGCGGGTGCTCCCACCACCTGATGGGGACGAAATCGGTCTTCGTTGACATGGGTCCGAGCGATGGAGTGAAGCACGTGCGTGGGTTCAACGGGGCATTGCAATCTGTCGAGGGTCGTGGAACTGTTGCTCTGCAAGGGGAGGCCGGGAAGCGGGTGCTCATCCCCGACGTGCTCTACGTTCCGGGTGTTCAGGCGAACCTGTTGTCTGCTGGCCAGCTGAAGGAGAGCGGCGTGCTACTGCAGGGCGATGGCGATGAGATGCTGCTCGTCGCCGCGACTGGAGAGGTGCTCGGTCGAGCACGCTACACCGGACGAGTCCTCTGCACCGACCTTCGCCCCTGCTCGACGCAGTCGCAGTCGACCGAGGTGGTGGCTCTGCGGACGATCGTCTCGGCGACGAAGACGACCCCCGATAGAATGCATGCGCGGCTTGCCCACGTCAGCGTCGACACGATCAAGAGCTCGGCGAAGCATGATGTTGCTGCTGGGCTCGACATCACGCTGTCAACCGGAGCAGACCCGCCATGTGTCTCGTGCGTCGGAGGAAAGCTGGCGCGGCACATCTTCCCTGCCACGGGCTCGGATGCAGCGGAGGCGCTGGCTGTCGTGCACATTGACTTGTGCGGGCCATTTCGAGTGGCTGCCAAGGATGGCAGCCTGTACTTCCTGCTGTTAAAGGATCGCCATACTCGATTTGTATGGTCAATGCCGGTCGCCAAGAAGAGCGATGTGCTGCGGGAGTTCCAGCGGTGGCTAGTGCTGGTGGAACGGCAGACGAAGAAGTCGGTGCTGTCGCTTCGCTCCGATCGAGGAGGGGAGTTCCTCGGGAAGGCGTTCACCGACTTCGTCAACGGGAAGGGCATCGTCCACGACCTGACGTGCCCCTACACTCCGCAGCAGAATGGCATGGCTGAGCTGGAGATGCGCACGGCCGTCGAGTCCGTGCGGACGATGTTGCTGCACATGGGCGTGCAGCACCATTGGTGGCACCTTGCTCTACGACAAGCTGTCAGGGTGCGCAACTGCTTGGAGCGGTCGACGATGCCGCCGGGGACGACTCCGTACCAGCTGCTAACCGGGCAGAAGCCCGACCTTACGCTGGCGCGGGTGTGGGGCTGCATGGTGCAGTTCATGATTCCCGAGCAGCAGCGTGGTGGGAAGCTGGCGCCGAAGGCTCGCTGGGGACTTCACCTGGGTGTGTCGCCAGCAAGCAAGGGCTGGGAAGTGCTCGACCTGACCGACAACAAGGTGGTCACGTCGGTCGAGGTGATCTTCTACGAGACGCTGTCGCTGGAGGTGTGGAAGGCGAAGTATGGGCCGGCGTCGCAGCGGACGCAGGCGCACCCGCCAACGGATACATCTACAGCGCCGGTTCCGTTGCTCGCCGAAGTCGACGGACCTGGTGATGAGGCTGTTGTGGAGGCTCTTTCTCCTTCCCCTGTCTTTGCTCCTCCGTTCCCCGTCGCAGATCGGCCTGGGTCGGCACCTGTGTCGCCCACCGTCGATGAGGGGAGCATTGAGGCGTCGCCTGTGGCGCCGGCCCATGGCATCGCCGGCGGTCGACAAGGCGCCAAGCTCGTCGACCAGGATGGGAAGCCGTCGACGACAGGGGAGCACCAGACAGGGGAGCCGGTCGAACAGGAGGCAACGACAGGGGTACACTCGACAGGGGAGCAGCAGTCAAATCGGCCGACAGGAGAGTTGTCGAAGGCAGCAGTAGACGAACAGCCGGTCGAAGGGTCGAAGCAGCTGGTCGATGACGTTCTCGTCGACGAGAAAGGGGAGCAGTCGGCGGGTGAGGAGTCCACCGACAGTGACGTGATGGAAGTGCCGATCACGAAGCCTGAGCTGCGACGCTCAGGTCGAGCTCGACGGCCGCCGGAGCGGTTGAGCTTCCACGCCTGCCTACCGCCAGCTGCCTTCACCACGGTGTACGACGAGGTCGACGACGACTTGCTGTACGACGATGCCGAGGAGGATGAAGACCTGTCGGAGCTCGACCCCGACGTGCATGCTGACCCCGAACACCGCTGGGACATTGCCACGATGACGGTGAAGGAGGCGCTGTCGAGCTGGAAGGGCGAGGCGGTGAAGGCCGCCATGGAAGAAAAAATCCGTAGCCTCATCGCTATGGGGACTTGGGAGCTGGTCGAACGCCCATGCGGGGTGAACATTATGAAGAACCGATGGGTGCTGACGACCAAGTACCACATCGACGACACCGTCGAGCGCGAGAAGGCGAGGCTGGTCGTAAAGGGCTTCACGCAGGTGTACGGCGCCGACTACGACGAGACGTACTCACCGGTGAGCAGCTACGTCACGCTGAGGATCTTCCTCAGCATCGTCGCCGTCCTCGACCTCAACCTGATGCAGCTCGACATGAAGAACGCTTTTCTGCAGAGCAAGCTCGACAGGGTGCTCTACATGTACCAGCCGGACTACTTCGACGACGGGACCGGCCGGGTGTGTAAGCTGCTGAAAAGCCTCTACGGGCTGAAGCAATCGCCGCTGCTGTGGTACAGGGCTCTTGATGGTGTGCTACTGGGCACTGGCTGGAAGAAGAGCCAGGTCGACGAGGCGCTCTACTTCAAGACTAGCGACGACGGTGTGACCTGTTGGGTCTTGGTCTACGTCGACGACCTGCTCGCCGCTAGCAGCAGCACCGCGATGCTGCAGGAGCTGAAGGAGCTGCTGGAGGCCGCCTTCGAGCTGCGTGAGATCTCGCCGGTGGAGAAGTACCTTGGGCTGGAGATCGTGCGCGACAGGCCGGCCAGGAAGTTGTGGCTGCACCAGCAGGGCTACGCCGACAAGCTGCGCAGGCGCTTCGTCGACGAGGAGCAGGGCGGTCGAGTCCCGAAGACGCCGGTCTCGGTCGACGCCTACGCTCAGCTGACGTTCGACGACGAGGAGGCTCAGGAGCGCGAAGAGGAGGAGTACCGACAGAAGGTCGGCTCGCTGCAGTTCGCGGCGACAACGACGAGGCCGGACATTGCATTCGCCTGCAGCAAGCTAGGGAGCGGCCTCACGGTGAGGAGCGACCAGCATTGGCGTGAGGTCGACCGTTGTCTCGCCTTCCTTGCCGACACCCGCGACACCGCCCTGAAGTTCGGCGGTGGACCAGAATCCTTGGAGCTGATCGGCTACGTCGATGCCGACGACGCGGGCGACAAGCAGAACCGGACGAGCACGGGAGGCTACGTGTTCGTCTATGGAGGGGCCGCCATCTCCTGGTCGAGCTCGCGCATCAAGTGCGCGACATTATCATCGACTGAGTCGGAGTACGTGGCGGCCACGGATGCCGGCAAGGAGGGCCGTCGACTTCGCTTCCTCCTTGCGGAATTCAAGCTGCTCGATGCTGGGAAGCCGACCATCCTCCGCGTCGACAACAAGTTGGCAATCACTGTCGCTGAGGGCTTGGGGCTAACGGGCAACCTCAAGCACATGGAACGACGCTACGCGTGGCTGCAGCACATGGTGAGGCGCGGGAAATTTGTGCTGAACTACATCCCGACCACCGAGCAGCCGGCGGATAACCTGACGAAGGCGCTGCATTTTCCGGTTTTCAACCGGTGCTCTGTCGCCATTGGACAAGTTCGTCTGGTCGACGTCGGTGACGGCGACGACGAGGTGCAGCAGTAGGTGCCGTGCCCTTCTGCACGGCTGGTGCGGTGACAGCGTGCTGTGTGTGGGGTGCACGCCGAGGACGAGTTCTCTCCGTGGAGTACTGCCGTGAGGGCTGGAGGCCCAAGCGTGAGCGCGGCAGGGGAGTGTTAACGGGAATGAAGTGTTGGCCCAGCCCTCGCTTGGGCAACGCCGACAACTTGGTCGGATGTACGGAAGTAGCAGCCGACTGCTCACAGTGGGATAGCTGCTCGACAGGTTACGTCGAGCTGCAGCGGACCACTGTGGTGTTGCTGTCGACCAGGATGCTCGACAGCTGCACCTGACTGGCCTGGGCGACGGGTGAGCCGTCCGGGAGGTCGACGAAGCAGTCCGTCGACCTACAGTTCGACGGGGAGGTCTATGGAGCATCCCGTCGAACTGCAGCTCGACCGGGAGGTCAACGGAGCGTCCCGTCGAATTGCAGCTCGACCGGGAGGTCAACGGAGCGTCCCGTCGAATTGCAGCTCGACCGGGAGGACAACGGAGCATCCCGTCGAACTGCAGTTCGACCGGGAGGTGGACAGAGCAGTTCTGGTCGACGGAAGGGGTCCGTCGACCAAGGGGTAGCTTGACGGGAGGTGTGGTCGACCAGGAGCGCCCGGTGGTCGACCAGAGGGACCCAGTGGTCGACGGGAGGCACCTGGGAGTCGACCAGAGCACCAGGGGTCGACCAGGTCGACCGGGTAACCTGCTCGACGAGTTCTGCGGAGGCACGCGAACGTCGTCGAGATCGCGATGGCGCAGGCGACTTCGGGCTGGTATCCCGAAGTCGATGTGGCTCGTCAGGCGCAGACAAACAGCCAACCGATGCCCAACGAGGCAAGTCGGGCCAATCGTCTGCGCACACCTGTGAGCGCGCGCACTGCTGTGTTCTACGGGGCACGCCGTCGACCTGCTTTGTTGGCAGGTCGCCCTTCTGCAGTGCTGGCGCGGCTCCTCTACGAAATGCTGGCAGGCGGTCGACCCAGCTGCGCTGGCGGTCGACCAGGCTGGCTGCAGGGTTGCTAGGTGCTTGATGTAGTCATTGTTGTCATTGCTTCTTGATTATTCTGGAATTCCAACTTTGCTAGTGGAAACTCTTGCCAAATTCTTCCGTGAATGTGCAAACACTAAGGAACTAAGCAAAGCTAAGATCACCTCTAGTAGTTCGTGCCAACCCCTGAAGTCTAGCTCACTACCGTTGTAGAGTTAATCTCCACAGAGGTGGACATGGACGTGGACGTGGACGTGGACGTGGACGTGGTCGTGGACGTGGTCGTGGACGTGGACGTGGACATGGTCGTGGACGTGGACTTGGATGTGGACGTGGACATGGATGTGGACGTGGACGTGGACGTGGCCATGGACGTGGACGTGGACGTGGCCATGGACGTGGACGTGGACGTGGCCATGGACGTGGACGTGGACGTGGATGTGGACGTGGATGTGGTCGTGGACGTGGACGTGGACATGGACGTGGACATGGATGTGGACGTGGACGTGGTCGTGGACGTGGACATGGTCGTGGACGTGGACGTGGACGTGGTCGTGGACGTGGATGTTGACGTGGACGTGGACGTGGACGTGGTCGTGGACGTGGAGGACTTGGACGTGGACATGGACGTGGACGTGGACGTGGACGTGGTCGTGGACGTGGACGTGGACGTGGACGTGGACGTGGTCCTGGTCGTGGACGTGGTCGTAGACGTGGACGTGGTCGTCCACGACGTGGACTTGGACGTGGACGTGGACGTGGACGTGGTCGTGGACGTGGACGTGGACATGGACGTGGTCGTGGTCGTGGACGTAGACGTGGTCGTGGACGTGGACGTGGACGTGGACGTGGAGGACGTGGACGTGGACGTGGAGGACGTGGACGTGGACGTGGACGTTGACGTGGACGTGGACGTGGACGTGGACGTTGACGTGGACGTGGACGTGGACGTGGACGTGGAGGACGTGGACGTGGACGTGGAGGACGTGGACGTGGACGTGGAGGACGTGGACGTGGTCGTGGACGTGGACGTTGACGTGGACGTGGACGTGGACGTGGTGGTGGACGTGGAGGACTTGGACGTGGACATGGACGTGGACGTGGACATGGACGTGGACATGGACGTGGACGCGGACATGGACGTGGACGCGGACATGGACGTGGACGCGGACCTGGACGTGGACGGGGACATGGACGTGGACGTGGACGCGGACGCGGACGCGGACGCGGACGTGGACGCGGACTTGGACGCGGACGTGGACGTGGACGTGGACGTGGACGTGGACGTGGACGTGGACGTGGACGTGGACGTGGACGTGGACGTGGACGTGGACGTGGACGTGGACTTGGACTTGGACGTGGACTTGGACTTGGACGTGGACGTGGAAGTGGACGTGGACGTGGACGTGGACGTGGACGTGGACGTGGTCGTGGACGTGGACGTGGACGTGGACGTGGACGTGGACGTGGACGTGGAGAACTTGGACGTGGACGTGGAGGAATTGGACGTGGACGTGGGCGTGGACTTGGACGTGGGCGTGGGCGTGGACTTGGACGTGGACGTGGACGTGGATGTGGACGTGGACATGGACATGGACGTGGACGTGGACGTGGACGTGGACGTGGACGTGGACGTGGACGTGGACGTGGACGTGGTCGTGGACGTGGACGTGGACGTGGACGTGGACGTGGACGTGGAGGTGGACGTGGAGGTGGACGTGGAGGACTTGGACGTGGACGTGGACGTGGACGTGGACGTGGACGTGGACGTGGACGTGGACTTGGACTTGGACTTGGACGTGGACTTGGACGTGGACGTGGACGTGGACGTGGACGTGGACGTGGACGTGGTCGTGGACGTGGACGTGGACGTGGACGTGGACGTGGACGTGGACGTGGACGTGGAGGACTTGGACGTGGACGTGGAGGACTTGGACGTGGACGTGGGCGTGGACTTGGACGTGGACGTGGGCGTGGACTTGGACGTGGACGTGGACATGGACGTGGACGTGGACGTGGACGTGGACGTGGACGTGGACGTGGACGTGGACGTGGACGTGGTCGTGGACGTGGACGTGGACGTGGACGTGGACGTGGACGTGGAGGACTTGGACGTGGACGTGGACGTGGACGTGGACGTGGACGTGGACGTGGACCTGGACGTGGACGTGGACGTGGACGTGGAGGTGGACGTGGACTTGGACGTGGACGTGGACGTGGACTTGGTCGTGGACGTGGACGTGGACGTGGACGTGGACGTGGACTTGGACGTGGACGTGGACGTGGACGTGGACGTGGACGTGGACTTGGACGTGGACGTGGACGTGGACGTGGACGTGGACGTGGACGTGGACGTGGACGTGGACGTGGACGTGGACGTGGACGTGGACGTGGACGTGGACGTGGACGTGGACGGGACCTGGACGTGGACGTGGACGTGGACGTGGACGGGACATGGACGTGGACGTGACGTGGACGTGGACGTGGACGTGGACATGGACGTGGACGTGGACGTGGACGTGGACATGGACGTGGACATGGACGTGGACGTGGACGTGGACGTGGACGTGGACGTGGACGTGGACGTGTACGTGGACATGGTCATGGACGTGGACGTGGACGAGGACGTGGACGTAAACATGGACGTGGACATGGACGCGGACGTGGACGTGGTCGTGGACGTGGACGCGGTCGTGGACGTGGACGTGGACGTGGACGTGGACGTGGTCGTGGACGTGGATGTTGACGTGGACGTGGACGTGGACGTGGTCGTGGACGTGGAGGACTTGGACGTGGACATGGACGTGGACGTGGACGTGGACGTGGACGTGGTCGTGGACGTGGACGTGGACGTGGACGTGGACGTGGTCCTGGTCCTGGTCGTGGACGTGGTCGTAGACGTGGACGTGGTCGTCCACGACGTGGACTTGGACGTGGACGTGGACGTGGTGGTGGACAAGGATGTGGACATGGACGTGGTCGTGGTCGTGGACGTAGACGTGGTCGTGGACGTGGACGTGGACGTGGAGGACGTGGACGTGGACGTGGAGGACGTGGACATGGACGTGGACGTGGACATGGACGTGGACCTGGTCGTGGACGTGGACGTGGACGTGGACGTGGACGTGGACATGGTCGTGGACGTGGACGTGGACGTGGACGTGGACATGACGTGGACGTAGACGTGGACGTGGACGTGGACGTGGACGTGGACGTGGACGTGGACGTGGACATGGACGTGGACCTGGACGTGGACGTGGACGTGGACGTGGACGTGGACGTGGACGTGGACGTGGACGTGGACGTGGACGTGGACGTGGACGTGGACGTGGACGTGGACGTGGTCGTGGACGTGGACGTGGACGTGGACGTGGACGTGGACGTGGAGGACTTGGACGTGGACAGGGACGTGGACTTGGACGTGGACGTGGACGTGGACTTGGACGTGGACGTGGACGTGGAGGACTTGGACGTGGACGTGGACGTGGAGGACTTGGACGTGGACATGGACGTGGACGTCTTGGACGTGGACATGGACATGGACGTGGACGTGGACGTGGACATGGTCGTGGACGTGGACGTGGACGTGGACGTGGACATGGAGGTGGACGTGGACGTGGACGTGGACGTGGTCGTGGAGGTGGACATGGACGTGGACGTGGACGTGGTCGTGGACGTGGACATGGTCGTGGACGTGAACGTGGACGTGGACGTGGTCGTGGACGTTGATGTTGGCGTGGACGTGGACGTGGACGTGGACGTGGTCGTGGACATGGAGGACTTGGACGTGGACATGGACGTGGACGTGGACGTGGTCGTGGACGTGGACGTGGACGTGGACTTGGTCCTGGTCGTGGACGTGGTCGTAGACGTGGACGTGGTCGTCCACGACGTGGACTTGGACGTGGACGTGGACGTGGACGTGGTCGTGGACGTGGACGTGGACATGGACGTGGTCGTGGACGTAGACGTGGTCGTGGACGTGGACGTGGACGTGGAGGACGTGGACGTGGACGTGGAGGACGTGGACGTGGACGTGGAGGACGTGGACGTGGACGTGGACGTGGACGTGGTCATGGACGTGGACGTTGACGTGGACGTGGACGTGGACGTGGTTGTGGACGTGGAGGGCTTGGACGTGGACATGGACGTGGACATGGACGTGGACGTGGACCTGGTCGTGGACATGGACGTGGACGTGGACGTGGACGTGGACGTGGATGTGGACATGGTCGTGGACGTGGACGTGGACGTGGACGTGGACATGGACGTGGACGTGGACGTGGACGTGGACGTGGAAGTGGACGTGGACATGGTCGTGGACGTGGACGTGGACGTGGACGTGGACGTGGACGTGGTCGTGGACGTGGACGTGGACGTGGACGTGGACGTGGACATAAACGTGGATGTGGACGTGGAGGACTTGGACGTGGACAGGGACGTGGACGTGGACGTGGACGTGGACGTGGACGTGGACATGGACGTAGACGTGGACGTGGACGTGGACGTGGACGTGGACATGGTCGTGGACGTGCACGTGGACGTGGACGTGGACATGGACGTGGACATGGACGTGGACGTGGACGTGGTCGTGGACGTGGACGTGGACGTGGACGTGGACGTGGTTGTGGACGTGGAGGACTTGGACGTGGACATGGACGTGGACGTGGACGTGGACCTGGTCGTGGACGTGGACGTGGACGTGGACGTGGACGTGGTCGTGGACGTGGACATGGACGTGGACGTGGACGTGGACGTGGACGTGGACGTGGACGTGGACGTGGACCTGGACGTGGACGTGGACCTGGACGTGGACGTGGACGTAGACGTGGACGTGGACGTGGACGTGGACGTGGACGTCGACGTGGTCGTGGACGTTGACATGGACGTGGACGAGGACGTGGACGTGGACGTGGACGTGGACGTGGACGTGGACGAGGACGTGGACATGGACGTGGACATGGACGTGGACGTGGACATGGACGTGGACGTGGACGTGGACATGGACGTGGACGTGGACGTGGACGTGGACGTGGACGTGGACATGGACGTGGACGTGGACGTGGTCGTGGACCTGGACGTGGACGTGGACGTGGACGTGGACGTGGACGTGGACATGGACATGGACGTGGACGTGGACGTGGACGTGGACGTGGACGTGGACGTGGACGTGGACGTGGACGTGGACGTGGACGTGGACGTGGACGTAGACGTGGACGTGGACGTGGACGTGGACGTGGACGTGGACAGGGACGTGGACGTGGACGTGGACGTGGACGTGGACGTGGAGGACTTGGACGTGGACGTGGACGTGGACATGGACGTGGACATGGACGTGGACGTGGACGTGGACGTGGACGTGGACGTGGACGTGGACGTGGACATGGTCGTGGACGTGGACTTCGACGTGGACGTGGACGTGGACGTGGACGTGGACGTGGACGTGGACGTGGACTTCGACGTGGACGTGGACGTGGACGTGGACATGGACGTGGACGTGGACGTGGACATGGACGTGGACGTGGTCGTGGACATGGACGTGGACGTGGACGTGGACGTGGACGTGGACGTGGTCGTGGACGTGGACGTGGACGTGGACGTGGACGTGGACCTGGACGTGGACGTGGACGTGGACGTGGACGTGGACGTGGACATGGACGTGGACATGGACGTGGACGTGGACGTGGACAAGGACGTGGACATGGACGTGGACGTGGACGTGGACGTGGACATGGACGTGGACCTGGACGTGGACGTGGACATGGACGTGGACGTGGACGTTGACGTGGACGTGGTCGTGGACGTGGACGTGGACGTGGACGTGGACATGGTCGTGGACGTGGACGTGGACGTGGACATGGACGTGGACGTGGACGTGGACATGGACGTGGACGTGGACATGGACGTGGACATGGACGTGGACGTGGACGTGGACGTGGAGGTGGACATGGACGTGGACGTGGACGTGGACGTGGACATGGACGTGGACGTGGACGTGGACGTGGACATGGACGTGGACATGGACGTGGACGTGGACGTGGACATGGACGTGGACGTGGACGTGGACGTGGACGTGGACGTGGACGTGGACGTGGACATGGACGTGGACGTGGACGTGGAGGACGTGGACGTGGACATGGACGTGGAGGACGTGGACGTGGACGTGGACGTGGACGTGGACGTGGACGTGGACGTGGACGTGGACTTGGACGTGGACTTGGACGTGGACTTGGACGTGGACTTGGACGTGGACGTGGACGTGGACGTGGACGTGGACGTGTACGTAGACGTGGACGTGGACGTGGACATGGTCGTGGACGTGGACGTGGACGTGGACGTGGTCGTGGATGTGGATGTTGACGTGGACGTGGACGTGGTCGTGGACGTGGAGGACTTGGACGTGGTCGTGGACGTGGACGTGGTCGTGGACGTGGACGTGGTCGTAGACGTGGACATGGTCGTCCACGACGTGGACTTGGTCGTGGACGTGGACGTGGACATGGACGTGGTCGTGGTCGTGGACGTAGACGTGGACGTGGTCGTAGACGTGGACGTGGTCGTCCACGACGTGGACTTGGACGTGGACGTGGATGTGGACGTGGACGTGGTCGTGGACGTGGACGTGGACATGGACGTGGTCGTGGTCGTGGACGTAGACGTGGTCGTGGTCGTGGACGTGGACGTGGACGTGGAGGACGTGGACATGGACGTGGAGGACGTGGACGTGGACGTGGACGTGGACGTGGACGTTGACGTGGACGTGGATGTGGACATGGACGTGGACGTGGAGGACGTGGACGTGGACGTGGAGGACGTGGACGTGGACGTGGAGGACGTGGACGTGGTCGTGGACGTGGACGTGGAGGACGTGGACGTGGTCGTGGACGTGGACGTGACGTGGACGTGGACGTGGACGTGGTGGTGGACGTGGAGGACTTGGACGTGGACATGGACGTGGACGTGGACGTGGACGTGGACCTGGTCGTGGACGTGGACGTGGACGTGGACGTGGACATGGTCGTGGACGTGGACGTGGACGTGGACGTGGACATGGACGTGGACGTGGACGTGGACGTGGACGTGGACGTGGACCTGGACATGGACGTGGACGTGGACGTGGACGTGGACGTGGACGTGGACGTGGACGTGGACGTGGACGTGGACGTGGACGTGGACGTGGACGTGGACGTGGACGTGGACGTGGACGTGGACATGGACGTGGACGTGGACGTGGAGGACTTGGACGTGGACATGGACGTGGACGTGGACGTGGACGTGGACTTGGACGTGGACATGGAGGTGGACATGGACGTGGACATGGACGTGGACATGGACGTGGACGTGGACGTGCACGTGGACGTAGACGTGGACATGGACATAGACGTGGACGTGGACGTGGACGTGGACGTGGACGTGGACGTGGACGTGGACATGGACGTGGACGTAGACGTGGACGTGGACGTGGACGTGGACGTGGACATGGTCGTGGACGTGGACGTGGACGTGGACGTGGACGTGGACATGGACGTGGACGTGGACGTGGACGTGGACGTGGACGTGGACGTGGACATGGTCGTGGACGTGGACGTGGACGTGGACGTGGACATGGACATGGACGTGGACGTAGACGTGGACGTGGACATGGACGTGGACGTGGACATGGTCGTGGACGTGGACGTGGACGTGGACGTGGACATGGACGTGGACGTGGATGTGGAGGACTTGGACGTGGACATGGACGTGGACGTGGACGTGGATGTGGAGGACATGGACTTGGACATGGACGTGGACGTGGACGTGGACGTGGACATGGACGTGGACGTGGACGTGGACGTGGACATGGTCGTGGACGAGGACTTGGACGTGGACGTGGACATGGACGTGGTCGTGGATGTGGACATGGTCGTGGACGTGGACGTGGACGTGGACGTGGACGTGGTCGTGGACGTGGATGTTGGCGTGGACGTGGACGTGGACGTGGACGTGGAGGACTTGGACGTGGACATGGACGTGGACGTGGACGTGGTCGTGGACGTGGACGTGGACGTGGACGTGGTCCTGGTCGTGGACGTGGTCGTAGACGTGGACGTGGTCGTCCACGACGTGGACTTGGACGTGGACGTGGACGTGGACGTGGACGTGGTCGTGGACGTGGACGTGGACATGGACGTGGTCGTGGTCGTGGACGTACACGTGGACGTGGACGTGGACGTGGAGGACGTGGACGTGGACGTGGACGTGGACGTGGTCGTGGACGTGGACGTTGACGTGGACGTGGACGTGGTTGTGGACGTGGAGGACTTGGACGTGGACATGGACGTGGACGTGGACGTGGACGTGGACCTGGTCGTGGACGTGGACGTGGACGTGGACGTGGACGTGGACGTGGACATGGACGTGGACGTGGACGTGGACGTGGACGTGGACATGGACGTGGACGTGGACGTGGACGTGGACATGGACATGGACGTGGACGTGACGTGGACGTGGACGTGGACATGGTTGTGGACGTGGACGTGGACGTGGACGTGGACGTGGACGTGGACGTGGACATGGACGTGGACATGGTCGTGGACGTGGACGTGGACGTGGACGTGGACGTGGACATGGACGTGGACGTGGACGTGGAGGACTTGGACGTGGACAGGGACGTGGACGTGGACGTGGACGTGGACGTGGACGTGGACGTGGACGAGGACGTGGACGTGGACGAGGACATGGACGTGGACATGGTCGTGGACGTGGATGGTCGTGGACGTGGACGTGGACGTGGACGTGGTCGTGGACGTGGACGTGGTCGTGGACGTGGACGTGCACGTGGACGTGGACGTGGACGTGGACGTGGACATGGACGTGGACGTGGACATGGTCGTGGACATGGACGTGGACGTGGACATGGACGTGGACGTGGTCGTGGACGTGGACGTGGTCGTGGACGTGGACGTGGTCGTGGACGTGGACATGGTCGTGGACGTGGACGTGGACGTGGACGTGGACGTGGTCGTGGACGTGGATGTTGACGTGGATGTGGACGTGGAGGACTTGGACGTGGACATGGACGTGGACGTGGACGTGGTCGTGGACGTGGACATGGACGTGAACGTGGACGTGGTCCTGGTCGTGGACGTGGTCGTAGACGTGGACGTGGTCGTCCACGACGTGGACTTGGACGTGGACGTGGACGTGGACGTGGACGTGGTCGTGGACGTGGACGTGGACATGGACGTGGTCGTGGTCGTGGACGTAGACGTGGTCGTGGACGTGGACGTGGACGTGGACGTGGACGTGGAGGACGTGGACGTGGACGTGGAGGACGTGGATGTGGACGTGGACGTGGACGTGGTCGTGGACGTGGACGTTGACGTGGACGTGGACGTGGAAGTGGTTGTGGACGTGGAGGACTTGGACGTGGACATGGACGTGGACATGGACGTGGACGTGGACGTGGACGTGGACGTGGACGTGGACGTGGACGTGGACGTGGACGTGGACATGGACGTGGACGTGGACGTGGACGTGGACATGGACGTGGACGTGGACGTAGACGTGGACGTGGACGTGGACGTGGACGTGGACGTGGACGTGGACGTGGACATGGACGTGGACGTGGACGTGGAGGACTTGGACGTGGACATGGACGTGGACGTGGACGTGGACGTGGACGTGGACTTGGACGTGGACATGGAGGTGGACATGGACGTGGACATGGACGTGGACATGGACGTGGACGTGGACGTGCACGTGGACGTGGACGTGGACATGGACATAGACGTGGACGTGGACGTGGACGTGGACATGGACGTGGACGTGGACGTGGACATGGACGTGGACGTGGACATGGACATAGACGTGGACGTGGACGTGGACGTGGACGTGGACGTGGACATGGTCGTGGACGTGGACGTGGACGTGGACGTGGACGTGGACGTGGACGTGGACGTGGACGTGGACATGGTCGTGGACGTGGACGTGTACGTGGACGTGGACATGGACGTGGACGTGGACGTAGACGTGGACGTGGACATGGACGTGGACGTGGACATGGTCGTGGACGTGGACGTGGACGTGGACGTGGACATGGACGTGGACGTGGATGTGGAGGACTTGGACGTGGACATGGACGTGGACGTGGACGTGGATGTGGAGGACATGGACTTGGACATGGACGTGGACGTGGACGTGGACGTGGACATGGACGTGGACGTGGACGTGGACGTGGACATGGTCGTGGACGAGGACTTGGACGTGGACGTGGACATGGACGTGGTCGTGGATGTGGACATGGTCGTGGACGTGGACGTGGACGTGGACGTGGTCGTGGACGTGGATGTTGGCGTGGACGTGGACGTGGACGTGAACGTGGAGGACTTGGACGTGGACATGGACGTGGACGTGGACGTGGTCGTGGACGTGGACGTGGACGTGGACGTGGTCCTGGTCGTGGACGTGGTCGTAGACGTGGACGTGGTCGTCCACGACGTGGACTTGGACGTGGACGTGGACGTGGACGTGGACGTGGACGTGGTCGTGGACGTGGACGTGGACATGGACGTGGTCGTGGTCGTGGACGTACACGTGGACGTGGACGTGGACGTGGAGGACGTGGACGTGGACGTGGACGTGGACGTGGTCGTGGACGTGGACGTTGACGTGGACGTGGACGTGGTTGTGGACGTGGAGGACTTGGACGTGGACATGGACGTGGACGTGGACGTGGACCTGGTCGTGGACGTGGACGTGGACGTGGACGTGGACGTGGACGTGGACGTGGACATGGACGTGGACGTGGACGTGGACGTGGACGTGGACGTGGACGTGGACGTGGACGTGGACGTGGACGTGGACATGGACATGGACGTGGACGTGACGTGGACGTGGACGTGGACATGGTCGTGGACGTGGACGTGGACGTGGACGTGGACGTGGACGTGGACGTGGACGTGGACATGGACGTGGACATGGTCGTGGACGTGGACGTGGACGTGGACGTGGACGTGGACATGGACGTGGACGTGGACGTGGAGGACTTGGACGTGGACAGGGACGTGGACGTGGACGTGGACGTGGACGTGGACGTGGACGAGGACATGGACGTGGACATGGACGTGGACGTGGACGTGGTCGTGGACGTGGATGGTCGTGGACGTGGACGTGGACGTGGACGTGGTCGTGGACGTGGACGTGGTCGTGGACGTGGACGTGGACGTGGACGTGGACGTGGACGTGGACATGGACGTGGACGTGGACATGGTCGTGGACATGGACGTGGACGTGGACATGGACGTGGACGTGGTCGTGGACGTGGACGTGGTCGTGGACGTGGACGTGGTCGTGGACGTGGACATGGTCGTGGACGTGGACGTGGACGTGGACGTGGACGTGGTCGTGGACGTGGATGTTGACGTGGACGTGGACGTGGAGGACTTGGACGTGGACATGGACGTGGACGTGGACGTGGTCGTGGACGTGGACATGGACGTGGACGTGGACGTGGTCCTGGTCGTGGACGTGGTCGTAGACGTTGACGTGGTCGTCCACGACGTGGACTTGGACGTGGACGTGGACGTGGACGTGGACGTGGTCGTGGACGTGGACGTGGACATGGACGTGGTCGTGGTCGTGGACGTAGACGTGGTCGTGGACGTGGACGTGGACGTGGACGTGGAGGACGTGGACGTGGACGTGGAGGACGTGGATGTGGACGTGGACGTGGACGTGGTCGTGGACGTGGACGTTGACGTGGACGTGGACGTGGAAGTGGTTGTGGACGTGGAGGACTTGGACGTGGACATGGACGTGGACATGGACGTGGACGTGGACCTGGTCGTGGACGTGGACGTGGACGTGGACGTGGACATGGTTGCGGACGTGGACTTGGACGTGGACGTGGACATGGACGTGGACGTGGACGTGGACGTGGACGTGGACTTGGACATGGACATGGACGTAGACGTGGACGTGGACGTGGACGTGGACGTGGACATGGTCGTGGACGTGGACGTGGACGTGGACGTGGACGTAGACGTGGACGTGGACGTGGACGTGCACGTGGACGTGGACGTGGACGTGGACATGGACGTGGACGTGGACGTGGACGTGGACGTGGACCTGGACATGGACGTGGACGTGGACGTGGACGTGGACGTGGACTTGGACGTGGACGTGGAGGACTTGGACGTGGACATGGACGTGGACGTGGAGGTGGACGTGGAGGTGGACGTGGACGTGGACATGGACGTGGACATGGACGTGGACATGGACGTGGACATGGAGGTGGACATGGACGTGGACGTGGACGTGGACATGGACGTGGACATGGACGTGGACATGGTCGTGGACATGGACGTGGACGTGGACGTGGACGTGGACATGGACGTGGACGTGGACGTGGACGTGGACGTGGACATGGACGTGGACGTGGACGTGGACGTGGACGTGGACATGGACGTGGACGTGGACGTGGACGTGGACGTGGACGTGGACGTGGAGGTGGACGTGGACGTGGAGATGGTCGTGGACGTGGACGTGGACGTGGACGTGGACGTGGACGTGGACGTGGACGTGGACGTGGAGGACATGGACGTGGACGTGGACGTGGACGTGGACGTGGACATGGACGTGGACGTGGACGTGGACGTGGACATGGACATGGTCGTGGACGTGGACGTGGACGTGGACTTGGACGTGGACATGGACGTGGACGTGGACGTGGACGTGGATGTGGACGTGGACGTGGACATGGACGTGGACGTGGACGTGGACATGGTCATGGACGTGGACGTGGACGTGGACATGGACGTGGACGTGGACGAGGACGTGGACGTGGACGTGGACATGGACGTGGACGTGGACGTGGACGTGGACGTGGACGTGGACGTGGACGTGGACGTTGACGAGGACGTGGACGTGGACGTGGACGTGGACGTGGACATGGACGTGGACGTGGACGTGGACGTGGACGAGGACGTGGACGCGGACGTGGACGTGGACGTGGACATGGACTTGGACGTGGACATGGACGTGGACGTGGACGTGGACGTGGACGTGGACTTGGACATGCACGTGGACGTGGACGTGGACTTGGACATGGACGTGGACTGGACGTGGACGTGGACGTGGACGTGGACGTGGATGTGGACGTGGACGTGGACGTGGACGTGGACGTGGACGTGGACGTGGTCGTGGACGTGGACGTGGACGTGGACGTGGTCGTGGACGTGGATGTTGACGTGGACGTGGACGTGGACGTGGTCGTGGACGTGGAGGACTTGGACGTGGACATGGACGTGGACGTGGACGTGGTCGTGGACGTGGACGTGGACGTGGTCCTGGTCGTGGACGTGGTCGTAGACGTGGACGTGGTCGTCCACGACATGGACTTGGACGTGGACGTGGACGTGGACGTGGACGTGGTCGTGGACGTGGACGTGGACATGGACGTGGTCGTGGACGTAGACGTGGTCGTGGACGTGGACGTGGACGTGGAGGACGTGGACGTGGACGTGGAGGACGTGGACGTGGACGTGGACGTGGTCGTGGACGTGGACGTTGATGTGGACGTGGACGTGGACGTGGTTGTGGACGTGGAGGACTTGGACGTGGACATGGACGTGGACGTGGACGTGGACGTGGACGTGGACCTGGTAATGGATGTGGACGTGGACGTGGACGTGGACATGGTCGTGGACGTGGAAATGGACGTGGACGTGGACATGGACGTGGACGTGGACGTGGACGTGGACGTGGACGTGGACATGGACATGGACGTGGACGTGGACGTGGACGTGGACGTGGACGTGGTCGTGGACGTGGACGTGGACGTGGACGTTGACGTGGACGTGGACGTGGAGGACATGGACGTGGGCGTGGACGTGGACGTGGACATGGACGTGGACGTGGACGTGGACGTGGACATGGACATGGTCGTGGACGTGGACGTGGACGTGGACTTGGACGTGGACATGGACGTGGACGTGGACGTGGACCTGGACGTGGACGTGGACGTGGACATGGACGTGGACGTGGACGTGGACATGGTCATGGACGTGGACGTGGACGTGGACGTCGACATGGACGTGGACGAGGACGTGGACGTGGACGTGGACATGAACGTGGACGTGGACGTGGACGTGGACGTGGACGTGGACGTGGCCATGGACGTGGACGTGGACGTGGACGTGGACATGGACGTGGACGTTGACGAGGACGTGGACGTGGACGTGGACGTGGACATGGACGTGGACATGGACGTGGACGTGGACATGGACGTGGACGTGGACGAGGACGTGGACGTGGACGTGGACGTGGACGTGGACGTGGACATGGACTTGGACGTGGACATGGACGTGGACGTGGACGTGGACATGGACGTGGACATGGACGTGGACGTGGACGTGGACATGGACTTGGACATGCACGTGGACATGGACGTGGACGTGGACATGGACGTGGACATGGACGTGGACGTGGACGTGGACGTGGATGTGGACGTGGACGTGGACGTGGACGTGGATGTGGACGTGGTCGTGGACGTGGACGTGGACGTGGACGTGGTCGTGGACGTGGATGTTGACGTGGACGTGGACGTGGTCGTGGACGTGGAGGACTTGGACGTGGACATGGACGTGGACGTGGACGTGGTCGTGGACGTGGACGTGGACGTGGACGTGGTCCTGGTCGTGGACGTGGTCGTAGACGTGGACGTGGTCGTCCACGACATGGACTTGGACGTGGACGTGGACGTGGACGTGGACGTGGTCGTGGACGTGGACGTGGACATGGACGTGGTCGTGGACGTAGACGTGGTCGTGGACGTGGACGTGGACGTGGAGGACGTGGACGTGGACGTGGAGGACGTGGACGTGGACGTGGACGTGGACGTGGTCGTGGACGTGGACGTTGATGTGGACGTGGACGTGGACGTGGTTGTGGACGTGGAGGACTTGGACGTGGACATGGACGTGGACGTGGACGTGGACGTGGACCTGGTCATGGATGTGGACGTAGACGTGGACGTGGACATGGTCGTGGACGTGGAAATGGACGTGGACGTGGACATGGACGTGGACGTGGACGTGGACGTGGACGTGGACGTGGACGTGGACATGGACATGGACGTGGACGTGGACGTGGACGTGGACGTGGACGTGGTCGTGGACGTGGACGTGGACGTGGACGTGGACGTGGACGTGGACGTGGAGGACATGGACGTGGACGTGGACGTGGACGTGGACATGGACGTGGACGTGGACGTGGACGTGGACGTGGACATGGTCGTGGACGAGGACTTGGACGTGGACGTGGACATGGACGTGGTCGTGGATGTGGACATGGTCGTGGACGTGGACGTGGACGTGGACGTGGACGTGGTCGTGGACGTGGATGTTGGCGTGGACGTGGACGTGGACGTGGACGTGGAGGACTTGGACGTGGACATGGACGTGGACGTGGACGTGGTCGTGGACGTGGACGTGGACGTGGACGTGGTCCTGGTCGTGGACGTGGTCGTAGACGTGGACGTGGTCGTCCACGACGTGGACTTGGACGTGGACGTGGACGTGGACGTGGACGTGGTCGTGGACGTGGACGTGGACATGGACGTGGTCGTGGTCGTGGACGTACACGTGGACGTGGACGTGGACGTGGAGGACGTGGACGTGGACGTGGACGTGGACGTGGTCGTGGACGTGGACGTTGACGTGGACGTGGACGTGGTTGTGGACGTGGAGGACTTGGACGTGGACATTGACGTGGACGTGGACGTGGACGTGGACCTGGTCGTGGACGTGGACGTGGACGTGGACGTGGACGTGGACGTGGACATGGACGTGGACGTGGACGTGGACGTGGACGTGGACGTGGACGTGGACGTGGACGTGGACGTGGACATGGACATGGACGTGGACGTGACGTGGACGTGGACGTGGACATGGTTGTGGACGTGGACGTGGACGTGGACGTGGACGTGGACGTGGACGTGGACATGGACGTGGACATGGTCGTGGACGTGGACGTGGACGTGGACGTGGACGTGGACATGGACGTGGACGTGGACGTGGAGGACTTGGACGTGGACAGGGACGTGGACGTGGACGTGGACGTGGACGTGGACGAGGACGTGGACGTGGACGAGGACATGGACGTGGACATGGTCGTGGACGTGGATGGTCGTGGACGTGGACGTGGACGTGGACGTGGTCGTGGACGTGGACGTGGTCGTGGACGTGGACGTGGACGTGGACGTGGACGTGGACGTGGACATGGACGTGGACGTGGACATGGTCGTGGACATGGACGTGGACGTGGACATGGACGTGGACGTGGTCGTGGACGTGGACGTGGACGTGGACGTGGACGTGGACATGGACATGGACATGGACGTGGACGTGGACGTGGACGTGGACGTGGATGTGGACGTGGACGTGGACGTGGACGTGGACGTGGATGTGGACGTGGTCGTGGACGTGGACGTGGACGTGGACATGGACGTGGACGTGGACGTGGAGGACTTGGACGTGGACAGGGACGTGGACGTGGACGTGGACGTGGACGTGGACGAGGACGTGGACGTGGACGTGGTCGTGGCCGTGGACGTGGTCGTGGACGTGGACGTGGTCGTGGACGTGGACGTGGTCGTGGACGTGGACGTGGTCGTGGACGTGGACATGGTCGTGGACGTGGACGTGGACGTGGACGTGGACGTGGTCGTGGACGTGGATGTTGACGTGGACGTGGACGTGGAGGACTTGGACGTGGACATGGACGTGGACGTGGACGTGGTCGTGGACGTGGACATGGACGTGAACGTGGACGTGGTCCTGGTCGTGGACGTGGTCGTAGACGTGGACGTGGTCGTCCACGACGTGGACTTGGACGTGGACGTGGACGTGGACGTGGACGTGGTCGTGGACGTGGACGTGGACATGGACGTGGTCGTGGTCGTGGACGTAGACGTGGTCGTGGACGTGGACGTGGACGTGGACGTGGACGTGGAGGACGTGGACGTGGACGTGGAGGACGTGGATGTGGACGTGGACGTGGACGTGGTCGTGGACGTGGACGTTGACGTGGACGTGGACGTGGAAGTGGTTGTGGACGTGGAGGACTTGGACGTGGACATGGACGTGGACATGGACGTGGACGTGGACGTGGACGTGGACGTGGACGTGGACGTGGACGTGGACGTGGACGTGGACATGGACGTGGACGTGGACGTGGACGTGGACATGGACGTGGACGTGGACGTAGACGTGGACGTGGACGTGGACGTGGACGTGGACGTGGACGTGGACGTGGACATGGACGTGGACGTGGACGTGGAGGACTTGGACGTGGACATGGACGTGGACGTGGACGTGGACGTGGACGTGGACTTGGACGTGGACATGGAGGTGGACATGGACGTGGACATGGACGTGGACATGGACGTGGACGTGGACGTGCACGTGGACGTGGACGTGGACATGGACATAGACGTGGACGTGGACGTGGACGTGGACGTGGACGTGGACATGGACGTGGACGTGGACATGGACATAGACGTGGACGTGGACGTGGACGTGGACGTGGACGTGGACGTGGACATGGTCGTGGACGTGGACGTGGACGTGGACGTGGACGTGGACGTGGACGTGGACGTGGACGTGGACATGGTCGTGGACGTGGACGTGTACGTGGACGTGGACATGGACGTGGACGTGGACGTAGACGTGGACGTGGACATGGACGTGGACGTGGACATGGTCGTGGACGTGGACGTGGACGTGGACATGGACGTGGACGTGGATGTGGAGGACTTGGACGTGGACATGGACGTGGACGTGGACGTGGATGTGGAGGACATGGACTTGGACATGGACGTGGACGTGGACGTGGACGTGGACATGGACGTGGACGTGGACGTGGACGTGGACATGGTCGTGGACGAGGACTTGGACGTGGACGTGGACATGGACGTGGTCGTGGATGTGGACATGGTCGTGGACGTGGACGTGGACGTGGACGTGGTCGTGGACGTGGATGTTGGCGTGGACGTGGACGTGGACGTGGACGTGGAGGACTTGGACGTGGACATGGACGTGGACGTGGACGTGGTCGTGGACGTGGACGTGGACGTGGACGTGGTCCTGGTCGTGGACGTGGTCGTAGACGTGGACGTGGTCGTCCACGACGTGGACTTGGACGTGGACGTGGACGTGGACGTGGACGTGGACGTGGTCGTGGACGTGGACGTGGACATGGACGTGGTCGTGGTCGTGGACGTACACGTGGACGTGGACGTGGACGTGGAGGACGTGGACGTGGACGTGGACGTGGACGTGGTCGTGGACGTGGACGTTGACGTGGACGTGGACGTGGTTGTGGACGTGGAGGACTTGGACGTGGACATGGACGTGGACGTGGACGTGGACGTGGACCTGGTCGTGGACGTGGACGTGGACGTGGACGTGGACGTGGACGTGGACGTGGACATGGACGTGGACGTGGACGTGGACGTGGACGTGGACGTGGACGTGGACGTGGACGTGGACGTGGACGTGGACATGGACATGGACGTGGACGTGACGTGGACGTGGACGTGGACATGGTCGTGGACGTGGACGTGGACGTGGACGTGGACGTGGACGTGGACGTGGACGTGGACATGGACGTGGACATGGTCGTGGACGTGGACGTGGACGTGGACGTGGACGTGGACATGGACGTGGACGTGGACGTGGAGGACTTGGACGTGGACAGGGACGTGGACGTGGACGTGGACGTGGACGTGGACGTGGACGTGGACGAGGACATGGACGTGGACATGGACGTGGACGTGGACGTGGTCGTGGACGTGGATGGTCGTGGACGTGGACGTGGACGTGGACGTGGTCGTGGACGTGGACGTGGTCGTGGACGTGGACGTGGACGTGGACGTGGACGTGGACGTGGACATGAACGTGGACGTGGACATGGTCGTGGACATGGACGTGGACGTGGACATGGACGTGGACGTGGTCGTGGACGTGGACGTGGTCGTGGACGTGGACGTGGTCGTGGACGTGGACATGGTCGTGGACGTGGACGTGGACGTGGACGTGGACGTGGTCGTGGACGTGGATGTTGACGTGGACGTGGACGTGGAGGACTTGGACGTGGACATGGACGTGGACGTGGACGTGGTCGTGGACGTGGACATGGACGTGGACGTGGACGTGGTCCTGGTCGTGGACGTGGTCGTAGACGTTGACGTGGTCGTCCACGACGTGGACTTGGACGTGGATGTGGACGTGGTCGTGGACGTGGACGTGGACATGGACGTGGTCGTGGTCGTGGACGTAGACGTGGTCGTGGACGTGGACGTGGACGTGGACGTGGAGGACGTGGACGTGGACGTGGAGGACGTGGATGTGGACGTGGACGTGGACGTGGTCGTGGACGTGGACGTTGACGTGGACGTGGACGTGGAAGTGGTTGTGGACGTGGAGGACTTGGACGTGGACATGGACGTGGACATGGACGTGGACGTGGACCTGGTCGTGGACGTGGACGTGGACGTGGACGTGGACATGGTTGCGGACGTGGACTTGGACGTGGACGTGGACATGGACGTGGACGTGGACGTGGACGTGGACGTGGACTTGGACATGGACATGGACGTAGACGTGGACGTGGACGTGGACGTGGACGTGGACATGGTCGTGGACGTGGACGTGGACGTGGACGTGGACGTAGACGTGGACGTGGACGTGGACGTGCACGTGGACGTGGACGTGGACGTGGACATGGACGTGGACGTGGACGTGGACGTGGACGTGGACCTGGACATGGACGTGGACGTGGACGTGGACGTGGACGTGGACGTGGACTTGGACGTGGACGTGGAGGACTTGGACGTGGACATGGACGTGGACGTGGTGGTGGACGTGGAGGTGGACGTGGACGTGGACATGGACGTGGACATGGACGTGGACATGGACGTGGACATGGAGGTGGACATGGACGTGGACGTGGACGTGGACATGGACGTGGACATGGACGTGGACATGGTCGTGGACATGGACGTGGACGTGGACGTGGACGTGGACATGGACGTGGACGTGGACGTGGACGTGGACATGGACGTGGACGTGGACGTGGACGTGGACGTGGACATGGACGTGGACGTGGACGTGGACGTGGACGTGGACGTGGACGTGGAGGTGGACGTGGACGTGGAGATGGTCGTGGACGTGGACGTGGACGTGGACGTGGACGTGGACGTGGACGTGGACGTGGACGTGGACGTGGAGGACATGGACGTGGACGTGGACGTGGACGTGGACGTGGACATGGACGTGGACGTGGACGTGGACGTGGACATGGACATGGTCGTGGACGTGGACGTGGACGTGGACTTGGACGTGGACATGGACGTGGACGTGGACGTGGACGTGGATGTGGACGTGGACGTGGACATGGACGTGGACGTGGACGTGGACATGGTCATGGACGTGGACGTGGACGTGGACATGGACGTGGACGTGGACGAGGACGTGGACGTGGACGTGGACATGGACGTGGACGTGGACGTGGACGTGGACGTGGACGTGGACGTGGACGTGGACGTGGACGTTGACGAGGACGTGGACGTGGACGTGGACGTGGACGTGGACATGGACGTGGACGTGGACGTGGACGTGGACGAGGACGTGGACGCGGACGTGGACGTGGACGTGGACATGGACTTGGACGTGGACATGGACGTGGACGTGGACGTGGACGTGGACGTGGACTTGGACATGCACGTGGACGTGGACGTGGACTTGGACATGGACGTGGACTGGACGTGGACATGGACGTGGACGTGGACGTGGATGTGGACGTGGACGTGGACGTGGACGTGGACGTGGACGTGGACGTGGACGTGGTCGTGGACGTGGACGTGGACGTGGACGTGGTCGTGGACGTGGATGTTGACGTGGACGTGGACGTGGACGTGGTCGTGGACGTGGAGGACTTGGACGTGGACATGGACGTGGACGTGGACGTGGTCGTGGACGTGGACGTGGACGTGGTCCTGGTCGTGGACGTGGTCGTAGACGTGGACGTGGTCGTCCACGACATGGACTTGGACGTGGACGTGGACGTGGACGTGGACGTGGTCGTGGACGTGGACGTGGACATGGACGTGGTCGTGGACGTAGACGTGGTCGTGGACGTGGACGTGGACGTGGAGGACGTGGACGTGGACGTGGAGGACGTGGACGTGGACGTGGACGTGGACGTGGTTGTGGACGTGGACGTTGATGTGGACGTGGACGTGGACGTGGTTGTGGACGTGGAGGACTTGGACGTGGACATGGACGTGGACGTGGACGTGGACGTGGACCTGGTAATGGATGTGGACGTGGACGTGGACGTGGACATGGTCGTGGACGTGGAAATGGACGTGGACGTGGACATGGACGTGGACGTGGACGTGGACGTGGACGTGGACGTGGACATGGACATGGACGTGGACGTGGACGTGGACGTGGACGTGGACGTGGTCGTGGACGTGGACGTGGACGTGGACGTTGACGTGGACGTGGACGTGGAGGACATGGACGTGGGCGTGGACGTGGACGTGGACATGGACGTGGACGTGGACGTGGACGTGGACATGGACATGGTCGTGGACGTGGACGTGGACGTGGACTTGGACGTGGACATGGACGTGGACGTGGACGTGGACCTGGACGTGGACGTGGACGTGGACATGGACGTGGACGTGGACGTGGACATGGTCATGGACGTGGACGTGGACGTGGACGTGGACATGGACGTGGACGAGGACGTGGACGTGGACGTGGACATGAACGTGGACGTGGACGTGGACGTGGACGTGGACGTGGACGTGGCCATGGACGTGGACGTGGACGTGGACGTGGACATGGACGTGGACGTTGACGAGGACGTGGACGTGGACGTGGACGTGGACATGGACGTGGACATGGACGTGGACGTGGACATGGACGTGGACGTGGACGAGGACGTGGACGTGGACGTGGACGTGGACGTGGACGTGGACATGGACTTGGACGTGGACATGGACGTGGACGTGGACGTGGACATGGACGTGGACATGGACGTGGACGTGGACGTGGACATGGACTTGGACATGCACGTGGACATGGACGTGGACGTGGACATGGACGTGGACATGGACGTGGACGTGGACGTGGACGTGGATGTGGACGTGGACGTGGACGTGGACGTGGGCGTGGATGTGGACGTGGTCGTGGACGTGGACGTGGACGTGGACGTGGTCGTGGACGTGGATGTTGACGTGGACGTGGACGTGGTCGTGGACGTGGAGGACTTGGACGTGGACATGGACGTGGACGTGGACGTGGTCGTGGACGTGGACGTGGACGTGGACGTGGACGTGGTCGTGGACGTGGTCGTAGACGTGGACGTGGTCGTCCACGACATGGACTTGGACGTGGACGTGGACGTGGACGTGGACGTGGTCGTGGACGTGGACGTGGACATGGACGTGGTCGTGGACGTAGACGTGGTCGTGGACGTGGACGTGGACGTGGAGGACGTGGACGTGGACGTGGAGGACGTGGACGTGGACGTGGACGTGGACGTGGTCGTGGACGTGGACGTTGATGTGGACGTGGACGTGGACGTGGTTGTGGACGTGGAGGACTTGGACGTGGACATGGACGTGGACGTGGACGTGGACGTGGACCTGGTCATGGATGTGGACGTAGACGTGGACGTGGACATGGTCGTGGACGTGGAAATGGACGTGGACGTGGACATGGACGTGGACGTGGACGTGGACGTGGACGTGGACGTGGACGTGGACATGGACATGGACGTGGACGTGGACGTGGACGTGGACGTGGACGTGGTCGTGGACGTGGACGTGGACGTGGACGTGGACGTGGACGTGGACGTGCAGGACATGGACGTGGACGTGGACGTGGACGTGGACATGGACGTGGACGTGGACGTGGACGTGGACATGGACATGGTCGTGGACGTGGACGTGGACGTGGACTTGGACGTGGACATGGACGTGGACGTGGACGTGGACCTGGACGTGGACGTGGACGTGGACATGGACGTGGACGTGGACGTGGACATGGTCATGGACGTGGACGTGGACGTGGACGTGGACATGGACGTGGACGAGGACGTGGACGTGGACGTGGACATGAACGTGGACGTGGACGTGGACGTGGACGTGGACGTGGACGTGGCCATGGACGTGGACGTGGACGTGGACGTGGACGTGGACGTGGACGTGGACGTTGACGAGGACGTGGACGTGGACGTGGACGTGGACATGGACGTGGACGTGGACGTGGACGTGGACATGGACGTGGACGTGGACGAGGACGTGGACGTGGACGTGGACGTGGACGTGGACCTGGACATGGACTTGGACGTGGACATGGACATGGACGTGGACGTGGACATGGACGTGGACATGGACGTGGACGTGGACGTGGACATGGACTTGGACATGCACGTGGACATGGACGTGGACGTGGACATGGACGTGGACATGGACGTGGACGTGGACGTGGACGTGGATGTGGACGTGGACGTGGACGTGGACGTGGACGTGGACGTGGACGTGGTCGTGGACGTGGACGTGGACGTGGACGTGGTCGTGGACGTGGATGTTGACGTGGACGTGGACGTGGACGTGGTCGTGGACGTGGAGGACTTGGACGTGGACATGGACGTGGACGTGGACGTGGTCGTGGACGTGGACGTGGACGTGGACGTGGTCCTGGTCGTGGACGTGGTCGTAGACGTGGACGTGGTCGTCCACGACATCGTCCATGTCCACGTCCACGTCCACGTCCAGGTCCTCCACGTCCACGACCACGTCCACGTCCACGTCCACGTCAACATCCACGTCCACGACCACGTCCACGTCCACGTCCACGTCCACGTCCACGACCACGTCCACGTCCACGTCCACGTCCACGTCCATGTCCACGTCCATGTCCACGTCCACGTCCATGTCCACGTGCATGTCCAAGTCCATGTCCATGTCCACGTCCACGTCCATGTCCACGTGCATGTCCAAGTCCATGTCCACGTCCACGTGGACATATCCACGTCCATGTCCACGTCCACGTCCACGTCCACGTCCACGTCCACGACCATGTCCACGTCCACGTCCATGTCCATGTCCATGTCCACGTCCATGTCCACGTCCACGTCCACGTCCACGTCCACGTCCACGTCCACGTCCACGACCATGTCCACGTCCACGACCACGTCCACGTCCACGTCCACGTCCACGTCCATGTCCATGTCCATGTCCACGTCCATGTCCACGTCCACGTCCACGTCCACGTCCACGTCCACGTCCACGTCCACGACCATGTCCACGTCTACGACCACGTCCACGTCCACGTCCACGTCCATGTCCACGTCCAAGTATTCCACGTCCACGACCACGTCCACGTACACATCCACGTCAACATCCACGTCCACGACCACGTCCACGTCCACGTCCACGTCCACGTCGACCTCCACGTCCACGACCATGTCCACGTCCACGACCACGTCCACGTCCATGTCCACGTCCATGTCCACGTCCACGTCCACGTCCATGTCCACGTCCACGTCCACGTCCACATCCACGTCCACGTCCATGTCCACGTCCATGTCCACGTCCACGTCCACGTCCATGTCTACGTCCATGTCCATGTCCACGTCCACGACCACGTCCACGTCCACGTCCACGTCCACGTCCATGTCCACGTCCACGTCCACGTCCACACCTTCGTCCACGTCCACGTCCACGACCATGTCTACTTCCACGACCACGACCACGTCCACGTCCACGTCCATGTCCACGTCCACGTCCACGTCCACGTCCACGTCCACGACCATGTCCACGTCCACGTCCACGACCATGTCCACGTCCATGTCCACGTCCAAGTCTTCCACGTCTACGACCACGTCCACGTACACATCCACGTCAACATCCACGTCCACGACCACGTCCACGTCCACGTCCACGTCCACCTCCACGTCCACGACCATGTCCACGTCCACGACCACGTCCACGTCCACGTCCACGTCCATGTCCACGTCCACGTCCACGTACATGTCCACGTCCATGTCCACGTCCACATCCACGTCCACGTCCATGTCCACGTCCATGTCCACGTCCACGTCCACGTCCATGTCTACGTCCATGTCCATGTCCATGTCCACGTCCATGTCCATGTCCACGTCCACGACCACGTCCACGTCCACGTCCACGTCCATGTCCACGTCCACGTCCACGTCCACACCCTCGTCCACGTCCACGTCCACGTCCAAGACCATGTCCACGTCCACGACCACGACCACGTCCACGTCCACGTCCATGTCCACGTCCACGTCCACATCCACGACCACGTCCACATCCATGTCCATGTCCACGTCAACATCCACGTCCACGACCACGTCCACGTCCACGTCCACGTCCACGTCCACATCCACGTCCACGACCACGTCCACGTCCACGTCCACGACCATGTCCACGTCCACGTCCACATCCACGTCCACGTCCATGTCCACGTCCACGTCCACGTCCACGTCCACGTCCATGTCCATGTCCACGTCCACGTCCACGTCCATATCCACGTCCATGTCCACGTCCATGTCCACGTCCACGTCCACGTCCACGTCCACGTCCACGACCATGTCCACGACCACGTCCACGTTCTACGTCCACGTCCATGTCCATGTCCACGTCCATGTCCACGTCCACGTCCACGTCCACGTCCACGTCCACGTCCACGTCCACGACCATGTCCACGTCCACGACCACGTCCACGTCTACGTCCACGTCCATGTCCACGTCAAAGTCTTCCACGTCCACGACCACGTCCACGTACACATCCACGTCAACATCTACGTCCACGACCACGTCCACGTCCACGTCCACGTCCACCTCCACGTCCACGACCATGTCCACGTCCACGACCACGTCCACGTCCACGTCCACGTTCATGTCCACGTCCACGTCCACGTCCATGTCCACGTCCATGTCCACGTCCACATCCACGTCCATGTCCACGTCCATGTCCACGTCCACGTCCTTGTCCATGTCCACGTCCACATCCACGTCCACGTCCATGTCCACGTCCACGTCCATGTCCACGTCCATGTCCACGTCCACGTCCATGTCCACGTCAATGTCCATGTCTACGTCCACGACCATGTCGACGTCCACGACCACGTCCACGTCCACGTCCACGTCCACGTCCATGTCCACGTCCACGTCCACGTCCACACCCTCGTCCACGTCCACGTCCACGTCCACGACCATGTCCACGTCCACAACCACGACCACGTCCACGTCCACGTCCATGTCCACGTCCACGTCCACGGACCACGTCCGACCGCGTCCACGTCCACCACTCCACAATCCACGACCACGTCCACGTCCACGTCCACAGTCCACGACCACGTCCACGTCCACTGTCCACGTCCAGTCCACAGTCTACGTCCACGTCCACGTCCACGACCACGTCCACGTCCATGTCCACGGTCCACGTCCACGTCCACGTCCACGTCCACGTACACGTCCACGACCATGTCCACGTCCACGGTCACCGTCTACGTCCACGTCCACCGTCCATGTCCACGTCCACGTCCACGTCCATGTCCACGTCCATGTCCACGTCCACGTCCACGTCCATGTCCACGTCCATGTCCATGTCCACGTCCATGTCCACGTCCATATCCATGTCCATGCCCACGTCCATGTCCAGGTTCACGTCCACGTCAACGTCCACGTCCACGTCCACGTCCACGTCCAAGTCCACGTCCACGTCCACGTCCACGTCCATGTCCACGTCCACGTCCACGTCCACGTTCCACGTCCACGTCCACGCCATGTCCACGTCCCGTCCACGTCCTCAGTCCACGTCCACGTCCATGTCCACGTCCACGTCCACGTCCACGTCAACTCCACGTCCACGACCACGTCCACGTCCACGTCCCCGTCCACGACCACGTCCACTCCACGTCCACGACCATGTCCACGTCCCACGTCCACGTCCACGTCCACGGTCCATGTCCACGTCCACGTCCACGTCCACGTCCACGACCATGTCCACGTCCATGACCATGTCCACGTCCATGTCCACGTCCATGTCCATGGCCACGTCCACGACCACGTCCACGACCACGTCCACGTCCACGACCACGTCCACGTCCATGTCCATGTCCACGTCCACGTCCACGACCATGTCCACGTCCATGTCCACGACCACGTCCACGGTCCACATCCACGTCCACGTCCATGTCCACGTCCACGTCCACGTCCACGTCCACGACCATGTCCACGTCCACGACCACGTCCCCGTCCACGTCCACGTCCACGTCCATGTCCACGTCCACGTCCACGTCCATGTCCACGTCCATGTCCACGTCCACGTCCACGTCCATGTCCACGTCCATGTCCACGTCCACGTCCACGTCCACGTCCACGTCCATGTCCACGTCCATGTCCACGTCCACGTCAAAGTCCACGTCCACGTCCACGTCCATGTCCACGTCCATGTCCACGTCCATGTCCACGTCCATGTCCACGTCCAGTCCACGTCCATGTCCACGTCCATGTCCACGTCCACGTCCACGTCTACGTCCACGTCCACGTCCATGTCCACGTCCACGTCCATGTCCACGTCCACGTCCATGTCCACGTCCACGTCCACGTCCACGTCCACGTCCACGTCCACGTCCACGTCCACGTCCACGACCATGTCCACGTCCACGACACGTCCACGTCCACGTCCACGTCCATGTCCACGTCCACGTATTCCACGTCCACGACCACGTCCACGTCCACGTCCACGTCAACGTCCACGTCCACGACCACGTCTACGTCCACGTCCACGTCCACGTCCACTCCACGTCCACGACTCCATGTCCACGTCCACGTCCACGTCCACGTCCATGTCCACGTCCATGTCCACGTCCACGTCCACGTCCATGTCCACGTCCACGTCCACGTCCACATCCACGTCCACATCCATGTCCACGTCCATGTCCACGTCCACGTCCACGTCCATGTCCACGTCCATGTCCATGTCCACGTCCACGTCCACGTCCACGTCCACGTCCACGTCCACGTCCACGTCCATGTCCACGTCCACGTCCACGTCCACGACCACGTCCACGTCCACGTCCACGTCCATGTCCACGTCCACGACCACGTCCACGTCCACGTCCACGTCCATGTCCACGTCCACGTCCACGTCCACGTCCACGTCCACGTCCATGTCCACGTCCACGTCCACGACCATGTCCACGTCCACGTCCACGTCCAAGTCCTCCACGTCCACGTCCACGTCCACGTCCACGTCCACGTCAACGTCCACGTCCACGACCACGTCCACGTCCACGTCCACGTCCACGTCCACGTCCACGACATGTCCACGTCCACGTCCACGTCCACGTCCACGTCCATGTCCACGTCCACGTCCACGTCCACGTCCACGTCCATGTCCACGTCCACGTCCACGTCCACGTCACATGTCCACGTCCATGTCCACGTCCACGTCCACGTCCATGTCTACGTCCATGTCCATGTCCATGTCCACGTCCACGTCCATGTCCACGTCCACGTCCACGTCCACGTCCACGTCCACGTCCATGTCCACGTCCACGTCCACGTCCACACCCTCGTCCACGTCCACGTCCACGTCCACGTCCATGTCCACGTCCACGTCCACGTCCACGTCCACGTCCACGTCCACGTCCACGTCCACGTCCACGTCCACGTCCACGTCCATGTCCATGTCCACGTCAACGTCCACGTCCACGTCCACGTCCACGTCCACGTCCACGTCCACGTCCACGTCCACGTCCACGTCCACGTCCACGTCCACGACCATGTCCACGTCCACGTCCACGTCCACGTCCACGTCCACGTCCATGTCCACGTCCACGTCCACGTCCACGTCCATGTCCACGTCCACGTCCACGTCCATATCCACGTCCATGTCCACGTCCATGTCCACGTCCACGTCCACGTCCACGTCCACGTCCACGACCATGTCCACGTCCACGTCCACGTCCACGTCCATGTCCACGTCCACGTCCATGTCCATGTCCACGTCCACGTCCACGTCCACGTCCACGTCCACGTCCACGTCCACGTCCATGTCCACGTCCACGACCACGTCCACGTCCACGTCCACGTCCATGTCCACGTCAAGTCTTCCACGTCCACGTCCACGTCCACGTCACATTCCACGTCAACGTCCACGTCCACGACACGTCCACGTCCACGTCCACGTCCACCTCCACGTCCACGACCATGTCCACGTCCACGACCACGTCCACGTCCACGTCCACGTCCATGTCCACGTCCACGTCCACGTCCATGTCCACGTCCATGTCCACGTCCACATCCACGTCCATGTCCACGTCCATGTCCACGTCCACGTCCACGTCCATGTCCACGTCCATGTCCACGTCCACGTCCATGTCCACGTCCACGTCCACGTCCACGTCCACGTCCATGTCCACGTCCACGACCACGTCCACGTCCACGTCCACGTCCACGTCCACGTCCATGTCCACGTCCACGTCCACGTCCACCACCCTCGTCCACGTCCACGTCCACGTCCACGACCATGTCCACGTCCACAACCACGACCACGTCCACGTCCACGTCCACGTCCACGTCCACGTCCACGACCACGTCCACGTCCACGTCCACGTCCACGTCCACGTCCACGTCCACGTCCACGTCCACGTCCACGTCCACGTCCACGTCCACGTCCACGTCCACGTCCACGTCCACGTCCACGTCCATGTCCATGTCCATTCCACGTCCACGTCCACGTCCACGTCCATGTCCACGTCCACGTCCATGTCCACGTCCATGTCCACGTCCACGTCCACGTCCACGTCCACGTCCACGTCCATGTCCACGTCCACGTCCAGGTCCACGTCCATGTCCACGTCCATGTCCATGTACACGTCCACGTCCACGTCCACGTCCACGTCCATGTCCACGTCCACGTCCACGTCCACGTCCACGTCCACGTTTACGTCCACGTCCACGTCCACGTCCACGTCCATGTCCACGTCCACGTCCACGTCCACGTCCACGTCCACGTCCATGTCCACGTCCACGTCCACGTCCACGTCCACGTCCATGTCCACGTCCATGTCCACGTCCACGTCCACGTCCACGTCCACGTCCACGTCCACGTCCACGTCCATGTCCACGTCCACGTCCACGTCCACGTTCACGTCCACGTCCACGTCCATGTCCACGTCCATGTCCACGTCCACGTCCACGTCCACGTCCACGTCACGTCCACGTCCACGTCCATGTCCACGTCCATGTCCACGTCCAAGTCTTCCACGTCCACGACCACGTCCACGTCCACGTCCACGTCCAAGTCCACGTCCACGTCCACGTCCACGTCCACGTCCACGTCCACGTCCACGACATGTCCACGTCCACGTCCACGTCCACGTCCACGTCCACGTCCACGTCCACGTCCACGTCCACGTCCACGTCCACGTCCATGTCCACGTCCATATCCACGTCCACGTCCACGTCCACGTCCATGTCCACGTCCATGTCCACGTCCACGTCCACGTCCATGTCCACGTCCACGTCCACGTCCACGTCCACGACCACGTCCACGTCCACGTCCACGTCCACGTCCACGTCCACGTCCACACCACGTCCACGTCCACGTCCACACCCACGTCCACGTCCACGTCCACGTCCACGTCCACGTCCACGTCCACGTCCACGTCCACGTCCACGTCCACGTCCATGTCCACGTGTCCCCCACACGTCCACGTCCACGTCCACCGTCCACGTCCACGTCCACGTCCACGTCCACGTCCACGTCCCACATCCACGTCCACGTCCACGTCCACGTCCACGTCCACGTCCACGTCCACGTCCACGTCCACGTCCACGTCCACGTCCACGTCCACGTCCACGTCCACGTCCACGTCCACGTCCACGTCCACGTCCACGTCCATGTCCACGTCCATGTCCACGTCCACGTCCACGTCCACGTCCACGTCCACGTCCACGTCCACGTCCACGTCCACGTCCACGACCATGTCCACGTCCACGTCCACGTCCACGTCCACGTCCACGTCCATGTCCACGTCCACGTCCACGTCCACGTCCACGTCCATGTCCACGTCCATGTCCACGTCCATGTCCACGTCCACGTCCATGTCCACGTCCACGTCCACGTCCACGTCCATGTCCACGTCCATATCCATGTCCATGTCCACGTCCATGTCCATGTCCACGTCCACGTCCACGTCCATGTCCACGTCCATGTCCACGTCCTAGTCCACGTCCACGTCCACGTCCATGTCCACGTCCACGTCCACGTCCACGTCCATGTCCACGTCCACGTCCATGTCCATGTCCACGTCATCGTCCACGTCCACGTCCATATCCACGTCCATGTCCACGTCCACGTCAACGTCCACGTCCACGTCCACGTCCATGTCCACGTCCACGTCCACGTCCATGTCCACGTCCATGTCCACGTCCATGTCCACGTCCAATGTCCACGTCCATGTCCACGTCCACGTCCACGTCCACGTCCACGTCCACGTCCACGTCCATGTCCACGTCCACGTCCACGTCACGTCCACGTCCACGTCCACGTCCACGTCCATGTCCACGTCCACGTCCACGTCCACGTCCACGTCCACGTCCATGTCCACGTCCACGTCCACGTCCACGTCCACGTCAGTGTCCACGTCCGTGTCCACGTCCACGTCCACGTCCACGTCCACGTCCATGTCCACGTCCACGTCCACGTCCATGTCCACGTCCACGTCCACGTCCATGTCCACGTTCACGTCCACGTCCATGTCCACGTCCATGTCCACGTCCACGTCCACGTCCACGTCCACGTCCATGTCACGTCCACGTCCACGTCCACGTCCACGTCCACGTCCACGTCCACGTCCACGTCCACGTCCACGTCCACGTCCACGTCCACGTCCATGTCCACGTCCACGTCCACGTCCACGTCCACGTCCACGTCCACGTCCATGTCCACGTCCACGTCCACGTCCACGTCCACGTCCACGTCCATGTCCACGTCCAAGTCCTCCACGTCCACGTCCACGTCCACGTCCACGTCCACGTCCACGTCAACGTCCACGTCCACGTCCACGTCCACGTCCATGTCCACGTCCACGTCCATGTCCACGTCCCACCATGTCCACGTCCACGTCCACGTCCACGTCCAGGTCCACGTCCACGTCCACGTCCACGTCCATGTCCACGTCCACGTCCATGTCCACGTCCATGTCCACGTCCACGTCCACGTCCACGTCCAGTCCACGTCCACGTCCACGTCCACGTCCAAGTCCATGTCCATGTCCACGTCCACGTCCACGTCCACGTCCACGTCCACGTCCACGTCCATGCCCACGTCCACGTCCACGTCCACGTCCACGTCCACGTCCACGTCCACGTCCACGTCCACGTCCACGTCCACGTCCACGTCCATGTCCACGTCCACGTCCACGTCCATGTCCACGTCCACGTCCACGTCACGTCCACGTCCACGTCCACGTCCACGTCATGTCCACGTCCACGTCCACGTCCACGTCCATGTCCACGTCCACGTCCACGTCCACGTCCATGTCCACGTCCACGTCCATGTCCACGTCCACGTCCATGTCACGTCCCACCACCACGTCCACGTCCATGTCCACGTCCACGTCCATGTCCACGTCCACGTCCATGTCCACGTCCATGTCCAGTCCATGTCCACGTCCACGTCCACGTCCACGTCCACGTCCATGTCCACGTCCACGTCCATGTCCACGTCCACGTCCACGTCCACGTCCATGTCCACGTCCACGTCACGTCCATGTCCACGTCCACGTCCATGTCCACGTCCACGTCCACGTCCACGTCCACGTCCACGTCCACGTCCGCGTCCATGTCCACGTCCACGTCCATGTCCACGTCCACGTCCACGTCCACGTCCACGTCCACGTCCACGTCCATGTCCACGTCCACGTCCACGTCCACGTCCAGTCCACGTCCACGTCCATGTCCACGTCCACGTCCACGTCCACGTCCACGTCCACGTCCATGACCATGTCCACGTCCATGTCCACGTCCAAGTCCACGTCCACGTCCACGTCCACGTCCACGTCCACGTCCATGTCCACGTCCATGTCCACGTCCACGTCCACGTCCACGTCCATGTCCACATCCACGTCCACGTCCATGTCCACGTCCACGTCCCGGTCCACGTCCATGTCCACGTCCATTCCACGTCCATGTCCACGTCCACGTCCACGTCCACGTCCACGTCCATGTCCACGTCCACGTCCATGTCCACGTCCACGTCCACGTCCACGTCCATGTCCACGTCCACGTCCACGTCCACGTCCATGTCCACGTCCACGTCCACGTCCACGTCCACGTCCACGTCCACGTCCACGTCCACGTCCACGTCCACGTCCATGTCAACGTCCACGTCCAGTCCACGTCCATGTCCACGTCCATGTCCACGTCCACGTCCATGTCCACGTCCAGTCCATGTCCACGTCCACGTCCACGTCCACGTCCATGTCCACGTCCACGTCCATGTCCTGTCCATGTCCATGTCCACGTCCACGTCCACGTCCACGTCCACGTCCACGTCCATGTCCACGTCCACGTCCACGTCACGTCCACGTCCACGTCCACGTCCACGTCCATGTCCACGTCCATGTCCACGTCCACGTCCATGTCCACGTCCACGTCCACGTCCACGTCCACGTCCACGTCCACGTCCACGTCCACGTCCACGTCCACGTCCACGTCCACGTCCACGTCCATGTCCACGTCCATGTCCACGTCCACGTCCACGTCCACGTCCACGTCCACGTCCACGTCCACGTCCACGTCCACGTCCACGTCCACGTCCGCGTCCATGTCCACGTCCACGTCCACGTCCACGTCCACGTCCACGTCCATGTCCACGTCCACGTCCACGTCCACGTCCACGTCCACGTCCATGTCCACGTCCACGTCCACGTCCATGTCCACGTCCACGTCCCGGTCCACGTCCATGTCCACGTCCATATCCACGTCCATGTCCATGTCCACGTCCACGTCCACGTCCACGTCCACGTCCATGTCCACGTCCACGTCCATGTCCACGTCCACGTCCACGTCCATGCACGTCCACGTCCACGTCCACGTCCACGTCCACGTCCATGTCCACGTCCACGTCCACGTCCACGTCCACGTCCATGTCCACGTCCATGTCCACGTCCACGTCCACGTCCACGTCCATGTCCACGTCCACGTCCATGTCCATGTCCATGTCCACGTCCACGTCCACGTCCACGTCCACGTCCACGTCCACGTCCACGTCCACGTCCACGTCCACGTCCACGTCCACGTCCACGTCCACGTCCATGTCCATGTCCATGTCCACGTCCATGTCCACGTCCACGTCCACGTCCACGTCCACGTCCACGTCCACGTCCACGTCCACGTCCACGTCCACGTCCACGTCCATGTCCACGTCCACGTCCACGTCCACGTCCACGTCCACGTCCACGTCCACGTCCACGTCCACGTCCACGTCCATGTCCACGTCCACGTCCACGTCCACGTCCACGTCCACGTCCACGTCCACGTCCACGTCCACGTCCACGTCCATGTCCGTCCACGTCCACGTCCACGTCCATGTCCACGTCCACGTCCACGTCCACGTCCACGTCCATGTCCACGTCCACGTCCATGTCCACGTCCACGTCCATGTCCACGTCCACGTCCACGTCCATGTCCACGTCCACGTCCATGTCACGTCCACGTCCATGTCCACGTCCACGTCCACGTCCATGTCCACGTCCACGTCCACGTCCACGTCCATGTCCACGTCACGTCCATGTCCACGTCCACGTCCACGTCCATGTCCACGTCCATGTCCATGTCCACGTCCACGTCCATGTCCACGTCCACGTCCACGTCCACGTCCACGTCCACGTCCACGTCCACGTCCACGTCCATGTCCACGTCCACGTCCACGTCCACGTCCACGTCCACGTCCACGTCCACGTCCATGTCCACGTCCATGTCCACGTCCACGTCCACGTCCACGTCCACGTCCACGTCCATGTCCACGTCCACGTCCACGTCCACGTCCACGTCCACGTCCATGACATGTCCACGTCCATGTCCACGTCCAAGTCCACGTCCACGTCCACGTCCACACGTCCACGTCCATGTCCACGTCCATGTCCACGTCCACGTCCACGTCCACGTCCATGTCCACTCCACGTCCATGTCCACGTCCACGTCCACGTCCATGTCCACGTCCACGTCCACGTCCACGTCCACGTCCACGTCCACGTCCACGTCCACGTCCACGTCCATGTCCACGTCCACGTCCACGTCCACGTCCATGCCCACGTCCACGTCCACGTCCACGTCCATGTCCACGTCCACGTCCACGTCCACGTCCACGTCCACGTCCACGTCCACGTCCACGTCCCTGACCATGTCCACGTCCACGACCACGTCCACGTCCACGTCCACGTCCATGTCCACGTCCACGTCCACGTCCACGTCCATGTCCACGTCCATGTCCACGTCCACGTCCATGTCCACGTCCATGTCCACGTCCACGTCCACGTCCACGTCCACGTCCATGTCCACGTCCATGTCCACGTCCACGTCCATGTCCATGTCCACGTCCACGTCCACGTCCACGTCCACGTCCACGTCCATGTCCACGTCCACGTCCACGTCCACGTCCACGTCCATGTCCACGTCCATGTCCACGTCCACGTCCATGTCCACGTCCACGTCACGTCCACGTCCACGTCCACGTCCACGTCCATGTCCACGTCCACGTCCACGTCCACGTCCACGTCCATGTCCACGTCCATGTCCACGTCCACGTCCACGTCCACGTCCACGTCCACGTCACGTCCACGTCCACGTCCACGTCCACGTCCACGTCCACGTCCACGTCCATGTCCACTCCAGTCTAGTCCACGTCCATGTCCACGTCCACGTCCACGTCCACGTCCACGTCCACGTCCATGTCCACGTCCACGTCCACGTCCATGTCCACGTCCACGTCCCGGTCCACGTCCATGTCCAGGTCCATATCACGTCCATGTCCACGTCCACGTCCACGTCCACGTCCACGTCCACGTCCATGTCCACGTCCACGTCCACGTCCACGGCCACCTCCACGTCCATGTCCACGTCCACGTCCACGTCCATGTCCACGTCCCGTCCACGTCCACGTCCACGTCCACGTCCATGTCCACGTCCACGTCCACGTCCACGTCCACGTCCACGTCCATGTCCACGTCCACGTCCACGTCCATGTCCACGTCCATGTCCACGTCCACGTCCACGTCCATGTCCACGTCCACGTCCACGTCCATGTCCACGTCCATGTCCACGTCCACGTCCACGTCCACGTCCACGTCCATGTCCACGTCCATGTCCACGTCCATGTCCACGTCACGTCCACGTCCACGTCCAGTCCACGTCCACGTCCATGTCCACGTCCACGTCCATGTCCACGTCCACGTCCACGTCCACGTCCACGTCCACGTCCACGTCCGTGTCCACGTCCATGTCCACGTCCACGTCCATGTCCACGTCCACGTCCATGTCCACGTCACGTCCACGTCCATGTCCACGTCCACGTCCACGTCCATGTCCACGTCCATGTCCACGTCCATGTCCACGTCCATGTCCACGTCCACGTCCACGTCCACGTCCACGTCCACGTCCATGTCCACGTCCACGTCCACGTCCACGTCCACGTCCACGTCCACGTCCACGTCCACGTCCACGTCCACGTCCACGTCCACGTCCACGTCCACGTCCATGTCCACGTCCACGTCCACCACGTCCACGTCCACGTCCACGTCCACGTCCACGTCCACGTCACGTCCACGACCACGACACGTCCACGTCCACGTCCATGTCCACGTCCGTAAGTCCTCCACGTCCACGTCCACGTCCACGTCCACGTCCACGTCCACGTCCACTCCACGTCCACGTCACATCCACGTCCATGTCCACGTCCAACGTCATGTCCACGTCCACGTCCATGTCCACGTCCACGTCCACGTCCACGTCCACGTCCACGTCTACGTCCACGTCCACGTCCATGTCCACGTCACGTCCATGTCCACGTCCATGTCCACGTCCACGTCACGTCCACGTCCAGCTCGTCCACGTCCACGTCCACGTCCAAGTCCATGTCCATGTCCACGTCCACGTCCACGTCCACGTCCACGTCCACGTCCACGTCCATGTCCACGTCCACGTTCCACGTCCACGTCCACGTCCACGTCCACGTCCACGTCCACGTCCATGTCCACGTCCACGTCCACGTCCATGTCCACGTCCACGTCCACGTCCACGTCCACGTCCACGTCACGTCCATGTCCACGTCCACGTCCACGTCCACGTCCATGTCCACGTCCACGTCCACGTCCACGTCCACGTCCACGTCCACGTCCACGTCCAGTCCACGTCCACGTCCATGTCCACGTCCACGTCCACGTCCATGTCCACGTCCACGTCCATGTCAAGTCCACGTCCATGTCCACGTCCACGTCCACGTCCATGTCCACGTCCACGTCCACGTCCACGTCCATGTCCACGTCCACGTCCATGTCCACGTCCACGTCCACGTCCACGTCCATGTCCACGTCCATGTCCATGTCCACGTCCACGTCCATGTCCACGTCCACGTCCACGTCCACGTCCACGTCCACGTCCACGTCCACGTCCACGTCCATGTCCACGTCCACGTCCACGTCCACGTCCACGTCCACGTCCACGTCCATGTCCACGTCCACGTCCACGTCCACGTCCACGTCCACGTCCATGTCCACGTCCACGTCCACGTCCACGACACGTCCACGTCCATGACCATGTCCACGTCCATGTCCACGTCAAGTCCACGTCCACGTCCACGTCCACGTCCAGTCCACGTCCACGTCCATGTCCACGTCCACGTCCACGTCCACGTCCATGTCCACGTCCACGTCCACGTCCATGTCCACGTCCACGTCCCGGTCCACGTCCATGTCCACGTCCATATCCACGTCCATGTCCACGTCCACGTCCACGTCCACGTCCACGTCCATGTCCACGTCCACGTCCATGTCCACGTCCACGTCCACGTCCACGTCCATGTCCACGTCCACGTCCACGTCCACGTCCATGTCCACGTCCACGTCCACGTCCACGTCCACGTCCACGTCCACGTCCACGTCCACGTCCACGTCCACGTCCATGTCCACGTCCACGTCCATGTCCACGTCCATGTCCACGTCCATGTCCACGTCCACGTCCATGTCCACGTCCACGTCCATGTCCACGTCCACGTCCACGTCCACGTCCATGTCCACGTCCATGTCCACGTCCTCGTCCATGTCCACGTCCACGTCCACGACCACGTCCACGTCCACGTCCACGTCCACGTCCACGTCCACGTCCACGTCCACGTCCACGTCCACGTCCACGTCCACGTCCATGTCCACGTCCATGTCCACGTCCACGTCCATGTCCACGTCCACGTCCACGTCCACGTCCACGTCCACGTCCATGTCCACGTCCACGTCCACGTCCACGTCCACGTCCACGTCCACGTCACGTCCACGTCCATGTCCACGTCCACGTCCACGTCCACGTCCACGTCCACGTCCACGTCCACGTCCACGTCCACGTCCACGTCCACGTCCACGTCCACGTCCAGTCCATGTCCACGTCCACGTCCACGTCCATGTCACGTCCACGTCCCGGTCCACGTCCATGTCTTCCACGTCCATATCCACGTCCATGTCCATGTCCACGTCCACGTCCACGTCCACGTCCACGTCCATGTCCACGTCCACG